CATTTTTAGATGTCCTCGAGAGGCAACAGAAAGCACTAGTTAGGAAAGTTGACGAAATGTATGTATATATAAACAGCACAATACCTACACCAACTATAGCTAGTATTTTTGGTTTCTCTAAAGATAAGTTACGCACCTCATCGTGACTTTAAGGCACACATAATGTAAATAGATAAATTTCAACAAAAACGAATGAAGTTGGACGTGGCTACTTTTGTTTCCGTACTTGATCTTTTTCGCGCATCTGTTTTTAAAGGCCAGATTACGTGCAGGAAGTAGTGTAGGAGTTAAGTGGAAGTATTTTTCACCGATAATGAATGTTATTGAAAAGTATCGGTGGATTTTAAATGCAGGAGTACCCTGCATACTGTGCCCTCGACGTCTGTTGCCACTCGTAACAACTAAAGGCGACTCATCAAAGAAATGCATACGGTTGCAATCAATCAATGAAATATTTGCTACGTAAACTTCTAACTTCTCCCTAACGTCCGGCCGTTCTGTCTCTCGAGGAATTCGACTTATTATCTCGTAAGAGTAAACAAGATCTCGTTTCGAAATTCTACTAATGGATGACCTGCTAGGTATGTTTGCTGGAAGGCAAACTTTGTTATTTTCTAGTTGTTGCTGAATCTCTTTTGCGTAAATAGATGATTTATTAATTTTTAGATATTCAGCGTATGCAATAACGTCATCTGTACGCGTGGTTCGAACATCACGTTCGCTCTGGCGAGGTGCAATAGAACCAGTGTCTACCCATAGATCTATTATATTTGATATAGTCTTATACGGTAGATTTAGTTGCTTCAAAATGTTTGTCAAACGCTGGTTATTTAACCACCTTTCAAATATTTCATTTCTTACTTCTATTGGTAAAGCTTTTCCTTGCTTACTGAACGGATTCATTGCCAAATGTCTACAGGGTACAAAGACCTTTCGCGTTTGCCAGTACTTCGCAACTTTAGTTGACAACTTTAGTACTCAAGTACACAACTTCAGTACTCAAGTACACAACTTCAGTACTCAAGTACACAACTTGTCAACTTGAGTTGATCAAGTTTAATATCGAATATTCCATAGTTGGAAACGTAGTTGGCAACATTAGAAAGTAACTTGGCAACCGCCATTTGAAAAGTTAACTGAAATCAACAATAAGGACATTGGCTACTTCATCAATTGCAAAGCAAACATTACATATTTCATCATGACGACGGTGAATGAACCTCCTTTCAAATAAGAAAGCCCACGAATGGTCAACTGTGAAACTTTGCAACATGCACAGATGATGATATAGTCGCTTCAGCGGCCATTGGTAACGTAGGTAGGATTGCTGATTGCATCAAAGAATTATCTCTTATTGAGTAAATATCCTTCATCTAACAGCGCCAAAGTTGTGAGACAGACAGAAAAAAACATTTAAACAGACAAAGATTGTGGTAAGTCAAGCGATAACGGGGAACCTGTCACAAGTTGTGTAAGCAGCTAGGGGTTTGCTTTTTGCAATTTCACTTAGTTTGCCAACTTGACTGAACCAAAAATCCACCAAGGATTTCACATATGCCGGCGTTCTATAATGAAAACCAATGTGCCCTGCCATTTAGGTAGTTGTGTTCATTGATGGAAACCATACTGAAAAGAAACATAACGCCAGAAAGTTACAGCCTGAAAAGCGTCACCAAGGCCACAAGTTAAACTTGTGGTAATAAATTGAAATAGTTTTTGTCTTTTTAAAATATGAATGGACAAGACAAACAACAATCTGATTGAATTCATTGAAATATCCGATCAAGCGTCGAATAAAGCCGATGAACTGAAATTCACATCTCTTATATTCTATCGGAAAGACAATCCTGTATTAAACTATCATGTGTTAAAAGGAATTTCGTGGATTTTACTGCTTTCATACCATTTGCAATCATTAGGAAACAATATTTTTAGATCAATTGTTTGAAACATGAGCTCACGCGGACAAGCATTCAGAGATTCCGTTTTAGGTCTCTGCCAGACATATTTGGATATATTGTTTGTCGCTGCAAAACAAAGAAGTTGCTGCATATATGAGAAGTGATAACAAGTCGACAATATCCTAGAATTTCACTTCTTCTAGCGAATAAATTCACTTTCCGTAATACAACATAAATCGGATCAACATGCTTCAAAATCATTCCACACAGCTGTGTTGACAAAACGTCGACGCGAAACACTTTCATTTTTGCCTTTCAAATCCTTTAATGAGGTATGCATAACAAATTGTTTGCACAACAATACTCAGTTATGGTTCCTTGGTCGAGTATAAGAAAATTTACAAGAATCCACTCTTGTTATCACCAAGGCAAGGAACCAAAAACGTCTCTTCAAAATTCGCGTATTCGTGTGTTTTTTGAAGCTTAAATCTCTTCGCTTCGAATAGAAATTGCTCTAGCTCGGGAGAACATGTTAAGACCGATGAAGTCATTTTTGATTCGTAATGTCCGGCAGCAACTGACTGCGAGAACAGTTGTCGGCGCTATAGCAGTATATTGCTTGTTAAAATCGATACAATACAGCGTTGACTATTACAACAACTACGACAAGTATTTCGTGAAGGTGAGTTTATATTTAGTGTTAAATCAAAACAACAATCAATTTAATAATATCACGCGAATTTCTAGGTGGATAATTTAGACATAATACAGGCGGATTTCCATTGTACAAGCTCCCTATCTAATGACTCGTGTACAATAAAAACCGAAGAAGCCTTAATGATGTGTTTCAACATGGGAAGTAAATGTTTCGGAGTGACTTATAACTTCGGAACGAAAACGGCCACATTCAAGCGTGGTAAAAATGGCAAACCGAAATTCTCACTTGGTATTGTCACCACATACAAAAATGAATATAAAGACCTTTTGATGTTGAAAGAATCAGACGAATGTGCGCCGGTGAGGGTAAGGTGTTTACCTAAGTTCACATCAGTAAGTTGACATGTGCTAAATCGTGTTTTTTAATATTTCATTTTTTAAATAATGAAACAGAGACTTTGTCGTGGTGACAAACTTAAAGATAGATTTCAAAATAGCAAATACCATGGTGAATGGTGATAATAACAATGTAATAGTTCTTAAAAGAACTGTTTCAACCAAAACACTAACCAAACAATTCAAAGGAACCGTTATTTACAGCTAGAAAGAGACACTATGCATTTCGGCCGACTTCTCGTCAGGTGTCAACGTCTGCTAAATGAGAACCTCCAGGACAGGATTAGTCAATTTAATTAATACCGACTCCATGACGCGTAGCTGGAATAACGAGCGACATTTTTCAATAATTCTAAAGTTTTCATCAGAATAAGCATTGGCACAGCGAGTGTTGCTCAAAAGATGTTTTCCAATCGCTGAATCACATAGAATCGGATTTTCACTTTTACACCCACGTTTTGGTAGTTGTCGTAAAGGAACAGTTTTATTCCTGACAGAAGCTGGTACATGCTGTTTTATTCTCTCACTCAACCTTTGAGAAGTCCTACCTACATAGCGAGCATCACACTCACATTTAAACTCGTAGACTACATTGCTTGATATTTGAGCAGGGAGAGACTCTTTGGGCGTGGGTGGAAGAATAGTTCTATTTGAGAATATAAAGACCACATTGCATGCAAAAAATATCACCGAGAGTTTTAAGTGTTATCTCTAAAAATAGGGATGACATTGACCTTTTGTAACGTTATAAATATAGCATGGTTTGGAGGTTTTAATTTAGCATACGTTGACCCCTGACGAGAAGTCTGCCGAAATGCATAGTGTCTCTTTCTAGCTGTAAATAACGGTTCCTTTGAATTGTTTGGTTAGTGTTTTGGTTAAAACAGTTCTTTTAAGAACTATTACATTGTTATTATCACCATTCACCATGATATTTGCTATTTTGAAATCTATTTCATTTTTTCTTTCAGGAAAGAAGGGAAGAAGCGAATACTAAAACATCAAACAAGATATGCAATATTCCCAACATTGACCCATTTGATTCTACTGTCATGAAAATGGTAAAGAAAGTGGAGCCTCTGGTTTGCAAAGGAGAAAAAAACTTGACATTTTATAGAAATGGAAAGTTGACGCTAACATCAGGTATGTTTAAAGTTCATTCATCTCAGTAATTTGCTTGAATAAAGTTTCTATGGTTGGCTTGTGATCTTCAGCCAAAAACTTGATTTGTCAAAGTTCTGTCCAGCAATGAAGGAAAAAAACATTTTGAACAGGAAGTCTATACATGTCACATGCATATATTGAATATTTTAGTTGATACACAGAATTAGGTATTAAAAATAAAAATAGCACCTGTTTAAAAAACCACTTTTACTTGTAGGTACTAACAACTAAGAATACATCAAACATCAAAGATGTATGAAAACAATCAACTGCAATATGTAAAAAGCACAACACCATTTTCGATATGTATCAAGGATAAAGAGTTATAGTGTTCTATACATATTTGCATAAGCCTCTAATTATCCTTTCATACATCATTGGGTCCCCATTTTCTCCATTTACACATATTGTGCACCTACATAACTTATGTTTGGTAAAAATTTTGTTTGTTATATTTGTGTATAAAAATTTTTAAATTATGAACATACTTGTAACATGATGCGCCAAAACTCATGGATAAGTGTTGTTTTCTAGCTGGAAGATTAAGAGCAATCAAAGCAGAATATGAAGTTATTACAGGACGTAGCAACTCTGGAGAATGGTTTAATGTCAAGGAAAAAGGCACCCTTACACCATCAAAGCCAGAGGTGATCCTTAACGAAGACATGGTGTATGTCGAGATTCACAAAACAGATAATAAAATTCAAAAAGAATTTCACATGGAAGTGAATTCTCGTGATGAAATACTAAACAGAGTTCCTCAAAAGAAACCAGGAATACCACTGAACATTATGATGGTGGGCTTAGATTCTACTTCCCATGCACACTTTCAACGAAAGCTAGATCCGATATACAAGTACCTTAAGAATGATTTGAAATCACAAATATTCAATGCGCAATCCATTGTTGGTGATGGAACAACTGCAGCATTGATAGCAATGCTGGTTGGACAACATATTGATGAGTTGCCTGAAGGAAGAAGAGGGTTAGATATATATAGTATATTTGTAGATGTAGATTGTCACAAGGACTGCTAGTGTTGGTGTTTACTGACATTTTGATATCTATAGTGAAAATCATTAACAGTCCTAACAGCAATAGTCCTCAGGACTTCGCTAACCTGGATGATCCACATTTAGAGATGATCACTACACCTGGACTTCTCCTAATGACGTAATCATGATGACGTAATCATGAGTAACTGTTACTTACCATTCAAATGATTCCAATGCTGCTGTTAATAAAACCATGTAATTACATTTGTAAGTGAAGTGAAGTATTCAACAAAATTTTTCTTCTTGTAGGAAGTTTTCTGCCAAATGCCTAGATCGTTGGCCATGGATATTCAAAGACATGAGTGCGCATGGCTACGCAACATTTTACAATGAAGACGAGGTTTTCTGGGGCGCTATTACCACACGTCTTAAAAGTTTCTGCAAACCGCCAATCGACCATTACCTTCTACCGTTATGGTACGTAGCGTTGGATAGACTCTCGACAAAGTACCAAAAGATGGTTGGTGGTATGAGTTATCTGAAGGGACATTGCCTTGGTTCGCAGGCCATTTATAATATCAGCTTCAACAGTATAAAAAGCTTCTTCAAAGCGTATCCCAATCAATTGAAATTTGGTTTTCAAATAAGCTCCGACTTTTGCCATCACGAAGATTTTAATTTCATATCGTTGGTTGAAGATGATCTTTTATCGTTTTTAAAGTATTTCAAAACTGAAGGTTACCTCAATAACACCATACTTATATTATTTGGTGATCATGGTTTACGACACGGTTTCGTACGTTCTACGGTCCTTGGACGCATGGAGGAACGGCTACCGTTTCTGTCAGTCACTTTACCGGAGTGGTTTGAAAAGGTCTATCCAAAACTTTACGAGAATATACAGAGGAACAGACATGTTCTAACTACGCCGTTTGATATTCACGCTACATTCCAACATATCCTCATGTATCCACGCGAACCTCGGGAACTTCCTCACGGCAAGAGTTTGTTCACTGATATAGGATGGAGGACCTGCGAGCAGGCTGGCATCCCTTTTCATTTCTGCCCATGCGTGGATTGGAAAGACGTTGAGGTATTGTAGGTTTTCGTAAAGGATTTCCTGTCGAGGGAAAAACAAAATTCCCAAATTTGTTTCAAGTTTAATCAACAGTTATAAGAATTAAATTAAATTACCGCACTGCATATAACATTCCTTCATAGTTATAAGTTATTAAATTCAACTCAAAGTGTTCAAAAAAGAATTTTTAGTTTTATATTATGAATACGTGGAATTACTCACCGTTTCACTTATGCTTTCAGGTCGATAATGAAGACGTACAGAAAAGTGCGTCAGCTTTTGTAGACATGATTAACGAAAGATTGACAAAAAATAGCGTGGAGGCAAAATGCGCTCGACTGAATTTGAAAGAAGTCATCTCGGCGAAGCTCATCACGTCAAAAGGAGGAGTAGAGGAAACGAATCGTGGACAGTTCACGATGAGCAAGATCCTCAAAGGTAAACTTATGAAGTCTTCTTTTGGCCATGCGCATGCTCAATGATGTTTACAGCACGGACCACGGAAGGTTGATAACTGGGGGGAGGAGGGTATTATTTATATACATGTTGCACTTTATTAGTTTCTTTGAAAATCGATTGTGATTACAGATTATAACATATATGAAGCACCTCCTCCCAATCAACCATCTTTCGCAGTCCCTGTGTAAACATTCTTAAAAACATCATTTTTCGCTCGCAGGAGGATGCATGTATCAACTCCAACTGATAACGTCACCAAACAACGGCATGTACGAGTCTACGGTGCAACTGATCAGCGGCATTCCAAACGTCAATCAACAACTTAGCCGAATCAACGCATACAACGACCAATCAGATTGCATAAGAAAAACGCATCCGTTTCTACGTGAAGTATGCTTTTGTCATGGAGCGACGCCTTCAAAAACGTAGTTCTCAATATGAATATGGTTCCAGCATCCACCTAGCGACAGTAGTTAAATTAGCACATTTCAAACCAAATTTACCGTCTTTGGATGTTTGTCTTGCATACGAATGAAATTCCCGTGGTGTATAGATGAGAAAATTGACCATGCAGTCACGGAGGAAGACAACAGTTCAAATGACAAAAATTCTTTTTATTACGATTGGTAGATTTTGGGAAGTGTGCGCCGTTAAACATTTTAAAATCACAATTGCTTTTGCTTAGTTTTTTGAATTTTGGAATATTAGTATTTTGGCATCTCTCTTGCACCCCTTGTATCCAAGGCTACGAGTTGTGCGCAGCCCTGATGTGCAATCTCTCTAGCCTGCATCCCACATTCTCCAGATTAAGTGTCTGTGGTATATTTACGTCCCTGGATGGCTTGGTGTTTTGGCCTTCAAAATAAAGGAAAATCCGGAAAATTTGACCACGAAATGCATTGTTTAATGGAACTATAAAATGTTTAGGTACAAGTCTTCAGCAAGTACAACGTTTCATTGTAGGTATCGTTCACATATTTGGCCAAATTTGGGAGATTTTGTTTTTGTTTTTGAATCCTTTTTAGATCTTGTTAGCAGCCGAGTAGAAATAATAAAAGTATTTAAGAAAACAAGCCCTTTGAAATAGCTGTGTGTTTCAATTCGAAATCTGTTTACAAGCGGAAAACGAAGTTTAATGTGTGTAGAAAATTTAACAACATTTATATTTTTCGCGGTCTTTATCCAACAATGTAAACAGATAATAACCGTCGTCAATGGGAATTGTCTTGCCTCAGTGATTCGATATTATCAAGGCAAAAAAAACTTTATGACAAACGCATAAGCAACTTGACGCAATGTTTTGTTCGTTCATGCTGTCTCTAGTCCTTCATCTCTTCTCGCGTTTTTTTTGCTAGTGAGGTAAATGCGGTGATTTTGTCAAAATATACATCTTATGATCAATAAAGCGAAAGTAAAAAAAAAAGGAAAACCAAAATGATGAACCATAAATAGATTCTCGTGTACATATGTTCTTCAGGGATAAGTTTTATAATTACAATCAGTTTAATTAGTCATTACGTTCTTGTAATGACGTAAAGGATCTCTCGTCCTTATGATCGTCCCGAGACAATCGCGTGGAATTTACAAATTCATCCTTGTTACATGTAATCTAGGAAATTGATTTGAGCATTTAATGTATTGAGTTCGTAAATCATTATCAAAACTATATCTCTCCATAAATACATATATTTGCCGTCATTACGATCTAGGATATCAAAGCTGCCTCCACATATGCATCTAAAGTGAACATTGCCTTGGGATTTCGACCATAACTTCCGCTTCTTAACATTTGTCTTTCAAAAGATCTACTCAAACACTTGATCCTCGCGATAATTTGAAGAAAATCGTCAAGACCGACTCTGCTCTCCCTGTTAACAAATCTTTTCGAGTATATTTCGATAGTTTTGACAGTGATATGAAGGTCGGGAATTCCTGCGAGTGCTTGCCGTAATTCTTTCTTGTCCATATCAAAACTCCTGTCAATATCGTATTTCTTGAACACACCATACCAAATCTTCAAATCTCTCCAAAGTTTATAAAATTCGTCAAACTCGATGCAACAACTCATGTCCACATCATAGAGTGCCAAAAGACTTCGACAGGTTTCCAAATTGAAGTCATAATCTCCCATTTCGCGTCGAAAACAAAGCTGTAGGAGGTTCTGTAACTCATAAGCATCTATGACACCGTCATCTCCGGCAACTTTCTCAAAAATTTCCACAACTTCCTTGTCTTTATCATCAAAACGTTCCAGGCGACGTCGTCTCTCAGATTCTGGTATAATTTTAAATTCCGTATAGCTCCAAGACATTTTGAAGGCTTGCGACCAGTTCACATAACAAAAACATACACAATTGAACTTGTATGGCACTTAGTTGGGCCATTAAAACAAAAAGATTTAAATACAAGGATGTGCCGTCAAGTGGATGAAAGGAAATGACGTCATGAAGGTGAAAAGTTACTGCATCACGCTGTTCTGCATCACCCGGGCTTTCAGACAAAAAAATTTAAAAAAATGCTAATGGCAACACAATCTGAACAATAACAGCTTGGAACGTTCAAAACGTTGTTAAACTTAAGGTTTTGTTTCATATTTATGGCTATAGAATTGCAAATAACAAAGAAAATATCATACGTAATGTAGACTCTGACGACTGCGATGTTGTGGGAAAGAATCCAAGAATACTCAGCGACGTTTGCAGGTGACTCTGCTGGCACAGCAACCCAAGACAACCGTGAGGAATACCCAGCTTTTCGAAGATAACAAGTGGGATGTTAAATCAACGATGGTAATGTAGCAAACGTAAATGTTTTGGAAAAAATGTTAGGAAAGATTTAGCATGTCATTCACATACTTCATCTGAAACAGAAACAAATGCCATTTTCGTTTGTTCAGTAAGTTGGTACTACACATCACTCCTCATTGAAATATGCAACATACTTCATGTAACTGTAGACAACCTCCGCACGATTTCGACCTCACAACTTGAAAGAAAAGGAAGTGAAACGCGAGAGTCGTTTCGATGAAATACCGCCGACTTACACACCTTGGTCTAAGTATGACGTCAAGGACGCAGCGAACAGTCCCAGGCCCCCTTGTCGTGAATTGCAACTGGATGACGTAACAAAGAACCAAAGTTTCTTTGATAACTCAACCAAAGTGGAACGGTACGTTTCTTTATTTGCATCTTGAGAATTGGTTAGATTTGAGGATGATGGGAAACAATAACACGGTCGAAAAAATTATGCAGCAAAAAATCGCCGAGATTATTTCGTGTTCGAACATAATGAAATTAAATCTTTTTTACATCACTTCACAAGGAGTGTCATAGTTTTATAAATCTGGAAAAAGTGTGCTCTGTTGAAGTGTGGTAGCATGGGGAACACTGTATAATAATCACTACAAACGAATCTCCTTCCTTTCTTTTTAGTCCATCAGCACTTTTTGATTTGGATTCTGCAGCGCAAGCCTTGAGTAATATGGCTAAGGTAATGTACGGTAAAATGCACCAGATAAGGAGTAAGGAGTCACACGTTTCAAACTTTTCCCCCTCTACGGCTAACATAACCATTCGATAACTATGATTGGCTAACATAACCATTCGATAAATATGATTGGCTAACATAACCATTCGATCACTATGATTGGCTCGTTAGTGAGCATGGACATGTTTGTGTTCGGTCGATAGTAACTTTTTTATGTCGTCGTTGCTGAAGCAAAATATTCCTATACTATTCTCTGCTTATACGAATTTCATAAATTTTCAGAGAAAAAAAGAGCGCGTCGAATATCAAAGAAGAATCGACTCCATCCTACAGATTGTAAAACGAAAAGGAAAGCGAACGAGAAAAACGAAGAACACGAATTCGAACGCACGTAGGCCGATGAACGCGTTTATGCTTTTTGCAAAACGTTACCGGCTCGAAATCACGCAAAAACATCCGGCAAAAGATAACAGGTAAAAGGAGTGGTGCCTAGTATAATCTATCGCCCAAACTTATCCATGTTTTCATTTATCGCTGTTGCCAGAGCCATAAGTGTCATTCTTGGTGATGAGTGGCGATCGCTGAGTTCAGAAGCGCGCAAAGTCTACATCATGGAGGCTAAAACTTTGGCCGAAGAACACAAGAGAATTTATCCGGACTGCTGGAAGCGCAAACGGACTCAAGTAAGTGAACAATCCATTGAAAAAATGACATTCGTATATCAAGCAAGCAAACCATTGGTTTATTTCGCAAATTATTTAACATTTTTAGATGTCCTCAAGAGGCAACAGGAAGCACTAGTTAGGAAAGTTGACGAAATGTATGTATATATAAACAGCACAATACCTACACCAACTATAGCTAGTATTTTTGGTTTCTCTAACGATAAGTTACGCACCTCATCGTGACTTTAAGGCACACATAATGTAAATAGATAAATTTCAACAAAAACGAATGAAGTTGGACGTGGCTACTTTTGTTTCCGTACTTGATCTTTTTCGCGCATCTGTTTTTAAAGGCCAGATTACGTGCAGGAAGTAGTGTAGGAGTTAAGTGGAAGTATTTTTCACCGATAATGAATGTTATTGAAAAGTATCGGTGGATTTTAAATGCAGGAGTACCCTGCATACTGTGCCCTCGACGTCTGTTGCCACTCGTAACAACTACAGGCGACTCATCAAAGAAATGCGTACGGTTGCAATCAATCAATGAAATATTTGCTACGTAAGCTTCTAACTTCTCCATAACATCCGGCCGTTCTGCCTCTCGAGGAATTTGACTTATTATCTTGTAAGAGTAAACAAGATCTCGTTTCGAAATTCTACTAATGGATGACCTGCTAGGTATGTTTGCTGGAAGGCAAACTTTGTTATTTTCTAGTTGTTGCTGAATCTCTTTTGCGTAAATAGATGATTTATTAATTTTTAGATATTCAGCGTATGCAATAACGTCATCTGTACGCGTGGTTCGAACATCACGTTCGCTCTGGCGAGGTGCAATAGAACCAGTGTCTACCCATAGATCTATTATATTTGATATAGTCTTATACGGTAGATTTAGTTGCTTCAAAATGTTTGTCAAACGCTGGTTATTTAACCACCTTTCAAGTATTTCATTTCTTACTTCTATTGGTAAAGCTTTTCCTTGCTTACTGAACGGATTCATTGCCAAATGTCTACAGGGTACAAAGACCTTTCGCGTTTGCCAGTACTTCGCGACTTTAGTTGACAACTTTAGTACTCAAGTACACAACTTCAGTACTCAAGTACACAACTTGTCAACTTGAGTTGATCAAGTTTAATATCGAATATTCCATAGTTGGAAACGTAGTTGGCAACATTAGAAAGTAACTTGGCAACCGCCATTTGAAAAGTTAACTGAAATCAACAATAAGGACATTGGCTACTTCATCAATTGCAAAGCAAACATTACATATTTCATCATGACGACGGTGAATGAACCTCCTTTCAAATAAGAAAGCCCACGAATGGTCAACTGTGAAACTTTGCAACATGCACAGATGATATAGTCGCTTCAGCGGCCATTGGTAACGTAGGTAGGATTGCTGATTGCATCAAAGAATTATCTCTTATTGAGTAAATATCCTTCATCTAACAGCGCCAAAGCTGTGAGACAGACAGAAAAAACATTTAAACAGACAAAGATTGTGGTAAGTCAAGCGATGACGGGGAACCTGTCACAAGTTGTGTAAGCAGCTAGGGGTTTGCTTTTTGCAATTTCACTTAGTTTGCCAACTTCACTGAACCAAAAATCCACCAAGGATTTCACATATGCCGGTTTTCTATATTGAAAACCAATGTGCCCTGCCAGTTAGGTAGTTGTGTTCATTGATGGAAACCATACGGAAAAGAAACATAACGCCAGAAAGTTACAGCCTGAAAAGCGTCACCAAGGCCACAAGTTAAACTTGTGGTAATAAATTGAAATAGTTTTGGTTTGTTTAAAACATGAATGGACAAGACAATCAACAATCTGATTGAATGCATTGAAATACCCGATCAAGCGTCGAATAAAGCCGATGAACTGAAATTCACATCTTCTCTTATATTCTATTGGAAAGACAATCCTGTATTAAACTATCATGTGTTAAAAGGAATTTCGTGGATTTTACTGCTTTCATACCATTTGCAATCATAAGGGACGTGACTTATGGATTTGGATTAGGAAACAATATTTTTAGATCAATTGTTTGAAAATTGAGCTCACGCGGACAAGCATTCAGAGGTTCCGTTTTAGGTTTCTGCCCAGTGTTGCCAGATGGGCGGTTTTCCCGCCCAATTGGGCTGGTTTATAAGCCTGTTTGCGGGAAATTTTGGGAGGTTGCGGGTTTTTGGGCTGGGAATAACTTTTTGCGCGATTTTTTGGGCTGGAAAAAATTTTGATGATCTAGCTTCCACGTGTTTTTGTTTTTGTCGTGGTAAACAGCAATTGTGCTAATATAACATGGGAAAGTGGGCAAAATACCATAAAAAGTATTGTAAAGACTGGGAAAAGGAAGAAATCTTGAAAGAATGGATTTTGAGTGTACCAGGAGACGACCAAAAAGCATATTGTAAGTATTGCAAAACTCAAATTCGAGCACATCATGGGGATCTAGTTTCTCATGTAAAAACTGAGAAACATAAGCGCAACAAGCAATCTTTTTCCAGTTCAAGAACCTTATTTGAGTTAGGTTGTCAAAGTAAAAAGTAGAGAATTCTCTAAAAGTTACAGAGATAAAGATCGCTGCCCACATCGCATGTCATTCTAGCTTAAACACCGTGGATCATCTTGGCGAGTTATTTAAAGATGTCTCAGGGAAAGATGTTAAACTCCACAGAACAAAGTGTACTGCTTTGATTAAATGTGTCTTAGGACCAGCGATGTTAGAACAGCTACTTCAAGAATTGGTCGATATCCCTTATTCACTAATTATAGATGAAAGCACTGACATTGACAATGAAAAGCAACTGTGCATTATGGTTAAGTATTACAGCGCAGCCAAACAACAGATTCTCACAAGCTTCCTTGGACTTTAGTCTATTGAATCAGGAACGGCAGAGGCCATTTTTCAAGCAATAATTGAATTTTTGAGAGCAAGGAACTTGATATCAAGCAGTGTATAGGCTTGGCCACTGATGGGTGCAACACAATGTGTGGAAGGAACAATTCTGTAATCACAAAATTTCGTGAACTATGCCCTAACATAATACATATAAGATGCATTTGTCATTCTATCCAACTTTGTTCCTCACATGCTCTTAAAGTAATGCCACGGAATGTGGAGTTCATGGTGTCAGAAACGTACAACTGGTTCTCTCATAGCACTTCTAGGCAACGAAAGTATTGCCAGATCTATTCAGCTATCAACGTGGGGGAAGCACCTTTGAAGATTTTAAAGCTCTCCGACACAAGTTGGCTATCTATTTCTGCATGTGTTGACCGAATACTCCAACAGTTTGACGAACTGAAACTACACTTTCAGCTTGCCAAAGATGAAGATCGCAACTACACTGCAGAATTGCTTTTTCAAATGTATGGTGACATGGAGAATAAATTATATCTAATTTTTCTGCAGCCTATCCTTAAAGAATTAAACGGAGTAAATAAGCTGTTTCAGTCAGATTCTGCTAACCCGTTGCAACTCCTCACTGATGTTATGAGTTTGTATAAAGCGTTTCTTTTCCGTACTATGAAGCCTGTGACCTTTACAACATGGTGCTCCACTCTCACGTACGACATAGAGGATGAGAGAAATCATTTGCCTCTTTCTGCGGTCGACTTTGGTATTTTATTTCAAGTGGCATTGGCGGAATCAAATTTAACTTCTGAAAAGGTTGATGTAATCAAATCTAGATGTCAACAATTCCTGGTTGAGTTGCTTAGGCAAATGAAGCAAAGGTTGCCATGCAATATGGAGCGGCTTGAGTCTATTGCTGATCTAAGTCCAACTGTTGTTACAGGCAAACAGAAACGATCTCTTCAAGACCTGTCGTTTCTTCCACTATTTTCCGGAGATTTAGGTAAACTTGACCAACAATATAGTCGCATTGGTTCAATCCAGTGGATTGATGTCAACGACCAGAAGATTGAGCAATTTTGGATGGACGTCATTAATCAAGTTGATGCTTCTGTGGATCACGAGTTTCAAGAGTTGGGAAGCCTTGCACTTTCTATTTTGGCTCTTCTTTTTAGCAAAGCAGCAGTTGAAAGAGCACGAAAGAGTTGAAAGAGTTGAAAGAGATGAAAGAGTTGAAAGAGTTGAAAGAGATGAAAGAGCATGAAAGAGTTGAAAGAGTTGAAAGAGATGAAAGAGCATGAAAGAGTTGAAAGAGTTAGGAAGCCTTGCACTTTCTTTTTTGGCTCTTCCTTTTAGCAACGCAGCAGTTGAAAGAGCATTTTCTCTAATGGCTTTGCTAAAATCCAAACTAAGAAATCGAATGGGACAGTCGCTACTAGAGAATCTCTTGCACGTGAAATCATATATGGCAACGCAAAAAATTTGCTGCAACAATTTTACTCCTTGGCCTCAAATGATATCTAGGTTTACTTCAGAAATGTATGAAATTACAGAAGACGTAAACGATGCGATATACGATATCAATGTGTAGTTTGGTTTAAATTAAATATTTTCAACAGACTTGGGCTAGTTTTTACTTGTTTTGATGCAAATTTGGGCTATTTCTTGCAAAATATAATTGGGCTATTTATGGGCTACTTTTAAAGGTAGCTCGGGCGGGTTTGCAGGCTACCCATCTAGCAACACTGTCATAGAATAGAGAATACATATGGGAAACATTACGATATGGGAAACATTACCGACGCGAGTTGCCCTTCTATATATTCTCTATTCTATGACACTGTCTCTGCCAGACAGAGTCAGAAAAACAAAACAAAGAAGTTGCTGCATATATGAGAAGTGACAACAAGTCGACAATATCCTAGAATTTCACTTCTTCTAGCGAATAAGTTCACTTTCCGTAATACAACATAAATCGGATCAACATGCTTTAAAATCATTCCACACAGCTGTGTTGACAAAACGTCGACGCGAAACACTTTCATTTTTTCTAATTAGCAGCAATTTTAAAAAACACTTGAGAAAAACGGCGATATTTTTGAAAGGAAACATGTTTCGACATTATCATAATGCCATCTTCAGTGCAGAATGGTTAGTGTTAAGTAATATGATACGTAATATGATATGAATAAATTAATTACAATCAGTGGCGTAGCTAGGAAAAATAGTCACTCCCGCCAATCCATCTCGCGCCGGAGGTGCGACCCAACTAGGGGGGTCCGGGGGCATGCTCCCCCGGAAAATTTTGAAATCCAGAGCCTTGGAAACAGCATTTCCTGCGATTTCGAGGGCGAATTATTTGTTGTACAATAATTTATAAAAACCCATTTTTGTTAGCTGCATTCTTAATGTGGCAATCGTTGAAACTGCAACTAGTTAAAAAGGTACTAAAGGTGGCTCAGAGAAACGTTACGCAGGAGACAATTGTCCCCTAAAACATAATTTACTCATCAATGCCCTGCATAAACAGAAGAAATTTGTATTAGCACAAAAATAATATAGTATACGACACTTCTAAAGTGCATAGAGAGATTTTTCTTAGCATTCTACTTGTTAGTTTAAACTTGTTTAGATTGGGGCAAGTAGACAGGGATGGCTTTATTCTATAAAAGTTATGCTTAATTTTCTCAATGAAGTACCATGTATTATACGAACAAATATCAAAACACATACTATACTCATCATTTATAAAGAAAGGCCAGCCTCCTGGGTTTTCTACAAATTTTCAACCACCTCGTTATGCAACACCTCTGATTCCTCTTTCTTTTCAATGATATCTTTGTGAATAGATATTCTACACAAAGAGCTAAGCCGACCTTGACCCATTCTATTTCTTAAATAGCTTTTACCCTTTTAAGCAAGAGAACGACCTCTCTACTGAAGCACTTGCCACTGCCAACACACCATTCAATTTTAACAAATTTACCACTTGACCTAAACTCGACTGGAGATTAAATTTGAAGATGTATTTAAGAACCTCATTACTGCACTCTTTGTGAAAGTCCTTGTCGTTGTAAATGAAGGAAAGTTGACTCTCCCAAGTTTGGATGTCAAAAAGAGGACTATACTTATCTTTGAGAAGATTGATCTTCTCCTGTGGAACTATGCCCTTCCATGTAGTAAATAGTTTAGGATTTACAAGGTCTAAAAACTCGAACTGATTAATATCTTGAAATCGTTCACTTAACATGCCTTTAATGGAATCAATAATCTCAAAATAAAGCTGTTTGTAATTGTATCTACTATCTGCTCTGGTTGCTGGTGGGCCTACTTTTCTAGTGCAGTTTGGTAAAACTCGGTGAAAGCTTGATCTGTGCGAAGTGACACAATAAACTGCTTGAAATTGTCAATCTTGCTTATGCCATAGTTAAAATGGGTTTCCCTATTTTGAAGAATGGAATACAAAATTGTGGACTGTTCTAAAATCCTGTAAAAACACACACTAGAAAACAAAGAGAAAGCTATCAAGATAATGCAGTAAGCCACTTATTTTACTTAATGACTCATCATCCCACCCAGCTGGTTGTTCATGTACCCCTCAAAAATATCTAAAAGTTTTTCATAGTTTTGTGCAATACATTGATTAATCTAGAGCGATAATACCATCTTGTTTCACCAGGGGCAGGAAACTCAAGGTTGTTAGATGTGAGAAAAGCTTTTCTTTTTGGGGCATTGCTTGTAAATGTGCTGAATGTAGCTATATTAATAAAAAAGATTTTAACAGGAGAAATTGATGAGGCTGACTGGCATAGGACCAGGTTCAATCTATGAGCTGCACAATGAACAAAATGAGCAAAAGGATACTCTAGTCGAACCATTGCTTGAACACCATTAATATGGCCAGACATGACAGAAGCACCATCATATGTTTGTAAAACCAGTTTTTCTTTTATATTAGAATACTCAACAAGTTTACCTTTGACAACTTGTGATATTGCTGTGGCATTTCTGTTCATACTTACATCCACAAATCCTAATTGCCTCTCCATAATTTCACTTGCTTTGTCAAACCGAGCAATAACACTTAGCTGCTCTTTGGTGGAGACATCAGATGCTTCATCAACCTGAATACTCATAAATGTGCAATCATTTATTTCCTTTCTGATTTCATCTTCAATAATTGAATCAAGACAGCTGATAAGACCATTTTGAATTTCTGGGGAGACTCCAGTAAATCTTCTGTCACCAACTATATCAGATTCTGCTAGTCTACTGTGCAGTCGACGCTCAAATACAGAATCAAACTTAGCAAAACATTCGAGCAACTCTCTATAATTACCTTTGTTCAAGCTACCTTCGGACTCATTGTGACCTCTAAATGGCAACTCTTGCTTTGACAAATACAGCACGGCCTCAGTAACAGTTTTAAAATTTCTCGATTTTGTCTTACCTCCTCATTGTGACGCTGAATCTCATTTCTTCTAGCGAGGGACATAAGACAATCAATTCGTTCACTAGCTCCATACGTTTTCCATGTCTTAAATGCAGTCAAATGCGATTTAGATTTTTCATGCTTCTTAGCATCAGACATAATACTCCGCATATCGTTGTAGCCATTCTTAGTCCACGATGGCGATGTTTTGGGGGAAAACATTAGACATGGCCAACAAAACACTTTCTGCAAGGTTGTACTGCCACACAGCCAGTCCTTCGCCTCATACCAATCTCTCTGAAATGCTCTTCCCTTATTTTGGATAGTTAAATCAGGAGTAGGCCGTTCATGAACGATAACATTCTGTTCGACCGACGATAGAGCAGAGAACGGTTTAGCTAATAAGCTATTTACTAAATCAACATCAGTTGAGCAAATCGCAGTCGCACTTGAAGCCATTGTGTCATACACAAATACAAAATAGCAATTTGAGAGTAAACACAATGGAAAATTAATACCGACAATGACAGGTAATTTGATAATCACTAATCGCTGTACTTGTATTAAAAGGTCAAATAATTACAACCTCCGCCAATTTAAAATAGCGGGAGTTCGACTATAAAAACAGCAGATTTGAGCATGCGTCAAGTCCCTTAGCCAACCAGAATTCAAAACTTCTTATATAGAATTATATTGTATGTTCCGCCCTCTGAAGATGGGCGGAATACGTGGAGAATCGCGCGAGTATGCAATGTGCGAGAAAAGGCGGTTGCTAGGTTACATAACAAATCTTGAGATTTTGCTGTATTACGATTACGAAATACGAACCACCTAATAAAAGCGTAAATATGAACGAATAAAACATAATATTACAAATTGTTCGTGAAATAATGTATATCTTATGTCCAAATAGAATATTTATTGTTTTTTTGGGAAATTTCTACTCCCGCCGGGCGGGAGTAGCGGGACCGCTAGCTACGCCACTGATTACAATGAATAGGATTATGATTTAGTTACAAAATTATAAAATATTTACAAAAAAGGAAAAGAAAAATAAGTATTAAGAACTTATAACAAAAAATATTATTATAAAGTAAATATAGTGTTGTAGTGGTGAACTTGGATATTTAAATCGGGATTAGTTTTATTAATGTGTAGAGCTTCCTTGATTTTGAGTGAGAAAGTGGATTGACAGTGTCGATGATTTTAAAACAGGAAGGTGAGAATTTGTTTTTACATGAAGGAGAGGCTTGAAGATGTTTGTAGATAGTGGAGTTTTTGTCTGTTTGTCTGTGGATATTTAAACCTTTATTTTACCGCAGATACGTTGACGACATTTTTTGCATTTTTCATAACAAAGACGAAGCATTACTCTTTTACGAATACATCAACAAACAACATCAAAGCATAAACTTTACATACTAAACCGAACAAGACAATCAGTTACCCTTTCTTGACATCTTACTAACTAAATCACATGAAAACTGTATGACCTCTACGTACCACAAACCAACATATACAGGACTACTGACTAACTTTTTTAGTTTCACACCATTAAATTACAAAATTGGACTGATACGAACACTGACCGACAGAGCACGGAAACTCAACAACACAGACATCGGCTTTCAACGTGATTAAAAGAAACTAATATTCACTCTCCAACGTAATTCTTTTCCTTTTCATTTCATCAACAACACTATACAACACTATTTGGACAACAAGAAAAGCACTGACTCATCTAACTCCACAACTAACACTAACGATATACAACAACCTGACAATAAACGTTATTTCAAACTACCTTACATAGGTGATTACACACGACACACACAACGCAAACTCACACAAATCACTAAACGCTACTGCACTGACATTGACGTTAAACTTATTTTCACACCTTTTAAAATAAAATCTTTATTTTCGTTTAAAGACCCACTTCCCGAACTTTCCAAATCTATGGTAGTTTATCAATTTTCATGTGCGGGATGTAATTCCCGCTATATTGGTGAAACTTCTCGCCAATTATCTACCAGGATAAAGGAACATACTCACACAGACAAAACTCCACTATCTACAAACATCTTCAAGCCTCTCCTTCATGTAAAACAAATTCTCACCTTCCTGTTTTAAAATCATCGACACTGATCAATCCACTTTCTCACTCAAAATCAAGGAAGCTCTACACATTAATAAAACTAATCCCGATTTAAATATCCAAGTTCACCACTACAACACTATATTTACTTTATAATAATATTTTTTGTTATAAGTTCTTAATACTTATTTTTCTTTTCCTTTTTTGTAAATATTTTATAATTTTGTAACTAAATCATAGTCCTATTCATTGTAATTAATTTATTCATATCATATTACGTATCATATAACTTAACAGTAACCATTCTGCACTGAAGATGGCATTATGATAACGTCGAAACATGTTTGCTTTCAAAAAAATCGTCGACTTTCATTTTTGCCGTTCAAAAGCTTTTGATATTGAGGGATGCATAACAAATTGATTTACACAGCAATACTCAGTTAGGGTTCCTTGGTCGAGTATAAGAAAATTTACAAGAATCCACTCTTGTTATCACCAAGGCAAGGAACCAAAAACGTCTCTTCAAAATTTGCGTATTCGTGTGTTTTTTGAAGCTTAAACCTCTTCGCTTCGAATAGAAATTGCTCTAGCTCGGGAAAACATGTTAAAACCGATGAAGTCATTTTTGATTCGTAATGTCCGGCAGCAACTGACTGCGAGAACAGTCGTCGGCGCTATAGCAGTATATTGCTTGTTAAAATCGATACAATACAGCGTTGACTATTACAACAACTACGACAAGTATTTCGTGAAGGTGAGTTTATATTTAGTGTTAAATGTAAACAACAATCAATTTAATAATATCACGCGAATTTCTAGGTGGATAATTTAGATATAATACAGGCGGATTTCCATTGTACAAGCTCCCTATCTAACGACTCGTGTACAATAGAAACCGAAGAAGCCTTAATGATGTGTTTCAACATGGGAAGTAAATGTTTCGGAGTGACTTATAACTTCGGAACGAAAACGGCCACATTCAAGCGTGGTAAAAATGGCAAACCGAAATTCTCACTTGGTATTGTCACCACATACAAAAATGAATATAAAGACCTTTTGATGTTGAAAGAATCAGACGAATGTGCGCCGGTGAGGGTAAGGTGTTTACCTAAGTTCACATCAGTAAGTTGACATGTGCTAAATCGTGTTTTTTAATATTTCATTTTTTAAATAATGAAACAGAGACTTTGTCGGATCGTGACCATTGAGTTCTATAATAACTGGAGCAGCTAACTTTACTGGGGCGAGGTCGCCAAAAAAATGGCGGCCAAAGGACGTATTTCCGCTGAAATGATCGCTTTGCAGAAAAATAATATTCTCGACCTCCCCCTGGTGTCTGTAGTAAATTATAAAGAATTTTTCAAAAACCAACACGATATCACAGAATATGGATATCGTTAGTTCCATATTCTGTGACGATATCTTTTTTGGCATTTCTTTTATAATGCCAACACTTCAATCGTTCAATTGTTGGATGTCGTAGTTTCCACAAAAAGGAACATATCGCTTCTCACAGGTGAGATAGTTGCTTGGTTTTTTAGTCCGTCGACGATTGAAAACTGAAAAGCAATTATACATGCACTTGAAAAGCCATTAAAATACATATTAAAGATCGTTTTTTTAACACTGACTTGAACGCCAAATATACTGATGTTTTCCTGTTTTTGTTTATAAAATTCTGCATACTTTTCTGTCATTTGTTAATGCATGAAGTCGTAAATTTACCCATCTATTTGCAAAATAGTTTCCCTAAAGCAAAAAAGTATCAAAACGAAATGATCAGCCCCAAGAGTACCCATGATTTGGAGCAGAGCTTGTTATGTTCTATTTGCTGACAACATGCAGGGAAGACCAAGGAGTAAAGATGACTGGAAGATGTTATTGACCAGGCAGAGTCTGAAAAAAATGATAATGCTGTAAAGATAATTGATTTATTGTCTGCCCTATCCAGAGTTATTTAATTTGATCATGGTCAAATTCTATGGATGGAGACAATGGATTCACTAAGGATGCCTTGAATGCTTTGAAGTTAAAGTTCATGAACCAAAGAAAGATGGCAAGGTTGTGTGTGTGTGTGTCTTAATGAATTGTCAATTCACAAAGATATAAAATGGGAAAGCCATAAAGTTTGTGCCTATATAAACATTTGTACTGAGATTGATGACTTGATACAGATGTGAAACATCAAACTGTATAAGCCATTGGGTTTTATATAACTTAATGTTTAAATCATGTCATATCTTTATCAAAATATTTTAGTTGAGTGTTGTATAAATGTTACTAATATCTAATGCACTACACTGAAGCATTAAAGATTCAGTGATGAAACTTTTAAAGTTACTGCACTGTATATTTCTTCATTATAACAGTTTTTGCTTTAAGAAACAGTTTGAGCTTCTTTACCTAGTAAAGTACAGAATGGAGATTTATCATATGCATTATTGCTACTTTTTCAAAGAAAAGTTTTTCACTTTTCAAAGCTTTCCTACAAATTTTTTGCTTCTTATTTCTTTTCATGAGATTGATGATATATGGTTAATATAATCCAGTAACTTTATAATTTCTAAAAAGCTTTTAAGCTTCTAGCATAAAAGTACACTATAGGTATTTGATTCATTTGGTTATATTGCCTTGCTATGACATATCTACTTGCACTTCATCATTCTTGTATGAACAAAACACCAGATGTGGATACTCAGAGGACAAAATGCACTACCAACTGCTTATGAAATTTATTATTGAGGTGAAAACTGTGTTAATCATTCAAATTGTGTACTTATTTGCAAATATAGGAAAAACAAAACAAAGTGAACAAGAAGGGTAGAAATATTAAAACTACAAATGAATTATAAACACCATTGGAAACATAAGTGTTTTGATGATTATTTGCATTTTGCCCAATTCATATATCAATACAACAAAATCAAAATGTGCTACAACTTCACAAGTATTTGATGCAGTTGCACTTCAGAACATCACAAAAAGATTACTTAAAGTAATTTCTATACAATATTGTTTGTTTTCATTTACCAAACCTATGCAGACTTGAGTCTTTTTGAAATTTAATATGAAACTCAATTACAGAAAATCCGTAAATATCCAGAGATTTAATATTTACTTTTTTAAAGAAACAAGTAAAAATCCAACAATTGTGGCGAAAAAAGCCATTGCCCATTGCATCATGAAAAGAAGCAAAATAGCAATGATAACAAATAAGCTAACTTCTCTCTCGTGAACCGTGGAGATGAACTGTGATATACTTTTTTGTATAGACTAAAGAGTTTAATCGATCAAACAAGTTTGACGCTGGTAAGAAAACGACGCACATCTGCATTCATACATGTGTAGCCGACATATAGGTCTTTCGTCGATAGTTATAAATGCATCCTCGTACGAGCACATTACTGACAACCACAGTTGACTCGCTGTTATGAATTTAAGGTTTTTATCTTGATTTTCATCAAAAATTTGCTTGCCGAATCCCAAATACACACATACATTTTCCTCGCTCTTTCCTCAGGAGGGAGTGGGAAATTGTGAAATTTTCGGAAAAGCGATTAATTTTGGTAAATCTCAGCGGCAACGGACGAAATCCGCCATTTTTTTGGCGTCATCAGATATCTAAGGCCGCGCTTGAGATAGCCGCTCCAGTTATTATAGAACTCAATGATCGTTACTAAAATACCACACGAGTACATACGAGTACATACGAGTACATACGAGTAACATACGAGTACATACGAGTGACATACGAGTACATACGAGTGACATACGAGTAACATACAAGATACAAGTACATACGAGTAACATACGAGAACATACGAGTGACATAGGACTATTTTCTGGTCAACAAAGGAGAAACAACACAATTTCTTCAATACATTGATATTTGCGTTTATTTTTCCTTGTATTTGTGTGGACTTTGGGGCAACCATTTGATAGATTTAAATGCTGAAAAGGTATTTTACTTTCATACTACATTCATTTGTATGTTTTAGTTGAATTTGTTATAGATATTTTGTCGATGCGATTTGCCAGTATTTGAGCGCTTTTTGAAACACTTTCACCTAGGAAATACATATTTATGAAAGCGATTATACATTCATTTTGACTCTGAAGATGACTACCGCTAAGGTTGTCGAAACGTCAGTCAACAACAACAAAAACAGTCCTTCTCAGGACTATTCCAAACCTGGACGATCTACATTTACAAACATGTAACGATACTCACGGGTTCAAACCATTTACTTTATAGATAAGGATCCAAAACATTTAAAAACATTAAAAGTAAGCTGAAATTGTACGCGTAATATGATATATATATACGTAACACAGTGCAACTGTCATTTAATTCAAATATAATGTACATTTATTTCATATAGCACGTTTTGAAAGCATTATTTATACGTTGTTTATTTAATCGCTTTCATAAATATGTATTTCCTAGGTAAAAGTGTTTCAAAAAGCGCTCAAATACTGGCAAATCGCATCGACAAAATATCTATAACAAATTCAACTAAAACATACAAATGAATGTAGTATGAAAGTAAAATACCTTTTCAGCATTTAAATCCATCAAATGGTTGCCCCAAAGTCCACACAAATACAAGGAAGAATAAACGCAAATATCAATGTATTGAAGAAATTGTGTTGTTTCTCATTTGTTGACCAGAAAATAGTCGTATGTCACTCGTATGTACTCCTATGTTACTCGTATGTACTTGTATGTCACTCGTATGTACTCGTATGTACTCCTATGTTACTCGTATGTACTCGTATGTACTCGTGTGGTGTTTTAGTCACGATCGACTTTGTCGTGGTGACAAACTTAAAGATGGATTTCAAAATAGCAAATGCCATGGTGAATGGTGATAATAACAATGTAATAGTTCTTAAAAGAACTGTTTTAACCAAAACACTAACCAAACAATTCAAAGGAACCGTTATTTACAGCTAGAAAGAGACACTATTACGGTGGCTCACAAGGGCCACCACATAAAATAAAAATATTAATACACACACAAAATAAAAATACACACACAAAATACATTATACACACACAAAATAAAAATACACACGCAAAATACATTATACACACACAAAATAAAAATACACACACAAAATAAAAATACACACACAAAATATGATTGCGGGCGCTTGCAGTGTCGGCTTACTCGGAATTGCTCGTAATTTATCGTTTTTGTTTTCAAAGTTCTAATGGTTCCAACTTCCAGAGTACATAATAAAATTCATTGATTTCACTGTGATCAATTATTTCAAAGTTGCTTACGATATTGCTCCCCGTATTCTGGTTAATATTAAGGTTAATGTGTTGTCCTGAAGATCTGAAGCGGCGCTTCAACGTCCGTATAGACATCAGAATACCGGAGGTTTGCAAAAGTCTGACGATTGCCCCATACGGATAACCACGATTGAAATAACCTGTTATCAAGCGTGTAATGTTTTGCTCTGATAAGCAATCATCACAGTACGTGTTTGATTCCGAGACTGAGCCGGAATTGTTGCCGCAACCAGGACAACACATTAACCTTAATTTTAACCAGAATACGGGGAGCAATATCGTAAGCAACTTTGAAATAATTGATCACAGTGAAATCAATGAATTTTATTATGTACTGGAAGTTGGAACCATTAGAACTTTGAAAACAAAAACGATAAATTACGAGCAAATGCAAGCGCCCGCAATCATATTTTGTGTGTGTATTTTTATTTTGTGTGTGTATAATGTATTTTGCGTGTGTATTTTTATTTTGTGTGTGTATAATGTATTTTGTGTGTGTATTTTTATTTTGTGTGTGTATTAATATTTTTATTTTATGTGGTGGCCCTTGTGAGCCACACTATGCATTTCGGCCGACTTCTCGTCAGGTGTCAACGTCTGCTAAATGAGAACCTCCAAACCATGCTATATTTATAACGTTACAAAAGGTCAATGTCATCCCTACTTTTAGAGATAACACTTAAAACAGAGACAGATTAAACACGTAATTCTTTTGTCGGGCAAAGGGCAGGATTAGTCAATTTAATTAATACCGACTCCATGACGCGTAGCTGGAATAACGAGCGACATTTTTTAATAATTCTAAAGTTTTCATCAGAATAAGCATTGGCACAGCGAGTATTGCTCAAAAGATGTTTTCCAATCGCTGAATCACATAGAATCGGATTTTCACTTTTACACCCACGTTTTGGTAGTTGTCGTAAAGGAACAGTTTTATTCCTGACAGAAACTGGTACATGCTGTTTTATTCTTTCACTCAACCTTTGAGAAGTCCTACCTACATAGCGAACATCACACTCACATTTAAACTCGTAGACTACATTGCTTGATATTTGAGCAGGGAGAGACTCTTTGGGAGTGGGTGGAAGAATAGTTCTTTTTGAGAATATAAAGACCACATTGCATGCAAAAAATATCACCGAGAGTTTTAAGTGTTATCTCTAAAAATAGGGATGACATTGACCTTTTGTAACGTTATAAATATAGCATGGTTTGGAGGTTCTCATTTAGCAGACGTTGACACCTGACGAGAAGTCTGCCGAAATGCATAGTGTCTCTTTCTAGCTGTAAATAACGGTTATTTTGAATTGTTTGGTTAGTGTTTTGGTTAAAACAGTTCTTTTAAGAACTATTACATTGTTATTATCACCATTCACCATGGTATTTGCTATTTTGAAATCTATTTCATTTTTTCTTTCAGGAAAGAAGGGAAGAAGCGAATACTAAAACATCAAACAAGATATGCAATATTCCCAACATTGACCCATTTGATTCTACTGTCATGAAAATGGTAAAGAAAGTGGAGCCTCTGGTTTGCAAAGGAGAAAAAAACTTGACATTTTATAGAAATGGAAAGTTGACGCTAACATCAGGTATGTTTAAAGTTCATTCATCTCAGTAATTTGCTTGAATAAAGTTTCTATGGTTGGCTTCTGATCTTCAGCCAAAAACTTGATTTGTCAAAGTTCTGTCCAGCAATGAAGGAAAAAAACATTTTGAACAGGAAGTCTATACATGTCACATGCATATAGTGAATATTTTAGTTGATACATAGAATTAGGTATTAAAATCAGGCATTCTGGAATTCCGCGGAAAAAAAATGTGTATCCAGTAAATAAGCGCAAGTATTGCCATGAGGAGATAGTTCATCAAAATCAAGAATAACAGCCAGGACATCCATTACATAGCGTCCCTCATCATCGCTCAGCTCATCAGTCAATATAGCGACTTTTTTACCGTTAAATTTTTACTTCAATTCCTCTTTCTCTACAACATATACATCAACAAGATACTCATCTCGCAGTTGAGAGGATCCAGGAATAGCACCGCCATTTTTTACCCTTGTGGTCAAGAACTCTCTTAGATATGCGTTATCAGATTTTAATAGCGGAATATTCGCCGCAGTGCATGCAAATATCCATTCTTGACAAACCTTGATTTTCTCTGCCTTTGCATTGTTAGAGAATTTCAGTGCTGTTTTGACAGACTGCTGCTTTCCAAAAGAGTTTGCTTTGGCATGACTCTTTGATTTTAGGTGGTCATCGACGGTGGATTTCCTTACATGATCAATTACGACATTGCACTTTGAACAGAACAACAGACCATCATCCACGTGAAAAGTTCCTGACGGATATTTACTTGCTCGCTGTTTTGCATCTATATTCACAGAAAGGTGTGACTTTGTCTTTGGATGAGGAACTTGGGACAATTTCTGCACAACAAATTTATCCATCCGCAAAGCTTACATTGAATGATCTTCGCTCGTATAAACTGCCGCCATTTTTTCCTCGTATTTAATTTAAATAAACTACGTGAACGGAACGGAAGTACTTCCATTTTGTTTAAAATTTTACAGACGTAGCAACTAGCAAAGGCAACGCACTAGTGTTGTTTCCAGGGACGCCGGAACTGGGGGGGCAAGGGGGGCAACGGCCCCCCTTGCCTTTTCTGGAGGTGGACAGGAGGGGGGCAAAAGTGCCCTACAGGTTGAAAATTTATTGTTTTTAATCCAAGATAAAGACTACTTAACCGTTGTGGGATATTGCATTCTTTTTAGCGTAGCAATAAAATTGTCGTAACTATGTTAGTTTTCCTTTAACATTTCTTTGTTTTAAGAACGTCTTGTAAGTTCTTTGTTTGTTTAGTTAGTTCTTCTTTTTTGTTGCAACGCGTGAAAACTTGAAACACAATGAAAGAGTGAGTACTGCTAATGACGTAAAGGAAAGCTCGACTTATGCAATTACCGATAGTATAAATAACAAGTAAATAATTAACTCTAATAGATAGCGTAAGAATACTCCAGTGATGTACTTGTAGATTGTTTGGCTTGTAAAATAAAAGGTTCAAAGCGAAGAGTGTTAGTGAACCAGTTGAGGAGCGGATTCCTCGACAACCGTGAAACGCCCTTTTTTAAATGTAAACAACTAAAAATCACAATACCTTTGCAAATTCCTTTCATTATTATTAAATCCAAAAAATTACCTGGAACATGACGTATAGCAAAGATATTTTTAATGGTAAACATCTGCTGGCATAAATGGCTCAGTCACCTAAACACTGATGATTTTGAAAGGAATATTTATTGCATCTTATCGCTTTTTCTGCAATGCCAAGAGCAGAAAGATGTAAAAAAGATTCAGCAAAAGAATTAGCGAAAGCAGCGGCTAAACCAGGTCAATCTAAAATAACATCGCTGTATGCAAAAGGAAACACAAGCCATGATTTTGATTCTGCTTCAACAAGCGGAATTGACACTGTAATAACTGTCAATACTGAAAAAGCCTCAGACTGTGAATCACAAAACAGATGCCTCAGTTTACAACAGTGCGAATATAACACCAATGCGAAGCTCGTACTACCAAGCCATTGATGCAATCATCTCAGGTCTAGGATCGCGATTTGAACAAGGCGATCTTTTCCAGATCAAATGTATCAAGAAACTGTTACTTAACTCTATGAAAGAAAGAGGAGTATCTTTAGATGGATTAAGCAATTCTTTGATTGATAAAGATGCTCTAAGAAAGCAGCTTGATGATCTTCCCACCATTCTTGGGCTTTACAACGCGGATCAGAAGAAAAAAATAACAGAAGTCACGCGTATTTCAACAATAGCAGAGATATTCAATACCATGCCGTCAGCAAAGAAAAGGTGCTCAGAGATCCACAAACTAATTATACTATACTACACAGTGCCACTCTCATCTGCCTCGTGCGAACGCACATTCAGCGTAATGCGTCGTCTCAAAACATGGCTGCGGTCAAACACTGAAGGAAATCATCTGAATGATATTATGTTCTCCAACATTCAGAAGCAACACATGGATATGGTGGAAATAGACGTAATTGCTAAAGAGTTTTCACAGAGAAATGAAAGAAGAATTAAATATTTTGGAAAATACAATACATGACAAATTGTAAATTAGTGACGTTACATCGTTTGATAGTTATATTATCGTTAATATTTATCGACCAACACTGCGGACATGTGCTTCTATACAGTATATTGCATGTAGCACATCTCTTTGCTGTTTATCAATATGAGATTATTTTTAGTATATTTCACTAATGTGCCCTTCCACAAAGGCTTGCTCCTTCTGCCCTTTTGCCGTTCCGGCGTCCCTGGTTGTTTCGCTCCAGACTTCATTTAGAACACCAAATAATTCGTAAGTTCAGGGAATAATTTTGAAAACCACGTGTAAAAATTAAAATTCCGCGATATTCCGCGAATTTTGATCGATTCTGCGAAATCGCGGCACCGCGGAATTCCAGAATGTCTGTAAAATAGCACCTGTTTAAAAAACCACTTTTACTTGTAGGTACTAACAACTAAGAATACATCAAACATCAAAGATATATGAAAACAATCAACTGCAATATGTAAAAAGCACAACACCATTTTCGATATGTATCAAGGATAAAGAGTTATAGTGTTCTATACATATTTGCATAAGCCTCTAATTATCCTTTCATACATCCCTGGGTCCCCATTTTCTCCATTTACACATATTGTGCACCTACATAACTTATGTTTGGTAAAAATTTTGTTTGTTATATTTGTGTATAAAAATTTTTAAATTATGAACATACTTGTACCATGATGCGCCAAAACTCATGGATAAGTGTTGTTTTATAGCTGGAAGATTAAGAGCAATCAAGGCAGAATATGAAGTTATTACAGGACGTAGCAACTCTGGAGAATGGTTTAATGTCAAGGAAAAAGGCACCCTTACACCATCAAAGCCAGAGGTGATCCTTAACGAAGACATGGTGTATGTCGAGATTCACAAAACAGATAATGAAATTCAAAAAGAATTTCACATGGAAGTGAATTCTCGTGATGAAATACTAAACAGAGTTCCTCAAAAGAAACCAGGAATACCACTGAACATTATGATGGTGGGCTTAGATTCTACTTCCCATGCACACTTTCAACGAAAGCTAGATCCGATATACAAGTACCTTAAGAATGATTTGAAATCACAAATATTCAATGCGCAATCCATTGTTGGTGATGGAACAACTGCAGCATTGATAGCAATGCTGGTTGGACGACATATTGATGAGTTGCCTGAAGGAAGAAGAGGGTTAGATATATATAGTATATTTGTAGATGTAGATTGTCACAAGGACTGCTAGTGTTGGTGTTTACTGACATTTTGATATCTATAGTGAAAATCATTAACAGTCCTAACAGCAATAGTCCTCAGGACTTCGCTAACCAGGATGATCCACATTTAGAGATGATCACTACACCTGGACTTCTCCTAATGACGTAATCTTGATGACGTAATCATGATGACGTAATCATGAGTAACTATTACTTACCATTCAAATGATTCTATTGCTGCTGTTAATAAAACCATGTAATTACATTTGTAAGTGAAGTGAAGTATTCAACAAAATTTTTCTTCTTGTAGGAAAACTTCTGCCAAATGCCTAGATCGTTGGCCATGGATATTCAAAGACATGAGTGCGCATGGCTACGCAACATTTTACAATGAAGACGAGGTTTTCTGGGGCGCTATTACCACACGTCTTAAAAGTTTCTGCAAACCGCCAATCGACCATTACCTTCTACCGTTATGGTACGTAGCGTTGGATAGACTCTCGACAAAGTACCAAAAGATGGTTGGTGGTATGAATTACGTGAAGGGACATTGCCTTGGTTCGCAGGCCATTTATAATATCAGCTTCAACAGTATAAAAAGCTTCTTCAAAGCGTATCCCAATCAATTGAAATTTGGTTTTCAAATAAGCTCCGACTTTTGCCATTACGAAAATTTCAATTTCATATCGTTGGTTGAAGATGATCTTTTATCGTTTTTAAAGTACTTCAAAACAGAAGGTTACCTCAATAACACTATACTTATATTATTTGGTGATCATGGTTTACGATACGGTTTCGTACGTTCTACCGTCCTTGGACGCATGGAGGAACGGCTACCGTTTCTGTCAGTCACTTTACCGGAGTGGTTTGAAAAGGTCTATCCAAAACTTTACGAGAATATACAGAGGAACAGACATGTTCTAACTACGCCGTTTGATATTCACGCTACATTCCAACATATCCTCATGTACCCACGCGAACCTCGGGAACTTCCTCACGGCAAGAGTTTGTTCACTGATATAGGATGGAGGACCTGCGAGCAGGCTGGCATCCCTTTTCATTTCTGCCCATGCGTGGATTGGAAAGACGTTGAGGTATTGTAGGTTTTCGTAAAGGATTTCCTGTCGAGGGAAAAACAAAATCGCCAAATTTGCTTCAAGTTTAATCAACAGTTATAAGAATTAAATTAAATTACCGCACTGCATATAACATTCCTTCATAGTTATAAGAATTACTTAATCACATCCAACTAGACACACATAAGTATAATTAGCATTTAATTAAATTCAACTCAAAGTGTTCAAAAAAGAATTTTTAGTTTTACATTATGAATACGTGGAATCACTCACCGTTTCACTTATGCTTTCAGGTCGATAATGAAGACGTACAAAAAAGTGCGTCAGCTGTAGTTGACATGATCAACGAAAGATTGACAAAAAATAGCGTGGAGGCAAAATGCGCTCGACTGAATTTGAAAGAAGTCATCTCGGCGAAGCTCATCACGTCAAAAGGAGGAGAAGAGGAAACGAATCGTGGACAGTTCACGATGAGCAAGATTCTCAAAGGTAAACTTTTGAAGTCTTCTTTTGGCCATGCGCATGCTCAATGATGTTTACAGCACGGACCGCGGAAGGTTGATAACTGGGGGGAGGAGGATATTATTTATATACATATTGCACTTTATTAGTTTCTTTGAAAATCGATTGTGATTACAGATTATAACATATATGAAGCACCTCCTCCCAATCAACCATCTTTCGCAGTCCCTGTGTAAACATTCTTAAAAACATCATTTTTCGCTCGCAGGAGGATGCATGTATCAACTCCAACTGATAACGTCACCAAACAACGGCATGTACGAGTCTACGGTGCAACTGATCAGCGGCATTCCAAACGTCAATCAACAACTTAGCCGAATCAACGCATACAAAGACCAATCAGATTGCATAAGAAAAACGCATCCGTTTCTACGTGAAGTATGCTTTTGTCATGGAGCGACGCCTTCAAAAACGTAGTTCTCAATATGAATATGGTTCCAGCATCCACCTAGCGACAGTAGTTAAACTAGCACATTTCAAACCAAATTTACCGTCTTTGGATGTTTGTCTTGCATACGAATGAAATTCCCGTGGTGTATAGATGAGAAAATTGACCATGCAGTCACGGAGGAAGACAACAGTTCAAATGACAAAAATTCTTTTTATTACGATTGGTAGATTTTGGGAAGTGTGCGCCATTAAACATTTTAAAATCAAGAATGCTTTTGCTTAATTTTTTGAATTTTGGAATATTAGTATTTTGGCATCTCTCCTGCACCCCTTGTATCCAAGGCTACGAGTTGTGCGCAGCCCTGATGTGCAATCTCTCTAGCCTGCATCCCACATTCTCCAGATTAAGTGTCTGTGGTATATTTACGTCCCTGGATGGCTTGGTGTTTTGGCCTTCAAAATAAAGGAAAATCCGGAAAATTTGACCACGAAAATCATTGTTTAATGGAACTATAAAATGTTTAGGTACAAGTCTTCAGCAAGTACAACGTTTCATTGTAGGTATCGTTCACATATTTGGCCAAATTTGGGAGATTTTGGTTTTGTTTTTGAATCCTTTTTAGATCTTGTTAGCAGCCGAGTAGAAATAATAAAAGTATTTAAGAAAACAAGCCCTTTGAAATTGCTGTGTGTTTCAATTCGAAATCTGTTTACAAGCGGAAAACGAAGTTTAATGTGCGTAGAAAATTTAACAACATTTATATTTTTCGCGATCTTTATCCAACAATGTAAACAGATAATAACCGTCGTCAATGGGAATTGTCTTGCCTCAGTGATTTGATATTATCAAGGCAAAAAAAACTTTATGACAAACGCATAAGCAACTGGACGCAATGTTTTGTTCGTTCATGCTGTCTCTAGTCCTTCATCTCTTCTCGCGTTTTTTTTTTGCTAGTGAGGTAAATGCGGTGATTTTGTCAAAATATACATCCTATGATCAATAAAGCGAAAGTAAAAAAAAAGGAAAACCAAAATGATGAACCATAAATAGATTCTCGTGTACAAATGTTCTTTAGGGATAAGTTTGTAATTACAATCAGTTTAATTAGTCATTACGTTCTTGTAATGACGAAAAAGATCGCTCGTCCTTATGATCGTCCCGAGACAATCGCGTGGAATTTACAAATTCATCCTTGTAACATGTAATCTAGGAAATTGATTTGAGCATTTAATGTATTGTGTTCGTAAATCATTAACAAAACTATATCTCTCCATAAATACATATATTTGCCGTCATTACGATCTAGGATATCAAAGCTGCCTCCACATATGCATCTAAAGTGAACATTGCCTTGGGATTTCGACCATAACTTCCGCTTCTTAACATTTGTCTTTCAAAAGATCTACTCAAACACTTGATCCTCGCGATAATTTGAAGAAAATCGTCAAGACCGACTCTGCTCTCCCTGTTAACAAATCTTTTCGAGTATATTTCGATAGTTTTGACAGTGATATGAAGGTCGGGAATTCCTGCGAGTGCTTGCCGTAATTCTTTCTTGTCCATATCAAAACTCCTGTCAATATCGTATTTGTTGAACACACCATACCAAATCTTCAAATCTCTCCAAAGTTTATAAAATTCGTCAAACTCGATGCAACAACTCATGTCCACATCATAGAGAGCCAAAAGACTTCGACAGGTTTCCAAATTGAAATCATAATCTCCCATTTCGCGTCGAAAACAAAGCTGTAGGAGGTTCTGTAACTCATAAGCATCTATGACACCGTCATCTCCGGCAACTTTCTCAAAAATTTCCACAACTACCTTGTCTTTATCATCAAAACGTTTCAGGCGACGTCGTCTCTCAGATTCTGGTATAATTTTAAATTCCGTATAGCTCCAAGACATTTTGAAGGCTTGCGACCAGTTCACATAACAAAAACATACACAATTGAACTTGTATGGCACTTAGTTGGGCCATTAAAACAAAAAGATTTAAATACAAGGATGTGCCGTCAAGTGGATGAAAGGAAATGACGTCATAAAGATGAAAAGTTACTGCATCACGCTGTTTATGCAAATAACTCAACATAGGCTACAACCACTGATCAGTTTTTACAACGAAGACGAGTAGAACAGAAACAAGTACTGAAGACTGAAATTACACCCGGGCTTTCAGACAAAAAAATTTAAAAAAATGCGAATGGCAACACAATCTGAACAATAACAGCTTGGAACGTTCAAAACGTTGTTAAACTTAAGGTTTTGTTTCATATTTATGGCTATAGAATTGCAAATAACAAAGAAAATATCATACGTCATGTAGCGATCCTGTCGTGCGCTACGGGTCAACGAACGGCGAAGAAGAAGCCACTGAGCTTGCATCGTGACTGGATGTAACATCGAAACTGAATGACGATGACGTCATAGTGTCAAATATTGACGTCGTACGAGATGTGGTACGTGAACTTCCCTCCAAGAGTTGTCTTAGTACTGATTCAGAAAGGACACTCTGAACAGAAAAACAGGAAATAAATGACGTCACTGACTTCAAGAAACCAACACTATGACGACGACAACACCACCACCGAAAGGAACGATGGGAAATATTCATATGCAATTGGAAGATGGGAAGTGAAAAATTGGCGATTATAATTGAGGACACGAGTCCATTGCAAGAGCTCACTATTTGTTTTTGGACAGAACGTGTGAACTATCGAGGGCTTGCAAAGATAAACATTATTTGAACTCAATAAAGAGTTCTTGTGCGGAAACCTCAATAAAGTGACTGAATAAAAATACTTTAATGTTTAAACTGTACATTGATGTGTGTTTGTATCCAGTGTGTTTATATTCAAGTAGGACTTTTTAAGGATTTATTGGGAACAAAAAATTTGATTTTCAAAAAAAGCTCTCGAGCAAAACTTCATAAATATTAGCGAGCCCTTTTGAAGTGAAAACAAGTGACTTGAGCTTCAATAAAAATATAATCTTGGAAAGATCTTTAAAAACGTTTTCTTGCTATACTTTCATGGCTTGCTTAGTTGTTTTTGAAAATCACAAAGACAAAAAACGAGCGTTAACGCAAGACGAGAAAGCGTAAAACTTAAAAATTTATAATTTGATCACATTTCAAGAGCAATAAAAATTTCTGCCTTGATTCAAAACGATCTCAAAGTCTAGCACAAGGACGGGTAAACAAAACTTCATTCCAACATCTTTTCTCAAAACTTCGAGACCGAATCATGATAAATTTAGTTCAATCACCTTCTCACAGTCTTTTCTCCAAAACTTGGAGTAAATAACAAAGCTTGGTGTCGAGAGGGGGAGCAGGGGTATCAACAGGGGAAACAGGGGTGTCGAGAGGGGGAGCAGGGGTATCGAAAGGGAAAGCAGTGGTTCGTTTTGCTCATGTGGCCCTGAGTGAAGGCCTGCTATACACACTATAAAATTGAAAACTAAAGTACACATCAACTTACTTCATTCTCATCGTTATTTTGGAAATGCTTCAACTGCTCCTCGATCACCATTAATCTCTCCTTCATAAGTTGCATGTCATTTTCTTGCAAAACAATCTCGCCTACAGCTAACACGCAATAAATTTGAATGAATAGAAATTTGAGAACTAATACGGATAATAACTGAAACGTACTTGATTCACCATCTCCAGGAGCGGTATATTCGCCATTGATGTTGGCCTAAAATATATTTCAGTGAAACGAAATTTTATGGATGACGGAGAACTAACGATTTCTATTCGATGTGCGATTTTATACTTTTTACTGGTCAAAAAAACAGGGTAATTACCAATATAGTTAGGTTCAATAGCTAAGCCAGCTCGTTTTTTACTCATACAATGCAAATATGTTCGCGTTCAATCACATTAAAAACATTGAACGGAATATATTTTCTAAAGAAACGAATAATAATTTGGTTGAAAAACTGCATTGTAGGAGTAAAATTTCTGACTGGCTTCGCCACTGGTTGAGGTACTATTATAATCATTGAAGGATTATGGGGAATGTCGTATTGGTTGTTGGATTGGGGGGTATTACAATTTTTCGGAATAATGAAATAATGTAGTTAAGCTGGTTAAGGTGTCGCACTTGTAAATGCTGTTAAAAATATGTATGGGAAAAAACTGTGAAGTGAATGGTTTGTAGATGTAGATCGTTTGTGTTAGTCTAATTCTGAAAAGGACTGTTTGCGTCGGTGTTGACTGACGTTTCGACATCCTTAGCGGTAATAATCTTAAGTTGCTTGATCCGGTCTTATTACGAGATCAGTGGGAGAGCATTGATGGATTTTCTAATAATTGATGGAATTTCGAGGGTTGCTGAAGAGGGGTGAGCTGGTAAGGAAGTAATGCACGACAAGGTAAGGGTCAAGATTTTAGGGGTGTTCGGGTCGAGAAGTGAAACTACCAAAGTTAGTCCAAACGGTTGAAACATTGTCCTGAAAAACTTAGTTTAACTGTAGTACTGACTTTTTTGATGAAAAATGGGGAGTTTGACTGAATGTTTCTTAGAGGGGTGAATGATTTATATAGGGGAGCGAAATCTGATATTTAGGAGTACCCCCCCTGCGTCCGCCCACCCTAGAAAATTCGTAAATGCTCCAGAGTTGAGTCAAGTTAGACATGATTGGGTGGATGTAAAAATTCTTCAACTGTACTTGAAAAGATGGTTGACATGTTAAGCTTACCATAATATTTCGATCAGCGTCAATTTTTCCACATGTCACTTCAAACTCTTCAGAGGGTATCAAACACTGAAGTCGCCTATGAAAATGATAAAAAAAACGACGTTACATACAGCTGTGATAGAGTGATATCTGATTTGATTTCGTAAATTCATGTTCATCTTATATAATGTATAGTATATAGTCAAAAGTCTGAAACACAAAATTCAGAATTCAAAATATACACTTCAAAATGTCCAATCCAGAATTCAAAATTCAAGGCAGTTTTATCCCACTAAACCTCATCAAATTCCATTCAACCCAACTCTTTCTCTTAATGTCCAAGACAGTTTTATCTGACTAATCCTCACCTAATTCCATTTAACCCAACTCTTTCTCTTAATGTCCAAGACAGTTTTATCCCACTAAACCTCATCTAATTCCATTCAACTCAACTCTATCTCTTAACACACAAATCTCAACATTATCATCATCACATTTTGTAAGCTAACACTCTATCCATGGCCTTATTGAAAGTTTTATGTAGGATAATAATATTTTTATTAAAATATAACTATTTAAATTTTTCAAAAATAACCAAGCTTATCATTGTGACACACAACGTGGTGTTGTTAGCAGTGAATGTATCATACATATGCCACGTACATATTTATGTCATCAAGTTGTTTGGCTTCATCCTGTGTTGGTACAAAACCATTGCCGTAAGGAATGACGGAATCTTGACAAGCCGACTGCAACGAAAACAAAATTCACAATAATACAACTACAAAGCAATAGAGAAATACAACATACAATATCAAGGATAAGCTATGACTTAAATAAACCCCAAACATTCGGAGTGGAACTTTTAGCACTCGTGTCTGACATATTTGCAGTGCCACGAAGACAATAATGTTGTAAGGCAACCTCATATGTTTGTTACGTAACATAGATCGTCAAGGTTAGTTCAGTCCTGAGAAGAACTGTTGGGGTTGATGTTGACTGACGTTTTGACATCCTTAGCGTTAGACATCTTTAGAGTAAAGTAAAGATGAAGAATGCAAGGTTGTCGAAGCATCAGTCAACACCAACTCCAACACCAACTCCAACACCAACTCCAACACCAACACCAACACCAACTCCAACACCAACATCAACACCAACATCAACACCAACACCAACACCAACACCAACACCAACACCAACATCAACACCAGCTCCAACACCAACTCCAGCACCAACACCAACATCAACACCAACACCAACACCAACACCAACATCAACACCAACACCAACACCAACACCAACACCAACACCAACACCAACACCAACACCAACACCAACACCAGCACCAACACCAACAACAACACCAACACCAACACCAACACCAGCTCCAACATCAGCACCAACATCAACACCAACACCAACATCAACACCAGCTCCAGCACCAACTCCAACACCAGCACCAACTGCAACACCAACACCAACATCAACACCAACTCCAACACCAACTCCAACACCAACACCAACACCAACACCAACTCCAACACCAACACCAACACCCCTTCTCAGAACTTGACAAACGAGTACAATTTACAACACCCCTTCTCAGAACTTGACAAACGAGAACAATTTACATCTACAAACATCGAAACATGTAACGAGACTCCAGCGTTCAAACCATCAACCTTATTAAATACCTCATTCGTTAGATCTCCGATATCCGATAGAATTTCGTCCAATCGTTTCTTTTCATCTTCTGTCATTGCAATTAAACTACCAGCATCAGCTGCTAGCTAAACAAAACATATTATGACAAGGATGAATATCATATTTTTTAACAGTTATTTTGGCAACGATCTTTCTTTGGTAATCTAAGCGACCAAAGAGTAAATTTTAGTCAAGAATCAAAATAAAAAAAGATACAGTCACACGTATCTCAAAATCAACTTTTAAAAGGAAATGGTAAGCTTACCAAGATATTTCTCTTGATGAAATCTTTCGTTTTTGATTTCCGTTGCTTTTTCGTATTTTTCTCGCTATTCTTGCCGGTCTGATGAGTAGGGTCGTTTTCAATTTTACTTCTATTTTCTCGTTTTGGATTGCAATTTTTATTGGAAGATTCGGTTCCTGTAACGTTCCATGAAATATCAGTTCACTTTACGCTGTCGACACCACTGAATTATGACAAATTCATATCATCAGCTCTTAGTAAAGTACACCGACTAAGCTAACGTTTTCGAAATATTAAAGACGCAGCTCAAAAAATACAAATAATTTTAAAGACATACACGTTGTAAGACAATCATGTTTGACAAACTAGGAACGACGAAGATGCAATTGAAGCATGTTCAAGAAGTTTGTTGTTTTGTATACTAATGAATAATTAGCCACTATATGACTATACATTTGAAGTAAAGATAATATTGGCGTCCACACTTCATGATGACGAGCATCATTTAACACAATGACAATAAAGTGTCTTTAACTACCGTCTTTCTTCTATTTATAAACCCCTCCTTCAGCTCTTCCCCCGGTCTCAGTAAATTAAAAATCACCCGTAAGTCAATCTCACAATGAATTAACGACTAAATACAAATGCTAATTAAGCTTTATTCAATGATAAAAGCTTTTGATTCGTTTGAATTTCACTAATGTAAGAATAAAATAGCAGGTTGCAATTTTGCGTGAAATTATTTACACTCCAGGGGCCGGTTTGCAGGAAGCCTAGATAGCGTTATCAATTTGATAGCAATTTTTTTAAACTTCTATTAAACCTTTTAAAAGCAAAAAATATACGATTCGAACTGAGCAATCACTGCAACAAACTATTGTTTCGAAGATTACGAAATTTCTTTGTGGTAACGATGACGATTTCTTTGTCGTTTTACAAATTTGAAATTTGTGTTATCCAATGGATAACGCTATCCAAGCTTTGTGCAACCACCCCAGGCCCTTTACCTCCCCTCCCTCCACCTTCTAATTCGAAACTTTAATAATTGCAAAATAAAATAACCGCACATAGGGGGGGTTGGTGGTGAATACACGAAATACTGAATTTCCCTGAAAACTCATATTAAAACGATCTCATCGTAATAGCGTCAGTATTAAAGATGTTAATACCTTTGTTAACATTCAAAGTGTCTGAAGTACAGTCTTCTTGATGTATTTGCTGGTCATTCATGTTATCTTCAACAAAAGGTTGTGTTGCAAAGAGTGGTGTGATAATGCGTGGGTCTTCGACGAGACATTTTTCTGTGAATTGAAAAATATAAACACGATAACCTTAACCAACATAGAGGACACTTTATTTCATACTTTAATTGAAATAAAAACAGTATAGCTAGAGACTCGGAAATGATTTAAATGCTGCTCTTTAAAAACAAATTCTCTTTAATTATCCCTCAAAAAAGTCAGCATGATTTGTCAGAGACGACTATGTCGTAGGTCCGAGAGCAACGTGTGGTAATGTGTCGTAGGTCCGAGAGCAACATGTGGTAATGTGTCGTAGGTCCGAGAGCAACATGTGGTAATGTGCCGTAGGTCCGAGAGCAACATGTGGTAATGTGCCGTAGGTCCGAGAGCAACATGCGGTAATGTGCCGTAGGTCCGAGAGCAGCATGTGGTAATGTCGTAGGTCCGAGAGCAACATGTGGTAATGTGTCGTAGGTCCGAGCAACATGTGGTAATGTGCCGTAGGTCCGAGAGCAACATGTGGTAATGTGCCGTAGGTCCGGCAGCATGTGGTAATGTGCCGTAGGTCCGAGAGCAACATGTAGTAATGTGCCGTAGGTCCGAGACAACGTGTGGTAATGTGTCGTAGGTCCGAAACAACGTGTGGTAATGTGCCATAGGTCCGAAAGCAACATGTGGTAATGTGTCGTAGGTCCGAAACAACGTGTGGTAATGTGCCGTAGGTCCGAGGAACATGTGGTAATGTGCCGTAGGTCCGAAACAACGTGTGTAATGTGTCGTAGGTCCGAAACAACATGTGGTAATGTGCCGTAGGTCCGAGCAACGTGTGTAATGTGTCGTAGGTCCGGAAACAACGTGTGGTAATGTGCCGTAGGTCCGAGAGCAACGTGTGGTAATGTGCCGTAGGTCCGAAACAACGTGTGGTAATGTGCCGTAGGTCCGAGACAACATGTGGTAATGTGTCGTATGTCCGAGAGCAACGTGTGGTAATGTGCCGTAGGTCCGAAACAACGATGGTAATGTGCCGTAGGTCCGAAACAACGTGTGGTAATGTGTCGTAGGTCCGAAAGCAACGTGTGGTAATGTGCCGTAGGTCCGAAACAACGTGTGGTAATGTGCCGTAGGTCCGAAACAACGTGTGGTAATGTGCCGTAGGTCCGAGAGCAACGTGTGGTAATGTGCCGTAGGTCCGAGAGCAACATGTGGTAATGTGCCGTAGGTCCGAGAGCAACGTGTGGTAATGTGCCGTAGGTCCGAGAGCAACGTGTGGTAATGTGTCGTAGGTCCGAGAGCAACGTGTGGTAATGTGCCGTAGGTCCGAGAGCAACATGTGGTAATGTGCCGTAGGTCCGAGAGCAACGTGTGGTAATGTGTCGTAGGTCCGAGAGCAACGTGTGGTAATGTGCCGTAGGTCCGAGAGCAACGTGTGGTAATGTGCCGTAGGTCCGAAACAACGTGTGGTAATGTGTCGTAGGTCCGAGAGCAACGTGGTAATGTGCCGTAGGTCCGAGACAACGTGTGGTAATGTGCCGTAGGTCCGAGAGCAACGTGTGGTAATGTGCTGTAGGTCCGAAACAACGTGTGGTAATGTGTCGTAGGTCCGAGCAACGTGTGGTAATGTGCCGTAGGTCCGAGAGCAACGTGTGGTAATGTGCCGTAGGTCCGAGAGCAACGTGTGGTAATGTGCCGTAGGTCCGAGAGCAACAAGTGGTGGTGTGCCGTAGGTCCGAGAGCAACGTGTGGTAATGTGCCGTAAGTCCGAGAGCAACAAGTGGTGGTGTGCCGTATGACAGCGTACACAGTGTAGTGTACGTAAGCATGTGTCAAAACTAATAAATGTTAAAAAGTTATCATACCTTCTTTATTAGGAGCGCCTAGGGCAAGCATATGGGCAGGACCAAGGTCTACAGATTTTCCAAGTTTAGAGTCGCGATTTTTCTGCAAACTTTCCAACTCTTCACGCCACAAACGTTCTTGATCACGACGCTGTTTTTTAACTTCAATTTCCCTCTAGAAGATCAAACGTTTCTTTGCTTGATGAATTCATTCAACATGGCCATTTTTAATGTGTACATGTTTACACAGTGAAGTTCATTTCACTTTTTAAACTTGCTTAGTCAGTGGGAATCCCCCCCCCCTCAAAACCTAATGCCTCCCCCCTATTGGCCAGTAAGAAATTCAAGGGTTATCAGACAAACAACAAGTCTGAAAATTGATCACCTAAAATAGATTGCCCCTGAAAACCTTTCTTCCCCCCCCTCATTTTGACCAAGTGCCCGAACTGTGCCTAGTGCACACAGAAGCAAGACACATGTGATAAAATTTCAATGAATTTTTAAACATATCAAGTGTTTTATGTGTACTAAATAGTTCGGACTGACCTTAATTTTCTCAGCCAAGATGCTATCAAGTTTTTTAATCCTCTGCATTCCTCTTTGTACCTTAGGATCCACATCATTGCCGTCAATTTCACTGGTTGATGACCTTGATGCTTCATTTCTTGAATGGGGATCAATTTCCTTTAAAACAGATGCTTCGTTTGCGGTGAATGTGGAAGTATCTGCAGTTACAAAACGATCATTCCATGAATTATGAGAGAAATATTAAAAAAATCCAGTATGTTAATCACCATCAATGACAGTCTTCGAATTAGCATCAGTTAGTGAAGGGTTTACAATTTCTTTCGAGTTAATAACACCTTTTTCATCATTTTTTTCATTCATAACCAAGAGAGGGCTGGGATTTTTCTCCACAAGATCTTCATAAGCAGAGATTGTATCTTCACTTATATCTGTGATTACTACATCTTCCTCAATCTAGAAAGATAGTCACAAATATTGAGGCATAGTCAAAACAGGCATCAATGGACATACTCAGGATACTTTTGGTAAATTACATACCTCAGGATTTGATGATGTTTGATCTACATGTTTGAATAAAAAATATCATTGAGAAAATCAAGAAACTCTTTCAAAGCCATTTTCAACTGGGGGACTGTGAAATGGACAATATGCCTGTCAATTCTTTTCACTGGTTTAAAAAGTTAAGGAAATACAATGCTGGCTTACTGGGACTTTAAAAATAAATCTTTGAAGAAAACATACCTTCAGGAGATAATATATCCAATGAATTGCATAGCGAGATTCCAGCTGATCTCTGCAAACAAGAATTTTAAGAATATATATATATACAGTTTTGAGCTTTATCATTGAAACCAAACACAAAAAAGTTTTAAACAAATTCTGAAACTATACATACCACAGAAGATCGACTATTTGATCGCTTGCTCGTAGAAGCAGGCCTGCTTATAGCCTCCAAACTAAAAATAAGAGCAAAAAAGTGTTTTTGTTTACTTTGAATTTATTCGCAAACAAATTCACGAAAGAAGACTTTCAAAAGCTGAATGATACTTGAACTTTGTACCTTCCTTCTGAGATAATTTCCATGCCATTAATTCCAGCTGTATGTCAAAAATAACAAAGATAATTGAGCAAAACTATAATGTTAGGAGAAACTTTTAAAACTTTTCAGTTTTGCAAGCATTTCAATTTGGCGCGTTATCATTGTAAGAGGCCTGGTACTAACCTAGCTGCATTTTCGGCTCAGTGCGCACGCTCCGGTAAATTGTGGCTAACCGCTAAAAGCACATTTTGATTACAGATATTTCTAAAAATACTGGAATATACTGGAATTGAAATCTTTCCATCGTGTATAGCTAGTATAATACCGGTAGATGCTCAACTTACTGTGCTCAAGTGTACAGCGCAATAGCAAATAATCTGTTTCTCAGTATTACATGAAGTATATCATAGGGTGGGAGTCTGGAAGAGCACTACGTCATTTATGACATATATTGAGTGGAAGCCAGTATGGCTGAACAAAATTCTCAATCCTGTGAAAAGAACTCTGATTATGAAAGCTTAGATAACGATGAAACGGATAAGGATGATGCAAAAGTGAACCAAGACGACCAATGGCAAGCATTTAGGCCAACAATTCGCGAAAGAACAGAATACATGTTTAGAAACAGTCTTATGAGTGATACACAATTTTCAATCCGAGATGCGACCTCAGATACAGAAACAGAAACGAAAGTTATACCTGCACATAAATTCGTGTTGGCAGTCGGTAGTCCAGTATTTTACGCTATGTTTTATGGAAAACTAGCTGAAAGTCAGGAAACCATCGAAATAGTCGACAGCGACTATCAAAGTTTTATCGAGTTTTTACGATTTTTGTACTGCGATGAAACAAATCTGACAATTGATATGGTCATGGCTGTTACGTACTTGTCAAAGAAATACATAGTTCCAGCCTTGGAAAAGAGATGTCGATCTTTCGTGGAAAAAGCCGTTAGTGGCAGTAACGTTTTTCAATTGCTAAGTCACGCCAGGAAATACAAGGATGATTTTGTTGAAAAAATTTGTTGGGATTATTTAGATAGTGACACTGTGGAAGCCATTAATTCGGAAGGATTTCTTAGCATTAAAGAGGATTTGCTGTGCGAACTGTTAATACGAGATACATTACATGCCAAAGAGATAGAATTATTTCTGGCTGTTGTGAGATGGATTGATATGAATGCCTTGGTTGTCAACAATGAAGAACAGATGGATGAGAAGAAATCAGAAAAGGTTGTGAACCTTGTTCGTTACCCGTTGATGTCACAACATGAGTTTGCCGAACATGTTGTGAAGTCCAAGTTACTTCGTCATGAAGATGTTATCAATATGTTTTTGAAGTTTAACGATACCCTTGAAGACGACAATATCTTGCCATTTTCGCAAGTTCCTCGTCGAGGTTACTACCGCTGTTCATTATGGGAACATGTCTATGATACTCTGGACATTGAAGCTTGGGATATAGAAGCAAGTCGTATGCCCAATACATTGACTTTCTCATCAAATTCTAATATACTGTTGTGTGGTGTTGGTTTGTATGGCAGTGATAATAAAAATGAATCTTACAGTTTTCAAGTTCACGTCTCTGATGAAGATGAAACAGTTTTGCTTCAAAGCGAAGGGTCGTTCAGTTGTCATAATCAATGCTTTGCATATGATGTGATATTTAATAAGCCAGTGAAAGTACATAAAAATATCTGGTACACCATCCATGCCACTGTGGATGGTCCTAGGGGAGTGTATGGTGGACAATCTGTTGCCACAGCAACAGGCCTTCAGTTAGACGAGATTAGTTGTGGGTCTGTGCGCTTCTTGTTTAAAGACAACACTACAAGATTACAAAATATGTATAATCATTTTGCTGGATTACTTTATTTCTTGCGATAGAACAACAAAGTTGTTTGCTTATGTTAGTATAAAATACTGGTTGCTGTGAATCTTAAAAGAACATTTTCAACTAGTTGTGTTATAGACCAAATGGAATACATTGTTTAAATAAATGTTGACTAAAAAGTGAATAGTAAACTATTTATTTGTACTCGTGGCAAGTATCACTATGTTTTTATACATATGTAGCATGAACATTATATTCCATACTTCTTCTTCAAATTGTCCAACTCTTTGTCAGTAAAGTTTCTCCGATCAGATGGAAGGTTTTCAAGGTAATGAAAAAGGTCCTTCAATACTAATAAAAAAAATACCATACATAAAAACCAAGCCAAACGGGATGTCCACAAGGATATCTTTATAACCCCTATGTCACATTCTTACAATTAATATGGAAAAACACTTCTATAATGCATACTTACCAATTTTCTCTTTTGACGACAAAAACATTAAAGTCATAGGAAACCTTTTTATTTGTGAGATACATTTTAATTCATTGTACACAGAAGACGAATCCCTATAGAAAATGAAATAAATCTTAGTACACAGTTTAAATCTTGCATATTTCAAATCCAAGCTACAGTGTTCACACAGTAATACATACAATGTGAATAATTAAAACATATACCTTACATAAAATTCATAAAGAATGGAAAACATCTTCAGTAAAAGAGAAGATTCAACCAGCTCCCCAATGACTTTAGGTAACTGCTCAGGAGGAATGACCTGCAAAGAAACACCCACCCTGATCACCTCTTTCAACTTATGGAAAGACATCAATAAACTGTTCAACACAAAACCACCTTCATGTATGCATACAAATGCTCAGGACTACATTCCAATTGTTTCCACGTCCTTTGAAATTGTATTGAATTGGAAGGAGGTTTGAGATCGCGTAAACTTGACAAACTTGACTTTTTGTTCACAACAGATGATGAGGACAGATCAGATTTTGAGCTGAGTTTGTTTTCAATGGCGGGTTGATTGGCTTGATCAAAATGAAGTGCTGTTTTACCAACATCTTTATCTTTTAGCTCACATGCTGGTTTAACCATATAATCATGTTTCTCCATCGTTTCACTGTTTTTGGTATTCTCACCCACTGTTTTGATTGGCTCAGGCAAGACATTATCAACATTCGCCGTTGTATCAAACAAATCAAGATTATTCAATGATTTCACGAGGTTAGGATTCTTTTTAATGGCTGACTTCTGTTCATTGTCTTCCTCGTCATGGCTAGCACTTCCTATTTCTTCGATTATATTACGCTTCATAGGCTTCTGACAAAGTAAACATTCGTACAAAGTAGATTAAGTTAATTTTATATGTATTGCCCATTTAAATGATTTAGAAAAGCAAAATATCACCACATATACATACTTGTTTGTAGCTTTCCAAATCTTCTTTTCCTATAACAGATTTCTTTGTTTCTTTGGTCAACATCTTAAGGATAACAAGGCATTATGAGACACAAAAAGAAAATATCTTAAAGTTCCCTTTTCACTCACTTTCTTAATTTTCTCAATGCCATCTAGTGCTTGCTTATTATTTGGTTGCAATACCAACAGTTGTTCGTAATCAGTAAGGGCTTCTTGTAAATAACCAAGTGATTGTTTTGCAGTCGCTCGCCTTGCAAAAGCCTTTGCATATGTTTTGTCTAATTTCAAAGCCACATCACAATCCTGAATTGCAGCACCATACCTAAAATAATGAAAAAGTTGATGAATATATAAAAATTCTATATAGGATTGGAAAACCAACAATGCTTTATGTAATACCTTTGAACCTTAATCAAAGCCATAGCACGATTAGCTGGTAAGATTGCATTAGAGGGATCCAATCCAATGGCAACTGTGTAACGATTAATGGCTGCCTCATATTTTCCCTCTTTGAACAAATCATTTCCCTACAAAATATCATCACAGCAAGTGAGTTTGTATTCGGCCAACACCTGACTATTTCTCTTGAAATACTACTACAACCTTTTCCTTTTCAAATAACGCTTGCTGCAGACATCTCTGCTCAGCTAGTTCTTCATCTTCGCTGTCATCTTCTGATAATGATTGTGTCTCGAGATCATCTTGCTCTTCAATTTCTTTGATTGCTTTATCCTATATCAAAGTTTTAGAATCATCTTTCCTAGTTAGACATCTATTGTGTTTGCAAGCATTTGCAACACAGCTTAATGAAATATCATTCAATTGGAAGCTACCTACCACGTCATATTTGTCCCAAGCTTGAAAATCTGATCCTTTTAATCGAGGTTTTCGTGCTTCAACAGGAGCAGATTTCTTCATGATCGAAGTGGTTTTTTTCTTGCTGCGCTTGTTTCTAACTGGATGAGACTATACGCAGTCAAAGAAGAGATAAAACATACCGATTAGTTTTGATTACTGTAGTGGAAATTATAAAAAAAACACTTAATGTCAAAGTCAATAGACAGACAAGAGACGATATTTCTTTTTAACTAAAATTACCATATCTTTTGAGGCTTTAGTATTCAATAAAAGCTTTTCTTTTGCTTTTACTTCATCTTCCCACCGGTAAAGGTCTTTTAAATAGTCTTGCAATTCTTCGTTATTTCGTCTCACTTGATATTGGACATTTACAGCATCCGCCATTTTTGATAGTTTTGAATAAATAATCGGGCGTGCGGGTTGCATTCGGGTATTTACATTGGGAGGGGGAGCGGGAGGGGGAACGGTCACAGACACATTACGACGACAATTACCAGTCATACATGTTATTGTGTAACAGAAGAGAGTGTATGGGTACAAATATTTCATACTGTGTAAAAAAAGCGTCTATAAACATTACAGTCAGTATAAAAAGCGTTCAGGAAAACAAAGAATGTCTGAGCGTCCAGGAAAAAGGATTACTCCTTTAAGGAAATGCCACCTAATTTTCCTCGCTGAAATCGGAGTCATCATCAGAGTCACTATAACGTCCATGATTATCATTCGATAACAACACAGATCCCTCGCCATTCTCTAATGCCTCTTCGACTTGAAGACGGCTTTCAACTCGCCGGTAGTTAGAGCTGTGAAGAGCCCGCGATGAGTCGAGGCCGTAAGCTGCAAAGTCTTCGGGAAGCGCCTGAACGATGAAAAAAGAAAGTTATAGAAAGTTGAACTGTCAATTATTGTGTCGCTAACAAGAGAAAATGTTTCATTCATCCATTAAATGTAGTTGATGGAAGAAGAGCAATTTAAAGCCCTCGCTAACTCTTGCCTAAAGCATCAAGTAGCGTAACTGGGGGAGAGTTGGTGTGTCAAGTGACGCCCCCCGGCATTTGGGACCCCGGACAAGAATTACCATTAACTTTTATTTCATAAAACTTGTTTATGGGAAATCAATATTAAAACTATTAATGTTATTAACATACAACTTTGCAATTTCAGTCAATGAAATAGAAAGATTGATTTGTTGAAAAATCTTTAGATGTATACTCTCAACAAATTGAGACACGTAAGCTGTGAGCTGAAACAGAAAATTGACTTCCGCATCTACTCTGTTGACTTATTTTACATCAAATTTGATGAATTTCCACACTTTGTTATATAGGACCCGTTAAATCAAAATTGTTTTTTAACATCTCATTCATGTGCTGCGGATGCTAAAGTACCCATTCCAGTATAAGTATTAGGGATTTTAGCTAAATTTATAGTCTAATATGAACATTTAAAACTGGCTACTTCTTGTCCAGATTCTCTACTGAAATATATACGTGAAATTGCTTTGTGTGACTACAAGTTGTAAGTAGATGAAATATATATTAATACGTGCGATCGTTAAACCTATTTTCTAGTGGAACATTGGGGGCATCAATGGCTAATTGACGGAGGGCACCCAATGGTTGTGTTACGTCACAATTTTAAGATACACCTGAAAACAAGGATCGCTTCAACAACTATTCGTTAACTTCCAATCATTCACAGTTGTTTCTTGTGTCTAACGTCTACTGCTCGCTCCTGATACTACCATACAAGACTAAAACTAACTCTTACCTGATGCACCTCACAATTTTAAGGTACACCAAAAAACGAGAGCTGCCTTTTCCAAGCTAACTACACTAGAAACCGATCTCAAAAAACCTTACACACTCTCCCTCGCTCGAAAACAACCAAAATTCATATAACCTTAACCAATGGGAATAGCGTTTGCAACTGATATGGATGAAGTTTCAGAGCAATCCTGTCAGTAAGCCAAGTCACCAAGATCTTCATGATATGACTATACCAATTCTAAAATAGACAAAGAATTATTATTTTTAATTGTGAGGAAAAAATGAGAATGAGAGGCAATGAAGATGTGGGAATATATATATATAAATATTTGAAAATTGGTAATCCAGGCATTTAATACATAAAAAATGAAAGTTTCTCCGGATCGTTTTAAAAATTATTTTATTGAGCTTTCGACTCGTTGCTTCGAGCCTTCATCAGAATGAGTAATTCCAACGTAAATAGTAATTTTCTCATTCTGATGAAGGCTCGAAGCAACGGGTCGAAAGCTCAATAAAATAATTTTTAAAACAATCCAGAGAAACTTTCATTTTTTATATATAAATATATATATGTAAGTTTAAAGATTGGTAATCCAGGCATATTTAATGTATAAAAACAAAAGTTTCTCCAGATTGTATAAAATGATTTTATCGAGCTTTCAACTCGGTGCTTCGAGTCTTCATCAGAAAGATATAGGAAGTAATATACAGTTGTTTTACCCATGACAACGCATTCCACACCATCCAATCACATTAATCCACCCGCTAATCCAATTAGACGCTCTAAGCGTCTACAAATGAAAAACAATTGTATATAACTTCCTATATATCTTATATATCCCATATATATACATATATATCTTCACGAAAGTACCAATCAATATGACGATCTGTTTAAACATTGGTACCTTGAGAAGTTTTCTTCGCAATTTAGTATGAAGTATAAAATTTTGTATCTGTTCAAGATTCGCCTGGCAGAACTGAAGAAACTTGACTCGGGCTTCGTCAGATTGAGACTATATTTATAATAAAAAGAAAGAAGAGTCATCAATTCATTCTAAGATGTTGAAATGAAATGTAAATATCACAACATAACTTAAACTGAAACAAACAAGATTTACGAACTACACAGACAAATACAAACCTAAGGTGTATTCTGTTTCTACCACGCGACGCTTACTCACGAAGAAATACTTACAGAAAACGCAAAGAGATGAGAACTTAATGTTCCTTGATCAAATCTTGCCAATTTTTTCAACATATTTTCTAACACAAGGTCGATCTAAGTTACAAATCTTATCTTAGAAATATGAAACAGAACCAAACTAGTAATCATACTTAGATTGGAAGATGAAAGTTGCATAAGTCCATAAAGTTTTTCATTAAGTATTAGTAAATCATCCTACATAGGTTTTCAAACAGACTAGAGTAGATTAGGATGAAAATAATTTAAAGATTCTTACTTAATAAAACCCACACCCAAGTTTAAATCCTTACTCCGCTATCCTCCTTCCTCCCATCGTATCCTCCTTTCCCTCCCCAGCGTATCCCCCTCTCACTCCGTATCCTTCTGTATCATGATGATTTATTCCAGCAAACAATAAAATCTTACTTTATTCGAAAATTCCTCGATGAAATAATGTTCAGTCTCCAAAACAAAATCTCTTGCATCTGGATGATAGCAATGCTGAAAAATAGCAATATAAAATGAAAATAAAATTCATCGGCAAGGATGAAGTTTAGTACAATATTTTCTTTAAAATATTTTTCACCTCGGCATCATTACGCTGATGCGATTCTCGATCCCCCTCGCCTGATTTACTGCTCTCAAATGCCTGTCAACGAAGAAATGACGTCATTTAAAATGACATCACTAGAATGTCGAAGGTTTTTTGTTGAGATCACATCTACCCAAAATATGAATATTGTCGTTTTTAAAGACGATTATAAAATAAACACAATGAAACGCGTGCGCTGATTGGTCTAGAGCTGTGTTTGCATTAACCTGTGCAAAACACATCCGAGCTCAACCAATCAAATCAATCATAACAATCAATCAGTCAAAGAGAATTTGCAAATGGATCATGAATATATTTTTGAGGATAAAGTAAAACGTTTACTTTAAATTTGTCTGTTTCGCATTATTGTTATTTTATAAAAGAAATAAAAGATGTTTTTCGTGTTTTCACTGTCTTATGCAAACCTCAGAGACGTTTGTAAGAACTCTTGAGCAGGTGCAACCCTAGACCTTCGGTCTCGGGCTTACACTGATCGGCTATCGAGTTCTCCCAAAGGTCTACTTGGTTTGCACAAGCCCGTGCAAACACAAGAAACGTCTCCCAGTGTTTATTACGTCACGAACACGAGAGGAAGTAACATGAATTACATTGATAGTGCCATTTTTTACAAGCATATGAACTTTCGACAGACTACGAAATCGACTGCTTTTGTATCAAGGAACACATCAACAAGACTTGATTGTCATATAAAACTAAATCTTCGAGTATTAATGTAGTCAGTGTGAACGTTATGAGCATGCGCCAATCTAGGATGATTTTAACGTGTATAATACCATGGTTACCTCAATTTCTATTGTTCTAGTAAGATGAATTAACAACGTATTTACCGAATAAGAATTCATCTATTCAAATTCAAAGGTCGCATTAAAAGAATTACGACCTTGCATGTCCTCTGTACTTGTATGTAACAATCCCGAATTTTGAACTTGAAGTAATAAAAATCACAACAAAGTGTTTCCAAACACACAACACCATCGTTTACAGTGTGTGAGGAACTTACTAAAACATTTTGTCAATCATAGTATTACAAAGTAAAACCGTTGTAGTTTGGTTACTTAGTAATTAAATATACTTCAAAGCCTCGACTGAGCGCCTCGGGACTTTTACAAACCTCCTACGGCTTCGGGGTACATACAATAACTAAGTAACCTCACTACCGTGGCACAGTATAGAAACAAACAGTTGTCTCACTCCACTGTGAAACTTGGTGCTGCATAATTAACTAGATTACTGGCTGCGGATAGCCACCTAAGTGCTCCTATTGGCCAAAAAAAGCGATTGACTGGCTGCCACTATGCTAATCACATGCGTAATAAGATATGCGCTACACAAAAAATTTCAATTGAGTGGGACTACTGACTTTCTATACTATGACCATGATCTTACTTACAATAACACTAATGTCTTTTAACATGAAAACGCATGATGATATACTCGCTTTCAAAAGGAAGCACAGTTTTTAAAAGCCTACAAGAAAGTGGCATGTCACGTGATGTGTCATGTGACCAGTAGACTTACTTGTTTCTTGCATTCAGCAATGACATTAAACATGACGCATATTTGCACAGGTATGACGTAATCCAGCGTGAATCGACTTCGTTTTAAGAAGCTGTTGAAGGCCTCGCGAACTCTGGAAAAAGAAAATGGAAAAATGAGAAACCACTTCATCAAAATTTTCTACAGTTACCAAATTATGGCTAAGGTTGGTCGGATATCGATAATTGTTACTGTCATTCTTATCAAAATATGACAATGTTAAAAAAATCAACATCTTTTTATAAAATTTACCCACAACAGTCGTGGAATAACAAACATGTGAAATTCCTGCAATTTATCGCTTGAAATAAGGTGCTTTTTTATGTTCTAAGCAGATCGTAAGTCCTTTGGTGTTTGTATCTAGCATTTAGTAACGGACTCGGGCGTTTGACAAAGTAAACACCTCACAACAAAACGAAAGTTCCATCCAAGATTTATTGTTACGAATTCCAAACGAATGAATTAAGCACAGCATTACTAAGACCATTTGTGATTTGCTACTAGCATTACTAAGACCATTCGTGATTTGCTACTAGCATTACTAAGACCATTTGTGATTTGCTACTAGCATTACTAAGACCATTTGTGATTTGCTACTAGCATTACTAAGACCATTTGTGATTTGCTACTAGCATTACTAAGACCATTTGTGATTTGCTACTAGCATTACTAAGACCATTTGTGATTTGCTACTAGCAATGTGAATAATTCAGTCACTCGTGCTTTAAAGAAGGTCGTATCGTCTTTTGAATTCAAAAATAAGTTAACAATTATAACATTAAAAAGTAATACAATCACTTTTAGGGCCTGATTATATGGAGGCGAACTGGCCCGGATAGCGAGCTAGCCCGATGATTTCAAGGGATTGAAAAGAGCCAAAACTTCAAGGTTAAAAATTACAACTGTTCGCGAAGCACCACACGTCACTCCGGTTGTAATTCTCAAATTAGGGCAAATTGGTTGTTTTAATTTTAAATGTTTTGAGAAGTTATTAAATCAGAATATTGTGAATTTGCTTGAGAAGATTTATCTGATAATAAGTACTGAATCGTTTCCATTTGCCAAAATCATTTAACGCTTGGCTGCATCCCTGCTACCGGGCTCATGTAATCAGCCCCTTACTCACCATTGATGGTTAGAGGCTGTTAGCCCTCTCTACGAGCTCTACGCAAAAGGCTATCCCTCCCTCCCTTTCGGGCTGTATTTCACCTCTGTTTTACATGCAAATTCTAGCCCAACTTCAAGAGCTCAACTCGAACAGTGAGTTTCGGCGCTAAAATACAAAACAGCTGAAAACAAACCTGAATAGTTTTTGCTTTCTTACGCTTTCTTAAGTTCGTTTGCTTCCGTTGATGCCTTTTCTTGTCGCCATTGCTGTAAAGCGATGCCTTACCGCATGCAAATGTGTTAAATTTTCACCCCTACAGGGAGGGCTAACCTGCCTAATGCGTTTACATTGGAATTTTCACCCCTACAGGGAGGCCTAGCCCCGCCTAATGCGTTTACATTGGAATTTTCACCCCTAGAGGGAGGGCTAGCCCTGCCTAATGCGTTTACATTGGAATTTTCACCCTAGAGGGAGGGCTAGCCCTGCCTAATGCGTTTACATTGGAATTTTCACCCCTAGAGGGAGGGCTAGCCCTGCCTAATGCGTTTACATTTGAATTTTCCAACCCTACATGGCGAAATCTTGGGTTAACAATAGTGAGATCTCGGCTGGTAGGACTCGCCCTACTCGCATGTAAACGAAAAGTGATTCTATATGGAATTTTACAAGCACACAAGATCTCACTTGGTAGGGCTAGCCCTCCCCGAAGGGCTCGTGTAACAAGTCCCTTAGGTACTATCATCTTGCCAAGTAGTTTGACGAACGTCCACATTATTCATTCATTTAGCATTTATAATAATTTATCTAGAGGGAGAACTTTTCCTTTCTGAGGTGTTTATGGTACAACTGCCGATCGATAAGTGAGATTTTATTTTTTAGAAATTCCTTACTGCTCGCATTGTAGCAAAGGTATTATGATTTAAAAAATCGCAGCTGTAGTTCATTTAGCCACGGCCTGGATCAACTACTGCTAGTCACATTGAATATAAAAGAAATTTAATGATTTGAACTTGGGAGTATCGCTTCATGTTTGTACATGTAGATGGTCTAAGTTAGTGGAGTACTGAGGACTGCTGGTGTTGATTTTGACTAACATTCTGACGTCAAAGTCACGTGACTCTGAAGATGACTACCGCTAAGGTTGTCGAAACGTCAGTCAACACCAATGCCAAAAGTCCTCTTCAGGACTTCACTAGCCTAAACAATTGGCATCTACAAACATGTAAAAATAAAATAAACACGACATAGCTACCTTTTCACATAAGCCTCGATCATATCGAACGACATAAGAAAAATTCTTTTGCTCAGATGATCCGCCAGTGTTTTTTCTGGCCAGTGAAGATCTTCAATGAATCCTTTCAGAGCAACGAGTTTATAAAACAGATCATCGGACGAATTACTTCCGTTGCTACAAAAATGAGAATTTTAATTAAGAAGTGCAAACACGAAAAACATCTTTTATTCTTTTATAAAATAACAATAATGCGAAAAAGACAAACATTTTAATTTTCCCTCTGAAATGTTTTCATGATCGATTTGCAAATTGTCTTTGACTGATTGATTGTTTTGATTGGTTGAGCTCAGATGTGTCTTGCACAGGTTAATGCAAACACAGCTCTAGACCAATCAGCGCAAGCGTTTCATTGCGTTTAATTTATAAAACCTAATGATAAACCTAATGAGGTGCACAACAACATTCCCAGAAAAATGCTTGTATGTTATTGAAATGTCTTGGGGGAAAAGGCAACATAAAACTCTCACCCCACTACTTCCCAGGTTTCCAATTCAAAGCCATTGTGCACAGACTGAGCAATGGAGGACTCCATTAGATCGACGTAACGGATGACCAGCGGTGCAAATTTATCTTGTATATGCAAATGACATGGTCCATTACGAAGATACGCTACAAAAATCAACATGAGACGATTCAAGAAAATTAATGCAAATTCACAAAACATTAAATGTACTAGACCTTTACTGGTTGTGCGCTGTTGAATAAAACCAATTTAATATTTTATTGGATTATTGGGTAGTTACTTTATCTAACCCTTCCTGAAGTGTATCAATATGTTGTTATAAAGGAACACACGTAAATCTTCCTACGCAATCTTAACCATACTTAGCCATACGTAGGACACCTTAACCATACTTAGCCATACGTAGGACATCTTAACCATACTTAGCCATACGTAGGACACCTTAACCATACTTAGCCATACGTAGGACACCTTAACCATACTTAGCCATACGTAGGACACTTTAGCCATACTTAGCCATACTTAAGCATACGTAGGACACCTTAGCCATACGTAGGACACCTTAGCCATACTTAAGCATACGTAGGACATCTTAACCATACTTAGCCATAGGTAGGACACCTTAACCATACTTAGCCATACGTACGACACCTTAGCCATACTTAGCCATACGTAGGACACCTTAACCATACTTAACCATACGTAGGACACCTTAGCCATACTCAACCATACGTAGGACACCTTAGCCATACTTAACCATACGTAGGACACCTTAGCCATACTTAACCATACGTAGGACACCTTAACCATACTTAGCCATACGTAGGACACCTTAACCATACTTAACCATACGTAGGACACCTTAACCATACGTAGGACACCTTAACCATACTTAACCATACGTAGGACACCTTAACCATACGTAGGACACCTTAACCATACTTAGCCATACGTAGGACACCTTAACCATACTTAACCATACATAGGACACCTTAGCCATACTTAACCATACGTAGGACACCTTAACCATACTTAGCCATACGTAGGACACCTTAACCATACTTAACCATACGTAGGACACCTTAACCATACTTAGCCATACGTAGGACACCTTAACCATACTTAACCATACATAGGACACCTTAGCCATACTTAACCATACGTAGGACACCTTAACCATACTTAACCATACGTAGGACACCTTAACCATACTTAGCCATACGTAGGACACCTTAACCATACTTAACCATACGTAGGACACCTTAACCATACGTAGGACACCTTAGCCATACTTAGCCATACGTAGGACACCTTAACCATACTTAGCCATACGTAGGACACCTTAGCCATACTTAACCATACGTAGGACACCTTAGTCATACTTAACCATACGTAGGACACCTTAACCATACTTAGCCATACGTAGGACACCTTAACCATACTTAACCATACATAGGACACCTTAGCCATACTTAACCATACGTAGGACACCTTAGCCATACTTAGCCATACGTAGGACACCTTAACCATACTTAACCATACGTAGGACACCTTAACCATACTTAGCCATACGTAGGACACCTTAGCCATACTTAGCCATACGTAGGACACCTTAACCATACTTAGCCATACGTAGGACATCTTAACCATACTTAGCCATACGTAGGACACCTTAACCATACTTAGCCATACGTAGGACACCTTAACCATACTTAGCCATACGTAGGACATCTTAACCATACTTAGCCATACGTAGGACACCTTAACCATACTTAGCCATACGTAGGACACCTTAACCATACTTAGCCATACGTAGGACATCTTAACCATACTTAGCCATACGTAGGACACCTTAACCATACTTAGCCATACGTAGGACACCTTAACCATACTTAGCCATACGTAGGACACTTTAGCCATACTTAGCCATACGTAGGACACCTTAGCCATACGTAGGACACCTTAGCAATACTTAGCCATACGTAGGACACCTTAGCCATACTTAACCATACGTAGGACACCTTAGCCATACGTAGGACACCTTAGCCATACTTAAGCATACGTAGGACACCTTAGCCATACTTAAGCATACGTAGGACACCTTAGCTATACGTAGGACACCTTAGCCATACTTAGCCATACGTAGGACACCTTAACCATACTTAGCCATAGGTACACCTTAACCATACTTAGCCATACGTAGGACACCTTAACCATACTTAGCCATAGGTAGGACACCTTAACCATACTTAGCCATACGTAGGACACCTTAGCCATACTTAGCCATACGTAGGACACCTTAACCATACTTAACCATACGTAGGACACCTTAGCCATACTTAACCATACGTAGGACACCTTAACCATACTTAGCCATACGTAGGACACCTTAACCATACTTAACCATACATAGGACACCTTAGCCATACTTAACCATACGTAGGACACCTTAGCCATACTTAGCCATACGTAGGACACCTTAACCATACGTAGGACACCTTAGCCATACTTAACCAAACGTAGGACACCATAACCATACTTAGCCATACGTAGGACACCTTAACCATACTTAGCCATACGTAGGACACCTTAACCATACTTAGCCATACGTAGGACACCTTAACCATACGTAGGACACCTTAACCATACTTAACCATACGTAGGACACCTTGCAATGTCATGAACAGTTACATATCACCAAAAACAAGTAAAATAACATGATTCTTTTGAAGAAGTTATTGAGTCAAGTTTCTTTACAATGTGATTATAACATTCTGGAAAAAGTTGGTGTCGTGCTGCCACTTCGTATATGCACATTTCACCTACCAAAACTATTTTCTTCCTACTCCCACAAACACAAACGATCATTTTCCATGTTTCCCCCTACTTTCTCCCTACACAACAACATATTCCCCTATTATATACCTTCTTCAGGTCAGACCAACAAATTTTTTTAGTCTGTTTTTAAAAAAGTGAATACAAAAAAAATTGGATTGAGCACCAAGAACATCTGGACTACAAAGTTAGTAATTTGGCGTAAGAAGTAATGACGTAATAACATGTAAGTGACGGAAATGACACATTGTGTTTATGCTAAATTGCTAAACCTTCTATTGCCATATATGGTCACAAAATGTTCCAACAGAAAGATCCTGTTACAATCACTTCATAAATGGTGAGAACACAGGAAGAAAAGAGTATTTTGGCAGCAAAAATGAGAATAGACATTCTCATTTATAAACGACTTTCTTTTCCCCCTACAGTCCCCCTACATTGTACAGTTTTCCCCGTAGGTCTCCCTTACCACCGTTAAACCACTAAACACCCCTACTGTAGGGGATTTCCCCTACGAGTGGCAGCACTTTATGACTCATAACTACTCTAAAATGAAAGTCTTACGTTCTTTATTAAAGTAATCGTTCAAGAAATGGAACACGGTGAAGCTATCCCAGGTGTCGGGCGGCTGGACGTCCAACGTTGCATCAAGATCGACTGTAAATAAAGACCAGAACAGCTCTGTATGTTCAACCATTAAATCCGAGAACCATTCTAAAGCCTGGTAACAAAAAAAGAAAACAAAAAGTACGATGGAAAAAGTGCGTTAAAAACATTAAATTATTAAAGATAAACAAAAAGCATTCGGGAAGAAAAGGGAAAACGGTTGAATAAACTGGAGAAATTTTTAAATTTTTTTACAGCAAACACAATGTAGTAACGACGAAACGAAACACAACTATACAACATTAAATAGAACACAGTAGTTCACTAAATATATCTCAAGCTGACGGAACCTAATTTCACACCCGCGCCAGCAGACATTGCAGTCGTCAATTAAGATCATCTTACTTCGCCGTGATATTGATCATTTTGTTGCAAAACGTCGATACAATGATCAATCAGTTGATAGATAGCGTCCAGACGATCGGCTGGATTCGTTTCTTCCGTACTGTAATCTTTAAAAGAGATTGAAATAAGATTACATAGCTACGACAGGTTACATAGCTACGACAGGTTACATAACTACGACAGGTTACATAACTACGACAGGTTACATAACTACGACAGGTTGCATAGCTACGACAGGTTACATAGCTACGACAGGTTACATAGCTACGACAGGTTACATAACTATGACAGGTTACATAGCTACGACAGGTTACATAGCTACGAAAGGTTACATAGCTACGACAGGTTACATAACTACGACAGGTTACATAGCTACGACAGGTTACATAGCTACGACAGGTTACATAGCTACGACAGGTTACATAGCTACGACAGGTTACATAGCTACGACAAGTTACATAGCTACGACAGGTTACATAACTACGACAAGTTACATAACTACGACAGGTTACATAGCTACGACAGGTTACATAGCTACGACAGGTTACATAGCTACGACAGGTTACATAGCTACGACAGGTTACATAGCTACGACAGGTTACATAACTACGACAAGTTACATAACTACGACAGGTTACATAGCTACGACAGGTTACATAGCTACGACAAGTTACATAGCTACGACAAGTTACATAGCTACGACAGGTTACATAGCTACGACAGGTTACATAGCTACGACAAGTTACATAGCTACGACAGGTTACATAGCTACGACAGGTTACATAACTACGACAGGTTACATAGCTACGACAGGTTACATAGCTACGACAAGTTACATAGCTACGACAGGTTACATAGCTACGACAAGTTACATAGCTACGACAGGTTACATAGCTACGACAAGTTACATAGCTACGACCGGTTATATTTTTGATAAACAACAAAAAAAACCACTTATTTATTTGCTTTTAAGATAAGGGATTAGAATAAGGAAAACACGAACTTGCAATCTGCAAATAGAGTAATAGCAAGGGACATAAAATTGGATCAGGATTAGAGATTAAACTGCAAGATACTTCAAACCCCAGTTGAGCTAATATTAGTTTGATCATCCGAAAGACATTTGCACAATTTTTTGACAAAATACTTTTGACTGATGGAAAAAACAAAAAACACCTTTACCTTCAATTTTCAAAAATTTCGACACTTTGGTATAGTTCACAAGAGCGGCCTTATTTAAACATTTTCGCATTTCCGCTTGAAATTCGTCCGAAGGGACTGGCGTTGATACATTTCTCATCATCACCTAAAATACAACAGGCAATGTGGAAGATGGAATTGCCAACCCACCTAAAATATTGCTAAGTAGTAACATACAAACAAGCCTTCTAAGGTTGCTAAGTTACAACTCAACAAAACTCCAAAGGTTGCTAAGTTACACACGCACAAGACTCCTGATGTTGTCAAGTTACGTATGAGCGAGGCATTTAAGGTTGCTAAGTTACATATGGACAAGATTTTCTAAGTTTCTATAATGCTCAGCTTACCCTTTCAAACAAGGATAGAGTAGCCTTCAGCGCACCTTCTGGTCGTCCAAACGGGAAAACAAATCTGTAAAATATTTCATTGCTTAATGCACACCAATGTAGGCATAAATTGTCGTAGGCAAAGTAAGAACAACGTAGGCAAAGTAAGAACAACTAAATTTAATTTAAAGATTGAAGTTTATGAACCTGCATAATATATGTGTATTGAAATATATGAACTATAAGGATATACTAGTATTGAAATATATGAAGTATTAGGATATACTAGTATTGAAATATATGAACTATTAGGATATACTAGTATTGAAATATATAAAATGTAAGGATATACTAGTATACATAGGTATGTACCTGAAGTTGATTATTTGATTGGTAAGTAAGTGCCATAGTCTTTCCTTAACTTCTTCAAACTTTTCCTCTTCATATTTTGTGATAGTTTCAATGCCATCTGGTCTAAATAATATTAAGAAAACAAACTAATTTCCTTCTATAAATAAGAGGATCTACATTTAAGGTAGAGGTAACGATGTTAGAACAACAGAGTGTTTAACATCAATGCACAACAACATAACAATACAATAATGTAAGTATTGAAGTGCATTTGGATGACGATCGCCTGTACGTGAAACAAAGTGAAGTAAAGCAACTGCAATATCATTATTCATATTGATATGTATAAATATTAGAATGATAAAGAGAAAAGTTAAAAGCGACAGGACAGGAAATTCCAGTCAAAAAAAACGCATCAAAATGAACAAGGATTTGGGTACGTGTAGCGATGAAAAGATAATCATACGAAAACAATAAAAAAAAAGAAGAAATACAAATATGGAGAGGACTAGAAAACAATGGCGAGAATATTGTAATAGGATGAGGGGAATCAAAACGGAGAAAGTTAGGATGGAAATGATTACAAAAAGGCAACAAGAAAATAAGATCAAAATAGTTGTATTAAGATAAAGAAGATGGGAAAATTAAAATAAGATCAGACAAAAATGGCAGTGGAAAAGACACGATGACCGACAAGATTCAAACGGATTAAGATCAGAAAAAGATAATCCTATACTTAATCACCCACCTATTACCGTGAACGTGCGAGGCGCAGAAAGCGTAACTGTAGTGAAGCAACGTTGGATCAACCATAATGCCAGATTCAGCTTTATCGAGAAGATCAAACAAATAACAAAGATGACGATAACATCCACGAACACCGTATCGTGCACAATACTCGTCCAACAAAAACTGCTGACCAGGCGAAAACCACCCCTGAAAAAAAGAGTGGGGGTCATTTTCTTAAGTTATCACACTGCACCTTGGCATTTACAAAAAAAACCCATCAGCAATTGTGTTTAGGATTTAGTAAAGCACATTTTCAAAAATCTCTTAACCACGATAGAAAGAGAACGGAAATTCACAAACAAAGCGTGATATGGTACGGCAAAGAGTAGACATCAAAATATAATCCAAACTGAAACTGAAGTTTCGTGTGTGAAACACACATAATTTCTTCACGTACCAAACAAGAGCAATAATCATTGAGACGATGCTCTAACGTTAGATACTGAAGTTTCTTGAACAAGGAATATTGGTCAACAGCATTGGGATCGGCAGAAACCGCATCGTGCAAACCATATTTGCGAGCACGATCTGTATCTCCCATGAGTTTCGTTAGCGAGTTCGTCTTTGGTGTCCCTAATTCGATCGTTTGTGGGGCCACGGGTCGATGAGATTGTCCAGTGGCCTGTGAAATCTTGTGCACCCACATCTGTCGGTCGTTTTCGTCGTCGGCCGACAACGTGACGGAGTTACCCTCTTTAACACAGCAGAAGAAATATTTCCCGCCTTCGTATTCTACATCTAAACAAAATAAGTGTTTTGATGTAAGTGCCCCTCAACTATAAATGTCACTTTCATCCTTCGTATTCTTCATGTAAGCAAAACAAGTCTTTAGGCGTAAGTGGCACTAAACTATAAATGTCACTTTCACCGTTAGGTTTTCAGGAGTGATTTTCACAAAATCCACCAATAGGCAAATAAAAAAAATTCAGCAGCATTTTTCAAATATTGTGTGTTTCGCGTCAAACAAAGAACAGCCGGAAAAAAAAGCAACAAAAGGCCAGAGCACCTTTAAAGCATCAGAATAATTCATTTATGTGGAAATGTATAAATGTTTTGCAGTAAGTGAACACAAAAAAATTTGCATAACAAGACCAAATTTGCAAGCTGGCTGCCCGACAATATTGCCGATTAGAGATTACGCAAATGCTCTAATACTTAATCAGAATTGATTTCGACAGAAACCAATAAAGGTATAACATGCATTTATGAATATTGGCACCCCAAATTATCAATGCGTTCCGCGATCCCAGGTATTGTAACTATATCACAGTAATGAATGTCAAAAATCCACGTACTAAAATGTACAGTAGTCTAACGTATTTCAACAGGAAAATCATAAAATTGCTATAAACACTGAATAAATTGCTCGGATTGTACTCGCGTAGGGTTAATACCGCAGCTAAGTGCAAGAAAGGGCCTGGGGACGGGGTTGACCGCCGCCGTTAAAGATCTGTAATGGTCAACGAGGACATGATTTTTTTAAAATTCTATCATACAAATAAAAATGTGAATCCATTATAGCGTAAAACTTTAATTACCACAAGGATGTGCCATATAATCAACAGTGTAGCCGTCCAGTTGAATCATCTCATGTGGTTCACCTTTCTTTCTATGATAACTGCATAAAACGAACGTGTACTGGCTCTCCTATAATAAAAGTGTACATGTCTGTGTATGAATGGAGATACCATTGTGTAACTCTTCTATACATATTGGACATATAAGGTTACAAAACTCTTTGTTTTCATACACTCCTTTCATTTAATTTACCTATGATAAGATAATGTGTATAGATAGGTGCATTTGTGTATAGATAGGTGCATTTGTGTATAGATAGGTGCATTTGTGTATAGATAGGTGTATTTGTGTACCTCTTCTATACATTAAGGATAAAACCTTCTTTTCATACACTGCTCGTTTCTGTTTTAATTTAGTGAAATACCAAGAACTTTATATATTTTCAGTGTTTTCAAAGCATAAACGACCCTCCCCCCCTGAAACAAACATGTTTACCTGGACAAGAACAAAATAACGTTGTTTCCACCTTTTCCAAACATGACGCCCAAGGGAGTACAGGTTTCTATAATAGATAGAAAATGCCAAATCTCATTTGACTTTTATAACCTTATGTGTGATTTGAGGCGAGGAAATAAGACTGGAACTAGTTGCCAAAGTTGAAGATAAGATTGGCACTAGTTGTAAATATGGACGATATAACTGGAACTAGTTGTTACTGTTGCATGAAGGCTACTTCCCGCCAAAATTTGAAGCCAGCAATTTAACTAGATCCAATCTTTCCACGCACAGAGTCACAATATAACTAGACCCAATCTTTCCACGCACAGAGTCACAATATAACTAGACCCAATCTTTCCACGCACAGAGTCACAATTTAACTAGACCCAATCTTTCCACGCACAGAGTCACAATATAACTAGACCCAATCTTTCTACGCACAGAGTCACAATTTAACTAGACCCAATCTTTCCACGCACAGAGTCACAGAATAAGACATACCCGCATCTCTTGACGTTCAGCGGTTTATCCATCTTCACTCTCATCTTTAGTTGAATTTTCTCCATGGGAGATCCTTTCGTAGGTGTGGCATCATACCATCTTGGCTCTTCGGTAAACGCGGGATATGGAGTACAGGTTAACTGTGAAAAACATATTGACAGGTAAAAAACTGGGTTCATTTTTAGAGATACGTTTTATAAAGATTTCTTTTCCAGCAGGCGGTCTTAAGTATTTTAAAATCATCTCACTTTACATATCAACTTGTACACTCAAAGACAAGTTTGAATATTTTGACTTTATTTCAAAGCCATTAACAAGCCGAAATAAAGTCAAAATATTGCTTTTAAATCACGTCTCCTGCTAACATAACTCGAATCTTAAAGTTACAACATGAGGTTTTTTGGAGACCATTTTATCTTGTATTTTGCCAGGTTATCGTCAATTCAACGTACAATACAAAAATTTTTACCTTCGCTAGTTCTTTATCATCAAAAGCAAGAACACCCGTATTCTCACACATTAATTCACTTTAACTTCAGGAGAGGATGCGTCGTCGTAAACCTTGTAATCCCATGAAAAGGTATCCCATCAAAAAAGAAAAAAAGAGCGCGTGAAAAAGTGAAAAACAGAGCGCGTGAAAAGAAAGCGCGTGAAAAACCAGAGCGCGTGAAAAAACCCCAGAGCGCGTGAAAAAACACAGAGCGCGTGAAAAAACGCAGAGCGCGTGAAAAAACGCAGAGCTGGGGAAAAAACACAGGGCGCGTTCCGACCTTGCTCATTTTTCAAGAAGAGCAATACACTCGTAGTTCGTATGTGATAATTCGATATCTACTAGAGCTTGCAGTAGAACTTTTGTACGTTTGTAAAATAGCTACAACTCGATGTAAACATCCCGAAAATTATTTACACGTCTAAAATCAATCGTTATGCTATCAATGTTGCTTCTACTTAGCTAAAGATTCACAGCCATGCAGACTGATGCAATGGCGTACTCTGCTGCAATTTGGCAGTGATGTAAAACACTATTCACACGGGATTAAAATCAACCTGGCTTAAAATTAATCTTGAGACGGGTTTAGTTTAATCCAGGGTAAACCTGATTTAGTGTTTACATGCAAAAAAATTAACTTGGGTTGAACTCGGGTTGATTTTGACCTGAATAATACCAGGGTAGGTTATTCGTGCGAACAGGGCTTAATTATCTGACCATTAACATTTTTTTATTTCTCTAGAACAGGGGTCTCCAAACTACGGCCCGCGGGCCAGATGCGGCCCGTTGGGCCTATCAATCCGGCCCGCAGAGGCACTTAAGAAAAATAATAATATTATTAAACAAAATAAACTTTGTGCAGAAAGTTCACGTTATGTCGCATGCCAACTAGCTAGAGTGGCTTACGTCAATTTTTCTCCCAACTTCCTACTTCCGTTTCAAGCACATTGCGAAATTTAAAAAGCTGAAAGATAACGTGGAAATTTTTTATATTCTTTGGCCCTCAACATGCTGGATGAAAGTTCATGTGGCCCTCTGGCTGTAAAGTTTGGAGACCCCTGCTCTAGAAATACAATTCTTTTACAGTGAGTGAACATCCTAATGTTTTCATAGCACATTATAAAATAAACACAATGAAACGCGTGCGCTGATTGGTCTAGAGCTGTGAGTTGCATTACACTGTGCAAATCACATCTGAGCTCGACCAATCAAATCAATCAAAGCAATCAATCAGTCAAAAAGAATTTGCAAATCGATCATGAATACATTTTAGGGAAAAAATTAAAATGTTTGTCTTTTTCGCATAATTGTTACTTTATAAAAGAAATATAAGATGTTTTTCGTGTTTACACTGGCTTATGCAAACCTCGGAGACATTTGTGAGAACTCTCAAGCATGTGCAACACTGATCTGCTCTCGAGTTCTCCCAAAGGTCTCCTCGCTTTGCATAAGCCTATGCAAAAACAGTAAACATCTTTTATTTGTTAAATCAAGCTTGCAAGCTGGATAACTCACGGTTCAGAGTACTCTGGTGACCGAGACACCATAAAAGAATAGTGTAGTAAAACAACTGAAATAAAAATAGATAAATAATCCAAAATCAATTTACCTTGGCCTTGATGCCTCAGCTTGATCTGTCTGAAACTTTTCCCCACCCTCAACCTGTTGTTTAAAAAAACCCCCAAAATTGATTTAAACAATGTGAAAACCCACCAATGAAAACATTTTACCATTTTGACATTACCTCCATTGTGCAATAGACGATCTTTTGTGGAGGAAGCTTCAACCCTTTTGCTTCAACAATCAAAACTTCAATTGTAAATGACAAAACGACATCAGAAGTTGATAAAGGTTTCTCGCCATCAGATGCATCATGATTAAAAATCCCTGCTCTGTAAAAAAGTAATTACATGAAGTAAATGGATAACATTCATTGCCAAGCAATTGCAATAAACGTAATGTATGGTAAAATGAATATGAATGATGGGAGAATCAGGAAAGTAAAGTGAATTAATGAAGACGTTTGATAAAAGACGACTTGTGGTATGAAACGAAAAGATAGGAAAGATGAATGAAAGTAATGGATGAATAGAAGGGAAGAATGGTGAAGGTGGGTGGATCAGTGTGCGAATTAATGGTGTGCAATGTGCAATTTGCACATCGTTTTAGCTAAAATGAAAACAATTGCACATCACTTTTTCAAACGATGTGCAAAAATCAGTGGTTTTAACGAAAAACACTGTCGTAAATCATATAAATTTGTTCACGTTTGAAAATATTAATTTAGCAATTAGCGCTATACAATAATTAACGTAATATCAATTTGATTATGCCTTTAAAGAAACATTTTTGTCAAAAAATTTCACATCGTTTTTTCTGAACTAATTCGCACACCGGGTGGATGGATGAGGGTGTTGAGTGAACAGAAAAGGTTTAGAAGGGTAAGGTGGGTAGATGGATGAGGGTGATGAGTGGACAGAAAAGGTTTAGAAGAGTAAAGTGGGTAGATGGATGAGGATGATGAGTGAACAGAAAAGGTTTAGAAGGGTAAGGTGGGCAGATGGATGAGGGTGATGAGTGAACAGAAAAGGTTTAGAAGAGTAAGGTGGGCAGATGGATGAGGGTGATGAGTGAACAGAAAAGGTTTAGAAGAGTAAGGTGGGTAGATGGATGAGGGTGATGAGTGAACAGAAAAAGTTTAGAAAGGTGAAGGTGAGTGGATGGACGAGGGTAATGCATGGACAGAGAAGGGTAGAAATGTAAAGGTGGGTGAACAAACGAAAATGAAAACCATAAACTGATATAGGTACTTTAAGATAAAAAACAAAACATTACACATTTTACTGGTGCTTCTTAACATACTTAGGTCTTTCTTTGATATTTAAAATAGGTAAGCTGTCTAAGTTTGTTTTTAATTGATTGATTTGTCTCCTTTGTTCTTCAATGTAGTTCGCTTTCATTGACTTATGTACAAACAATGGAAAATTCTACAAAATATAACAACATTCCATGTTTAAGACTGAAATATTTCTTTCAAGACAAGAAGATTGCAACATGCATAGCGACTTAAATAGTTACCTTATGTTTTTTTTGTAACAAATCCATTCTGCCCTGGAGTTCTCGTCTGATACACGCAGCTTGTTCATCGGCATTGTCCAACTAGTTGACCATTAGAAAACATAAGTTTGCTATTTATAATATTGCAACAATACAACAAGTGCTGGGTAATCTGATAGTGGAGTTTTCAAACAGATCTCAGCTCTACCGCAGGAGCTCATACATTTAAGTAATTGAAGATAGCTAAAGTTTGCAAATCAATTATGAACACATGTTACAGGAAAAATTAAAACATTTGTCTTAAATTTATCTGTTTCGTTATATTGTCATTTTATAAAAGAAATAAAGAATTTTTTGTGTTTGCACTAGGCAACATGAGGAGACATTTTACAGACTATTGAGCATGTGCACTGATCTGCTCTACAGTATCTCCTCATTTTGCATAAGCCAACTGTTGCAAACACATTAACATCTTTAATGTCTTAAATTGATCTCAAAAAATATCATTTCCTTTACAAGCTAGGAGTTATCACTTGGCTACACATACCACCAAATAATAAAATCACTTTGCAGATATTATTTAACCCTTGGTCAAATTAAATTCATAAAAACCTTTACTGGTAATTGTCACCTAGTTGCCACCAAAGCTCAAAATTGACTTGCAAACTCACTTACAGTTATCAAAAAACATTCCAAGATATTGAATGCTGTTTTGTTAAACTGTCTAAGCAAAGCAGACAGATATGTTTTTTGTAAATGAATGACCACGTCTGAGCCACGTACATTTCTTACCTGACAAGCGTTGTATAATATTGCGTGTTCATACTTCTTCACTTCCAAAATTTTCTGAAACATTTCGTACAACTGATCTTTGTTTAAAATCGTTTCGCTCAGAGGATGCGGTTGACAAGGATGGTATGTTCCTGAAAGTGTTGTTCGGTCGTCGCCTCTGTATATTTTATCAAACTTGGTCATCCATGAATTCAAAATGGTCTCCACTGTTAAACCACTTGGCACATTACGGACACGATTCTCTATACAACTTTTAAACACCTCACGAAAATCATAGGCCGTCGCACTTCGATATTTTATCATTCTCAAAATACGGTCACTGCACAAGATAGAATCGTAGTAAAACTTTACTGCAACGTGAAAGGCCTTGTCACTTTCTATAGTGGTTTCGCCACTAAGGAATTGCTCAAAACGTTGTTTTATTACAAGCAAGTCTTCCATCGTAATTCTGACGTGCCTTCGGGTCATGTCATTTTGTTGCTTGGCGTTGAAAGGATGTGCAATACAACGCGAAACGAAAACGTAAAGCATTAGCTTCTCCTTCTTTTCTACATCATGTTCGTCGTCGATTTCACTGTGATATAGCGAAGAAACTGGGCTATCTTGTAACCTTGTTGTAATATCTTGAATAAGAGTTGGTTCATTTTCTTTAGGCTCGCTACCATCGTCGCTTTCATCGTCCGAGGAATTTGAGATCATTTCTGTGTATATTCGACAATACTACGGTGGTAAATATTGTATATGATAATCTAACATGACCTGCTGCTCAAAAGGAAATAATACTTTTATTTGATCTTTTGAATATTTAATAAAGATTCCCATCTTTCCGCACTCATCAAAGACTGGCCTCTCAAACTCAAGCTACTTTGCTCCCCAACCGAGAGAATTTACGGGGCCTAGGCACTAAAATAATGACGTCATTTATAAGAAATGCAAATGATGTTTTTATAAGACGTTGTTAGTGACGTCAACATTGAGGCCATTTATAAGAAATATACAAACTGTAAAAGATAGACGTAAAAAAATTTAAAACCCAAATTTTGACATTGAAAGATAAATTCCTCTCGCGTGAAACATGCCGTTATAGTTTATGACATATAATTCAAAATGAACTTTTTACAAAATTATCCTCCATAATAAGTTATAAATAAGCAAATAGTCTTCCTGTGCTACGTACAGTATAAATATCTGAATTTTAAGATTACATAAAAAAGCTAAAAGACAGCTATGAAACAAGAGATACCAAACTTCAGCCCATTGAAAAGTTACGACATTTAAAATGCCACAAAATTATCGAAGAAATAAATATAAAATACACAATGCATAATTACATACAAAACGATTGTAAACAAAATTATTACCATCAATGATAGTGGCGACTTCACTTCAATCTTCGCTATCATTGGTTCTTCCAGTTAGTTACGATGTGGTGGTACGGTCACCAAAGCGTCTTCAGATTTTCTGCCAACCTGCACATTCTGTATAAAATACATCACTAAATAAAAATTATTAGGTAACTTTCGAATAAAACAAAAAACTATTGACAAAAATACATGGGATTTTACGGAGCCTTCCCGCAAGAAAGACGTGGAAACAATCTATGTACGAGACTCTTCCATAGTTTCAAAGGATTTGGATCTCGGAGGAATTGGTTTTAACAAGACTAGTATTCCAGGAAGTAAGGAATTCAAAAAAGACATTATTTTTTACCTTCGGTCGCTCACGTTGCGTGTTTACCGCTCCAATACCAAGTGGAAACTTTTCGACTTTACAACCTTGAAAATACATTACGATGACTCAAGCACACCGAAACATTTTTGAACGAAAAAGATTTTCGTTCATTTAACATGTGAACATTTCTTACCGTAAGCGATAGGAGTGAGTTTGAAAACCGTGTGCAGAGGCACGGCTATATAAGGCAATTCTTCCTTGGATACTTCGAGAAAATATCCCAAAAGACATCTCATAATAGCCTAAAAAATAAAACGATTGGTGAGAAAGACCTACGTGTAAAAATAGCTACGCCCGTTGTACAAGTGGTTGACCAATCACATGAATAAAGCAACGGTGGAGAACCTTTTAACAGAAATCCTTAAACAAATGCGTCATATAAAAATTTATGTTAATACTGAAGGTTGGCAATTCGCTCGCTTCAATTCTTTAATTTATTGAAGTGATATTTAACTTGGTCCAACTTGTTTCTTCATATTAGCAAAATAAACAAGAGCTTAGCCGTAGCATTACATATCTACCTGATGACATACAACCAAAACGTTTTGCTCTCTTTCTAGCTCCTTAAAGAAGAAAAAAGTAAACGAACATACACGTGAGATCAAGAAAATTTGTTTAATAAAGTCTTAGCAAATGAGCTTACAATAATAACGGGTTCCAAACGAATCACAATATCTTCATAGGACTGCAAAGAGAAATACAAACATATCATCTTTACATGTTTAATTGCCTTTACTGTAAAAAAAGGGAAATAGCTTGGTATAATGCCGTTTAGGAAACATATAAAGTACGGAGTAATATAAATGTCCAGCGAGAACGAAAATGTGCCATTACAAATTGATCTACAACAACCCCCCTGAATATGATAACAATTCAATGATTTCCGGAGGATATGAACCATTGTCCTCACATACAAACCTTAAGTTTACATATAAAACTCAATACAAAGTCGATATTTCTCATATGTTCTAAGGAGTTAACAATGGTCTAGAGTATAACCAAACATAAAGTGTTCATACTGTCCCCCGTGTTACTTGAAAACGCCATACAATGAAAATTTTTCTGTTGAATTCATGCACTGATGAGCTTCCGTGCTTCAGAGTAACCAACCAACATCGCCGCTCTTACGTCAATTGAAAACAAGCCATTGGAGCTGAGGGTATTTACTTTCAATTTTGCCCAAGAAATAAAATGCAAATAAGAACTTTTGACATACCTCTCCTCTTTTGTAGCGATAGTGAAACTTGTCTTGATCTCGTCTTGCAAAGTCTTCTGGGTATTTTTCTTGTATCTCCTCATACGTCATACCATCACAGACACCCTTAAATGAGTGACACAAAGGTATTGTAATATCGTTGTTCAGTGTATAACCTCTTACACTTCTTTTAAAATTGATGTTTTTTTAAAAGTACTGTCCTGGGGCTGGTTGCACGAAGGTCAAATAGCGTTATCCACTGGATAGCAAATTTTTCTCAACGTTCATAAAATCTGTTATAAAAGAAAAATGTACGATTTGAACTGTGCAATCATTGAAATAAAATATTGCTTTGAAGATTACAAAATTTCTTTGTCGTAACAAACACTTTTTCTTTCCAAAATTTCGTAGCAGCACGATTTTTCTTTGAATGTTTTTATGCAGTGCGGTAATTGAAATTGTCCAGCTAAGTGCGAAGATCATATCTTCATTTAACGATTTTTCTTTGTTGAAAATTTTCGCTATCCAATGGATAACGCTATCCAGGCTTCGTGCAACCGGCCCTTGGTCTTAAAATACTTATAATCGAAGTAACTTTTTGATTGGAATTTTCTTGGTCAATGATATGAAAGCACAATACTTCATCTAATAACTAGGAAAGATGTGGATGGCAATTTAACGGATCACTATGAAAGCAAATACAATGCCAAGTGAAAACCATGTTTCAAAGTCATCCTTACTCTGCAATGAATTATAAACCTATTTTAATCACCATGTGCTAAACAATCAAAATCACCTAATGAACAAGCAACAGCCCAGTGTGCGAATAAACCAGTGTGCAAATTAACGGTGTGCAATGTGCAATTTGCACATCGTTTTAGCTAAAATGAAAACAATTGCACGTCACTTTTTCAAACGATGTGCAAAAATCAGCGGTTTTAACAAAAACACTGTCGTAAATCATACGAATTTGTTCAAGTTTGAAAATATTAATTTAGCAATTAGCGCTATATAATAATTAACGTAATATCGATTTGATTATGCATCTAAAGAAATACTTTTGTCAAAAAAAATTGCACATCGTTTTTTCTGAACAAATTCGCACACTGCGTTAAACCAATAAGTGCACGTACCAAAGTAATGCTTATGTATATCTAAGTGTCACACAATTATCTCATTCTAATTTAAAGTTTGCCTCACATGCCAAAAGAAATTGGAAATTAAGTGAAGTACAGACTTGAGTGTTGGCAAAAATTACCAACAATATAAAATCATAAAACAATTTTCAATTATTCTTACAGCATCCAATTCATTCAAAGCTTTCCATCTTTCAATCGGTGCTTTGATGCATTGCGCAGATTGACTTGTTCGCTTCAGCTGGCTTGTCCAAACCTAACAAAGGAGGATGGTAAATAAAACAAGTGTAAAGTAATTGATAAATTTTCCTCGATTTTGAATAGTATCCAAGTTCTACCTTAAGATTTTCAATCTTCTGTTTATTTACAAAATCCCCAAGAACTTGAGAAAACTACAGCAAGAAATATTTATATGTCAAAAACGTCAGAGGTGGAACAGAATAATGAAACAAAAAAACTAACTTGTTTTCCATTAGGTGATAGGTCCGAATCTCCTCCAATTTTACCTTTTAGGTTGAATTCACTCTCACCGTGCTGCACATTAAGTGAAATTAATTGATAAAAACTTTAAAAGTGAATGAGAGGAAATTCTTCTTAAGTTCGACTACATTCCACTACATATTTGATAACATATTCAATATCCATACAATATCAAGGATGTCAAAGATGAGGACCGGGATATTTCACAACAATGATATGCAGGAATGGCAACAGACAAATACACAACTACCTTGAAATTGGCACCACATTCAACACAACACTCATCACAACATTCATCATCACATTCAACTGTTGTGTTGAGTGTGGTGCCAATTTCACGGTAGTAAATACACAAGCAACGCATAATAATCCTCATACCCTCGTTAAATAAATTGATCTTGAAGTAACATGAATATTCATCATGTAATAAACCACTTTGCTCTCCACATAACCTACATGGGAAGCAAATAACTGTTTTCATAGTAAACTACACCATGCAAAACAATTATAACTCACCTTCTGCTCGGTTCACAAAAAATCTTTTTCCTGTGTTGACAACTTTGAGGAATGGAACCTGATCATCTTTGGACAAAGAGAGAGCCTCGTATTCAGACTCATAAAGCTTGATTCTTGCTTTGAAATCTTCACATGCTTCTGTTGGTGACATGTTTCGATAATCTGGACTGGTCACCTTAACTTCCTATAACATATGGCTTATGTACTTCTTACTGCAATGCCTTACAACTTACAGGGAGCTAGAATATGTAAGATACAACATCTCCATGTAAAAAACTACTCTTTTTTTCTATATAACACTTAACTGTGTAATACATATCATCTCCCTCTCGATAAATAATGTTCAAATATGGAATGCATCTCCTTTGTGATAAACAACATTTAACTATGGTGTACATCTCCTCTTCATAAACAACATTCAACAATGGTATATATGTCCCTCTTCATAAACAACATTTAACTATGGTGTACATCTCTCTCTTCATAAGCAAAATTAACTATGGTATACATCTCTCTCTTCATAAGCAACATTTAACTATGGTATACACCTCCCTCTTCATAAACAACATTTAACTATGGTATACATGTCCCTCTTCATAAACAACATTTAACTATGGTATACATTTCTCTCTTCATAAACAACATTCAACTATGGTATAAATACTTCCCTCTTTTGAAAACAACATTTAACTATGACATACATCTCCTTCCTCATTAACAACATTCAAATATGATGAACATCTTCCTTATAAAGAAATTATGGCCATCAACACATGTCTTACCATAATGTTTGAATGAACAATTGCTGGGTCATCACAATAAGATTCAATAAACAACAGCTGAAATGAAAGCCCATGTCTGTCAGTCAAAGACTGCTAATATTATTACACATTAAGTGGCTATGTACCTTGAAAGAATTTTTCTTACAAAACTGAATGACTACATCTCTTCGATCCCTTGTGCCATTTGTTGAATCATAAATCTAAAAGATCAATATAATTTACATGACATCTTACATGTAAAAATGTGTACTTAACATAAACACTTACTGCAACTTGACCTATACCATTCAACCAGATGGCAACATCATTCAAGGCCAATCTTGCACAGCGTCTGAGAAATATAATTACATATATACGTTTAAAAATTGGTAATCCAGGCATTATATTGTTTAAGAATAAAAGTTTCTCCTTATTTTATAAATAATTTTAATAAAATTTTAAAAAATTTAATAAAATTATTTATAAAATCCGGAGAAACTTTATTTTTAAACAATTACACATACACATATATTTAAAGAATGAACCAACTTAAACTTCAACATATTTACAATAAATTGTAACTTACTCTCTCATCGCTAAGCCTTCTGCGTTATTGGGACCGAAAAACTCGTGCGTCGCTTGAGATTTGTACAGTTCTCTTCTGTAATTGCCGACACTGAAGACTGCAATTAGCAACATAAAAATAGATTATCCCAAACTCTGTTTTATTTTAACTATGCTATTCTAAACATATTATTCTATACAACGTTGATCAGACACAAATACAATTAATCATTATTAGTGACCTTTTGATGTTGTTGAGAGGCCAAAACGGCTCAACACTCGAAATTATGGATACATAAGGAGTTTGCATCTGCATGAAGTTTTACTAAATGAATTATAGGCAAAAGCCAAGCACCTTTCGTGTCGATTCCAATCCAGTTCAAATATCTTGCCAGTTTTCTAGCGATGAAAGTCTTCCCACGAGCGGGTAAGCCGACCATAGCTAAGCACACCGGAGTGTTCACAAGACTTCTTGATGGAAATGAAGCTGGATAAAGTGAACGATCGACCATTTTAACGAACACAAACTTAACTACTTAAAAAATCATCATACAACAGAAGGCAGAGCCCCGAAGTTGTTTTATTTCGTTCGTGACATGCACGTGACACTATATTTCACTGAGTCATCTTTACACGTGCCCTACATTGACCTACTTAACAATCTTTGAAAAATAATGAAGGATAAATGGACGTCATTTGAATCAGGTAGCTTTTTGATTCGCTCCCTGCCGCTAAAAGCTATCTTCAATAGGATTCAAGCTACGAAATTTACTCACCAGTATACGAACGGTAATTGGATATAGCCGCCATGTTGTTTTCTTCCACGTATTACATGAATGGGAAAATTAATTATTCATATAACAATATGATTTGCGTTTATGCAAATGAAGGCGCATATCTTCCAGATAACTTTTAATAAAAAAGAATTAGTCACGAACGCAAAGTGATAATAAAAGACGTCACGAATAAAACAAATTTCAACTATAAATAGAATCCAAACGAAATGGTTTTTCAACAATCTATAATACAAAAAACCAAACTAGCATATTCACTGAAATGCCTACTTAGACAGCCGTATTTTGCGAAAATTTAGCTAGTTTTAGCGTGTCGTTCAACATGTGCTTACGGAGGGCCCACAGGGCATCCACAGTGGATGAATGTGGATAGTAAGCAGATCCCAGCCATTGAGCTGGCAGTTGCGATTGTTGTTGGGGAGTAAGCCTGGATACATCGGGTTTGTTCGGGTTCCAGTTGCTCAAATGTGGCGTTCCATCACGCAGACCTTCAATATATCTAAGGCAAACAACAGTAATACATCAGTAACTATTTAATGAGGATAGGGTAGGCAAAGTTAACAACTAGGTGACGAGAGATGCACACACGTCATCGCAGCAGGCAGCCAAAGGGGTATATGAGGAGTAAAGAGATGCACACACGTCATCGCAGCAGGCAGCCAAAGGGGTATATGAGGAGTAAAGAGATGCATACACGTCAGCGCAGCAGGCAGCCAAAGGGGTATATGAGGAGTAAAGAGATGCATACACGTCAGCGCAGCAGGCAGCCAAAGGGGTATATGAGGAGTAAGCTCAAGAGTCAATAAGAACCATTTGTAACGCGATGGTAAGAGCTTATAAAAGTAAGCAGAAAAGCAAAATTGAGTGAAGTGAAAAATGTTTTTGCTATTGTTGTTGTCGACTGTTTATTTATGTCGATCGTTATTTCCACCATATCGGTGTGTTAGTCGAGAGGGGATGGTCAGCTTAGGATGTCAGGTACATGAATCCTAATCTCGACCCAAGGAACAGTTTTGGTGCCCAGGCCACCCCTTACTCATACCAGCTAACACCTAAACATCAAAATGGTAAGTGGAGTGAACTAGGTGTTAAAAACTTACTATGCAAACAATTAAGGGCAAACGAAAGGACAAAACAACGCTAGTCATGCAACATCCAGTAAAAGTTATGGAGATCAATGATTCAGTGACGTATTGAGCTACCTGAGATATGCATCAGAATGACGAAGCTTTTGCTGTCGAGGTGGAGGATTATGAAACAATGGGGCCATCTAAAATGAAGCATATTGTCAGATGAGTACCGGGAAACAAACGAAAACAAAGTAAAACGTTCGGTTACATCTTATAGGAATGATAAGATACACTAGAACACATTTATATCATGCTTTATCCATACATATCCTTACTTGTTCCTCTGTCGTTTGCGTATCTAAAGGTTGCGATTTCTGCATTGAAAATGATGAATTCTGTGCGGGAACTTGAGTTCTTTGTTGTGACAATTGAATTTGTTGTGGAGACAGAGTCGACGGGATATTTGAGGTGAAAGGCGTCAATAAGGGATCTTGTTGCTGATATACTTGTGGATATGGTTGTATCGTGTTCACGAACTGTTGTTGAATCATACTTGTTGAAGCTAAAGAATTTTTTAAATTAAGAGCATGTCTCAAAAAGCAATTGATCCTACACTTTGGCATTTATACCCAATGAAGACATCTGTGCAAATTGATTACCATGAGCCGCACCGCTGATCATAGCCGTGGGTCTGATGGGAATGTTTTGAGGTGTTCCCAATTGACTTTCTTGACCGGAATTGGATACATTCATCATATCTGTCAAATATAACAACGCCATAGGTTGAAGTATGATGACGTCATCACAATGACTATTAGACACAAGACGGACGCCCTTAAGTGCGGCAGACAAAGGCTACATGCAATCGCTCTCAACATGTTGACTCAACATACGCTCTTCATGAAGATTCGACATGTTCAGAGCAGTTGCACACAATGTTGAGAAGAGTTGAGTGGTATTGAGCGGTATTGAGAAAAGATTGAACTTACTCAAACTTTCCACTCAACAGTGCTCTACATTGAAGATTCGACATGTTCAGAGCAGTTGCAAACAACATTGAGAAGAGTTGAGTGGCATTAAGCGGTGTTGAGAAAAGATTGAACTTGCTCAAACTTTCCACTCAACAGCGCTCTACATTGAAGATTCGACATGTTCAGAGCAGTTGCACACAATGTTGAGAAGAGTTGAGTGGTATTGAGCGGTGTTGAGAAAAGATTGAACTAACTCAAACTTTCCACTCAACAGCGCTCTACATTGAAGATTCGACATGTTCAGAGCAGTTGCACACAACGTTGAGAAGAGTTGAGTGGTAATGAGCGGTATTGAGAAAAGATTGAACTTGCTCAAACTTTCCACTCAACAGCGCTCAGCAATTTCGTGATCACCAAAGCGTAACTCAACATTGCTCAACGCGTTTGAACACCACACACAAAAATGTTGAGCGAAAGCATGCGCACTCTGCAACGTGTATTGTAATAATTTATCCGGTCGCTGAACCCTATATGTAGCTGTATAGACGCAGTTGCTATGCGTCGTGGAATATTTTATTCAATGATCCTATGTGTTATCACTTTAAGGTCCAACATGTAACTAAACTAACGCAAAACAATGTTGAGTCAACATGTTGGGATCGAGTAAGAATGTTTTTTTTTTGCTTACTTTGTGGGATAACAGGTGCTGGCATTCTCAAAACGTTGGCAAATTGTTGATCTAATAATACTGGGCTCATACCAACTACACCAGTCGCCATAACTTGACTGGGCGTTGGTGAGGGTACGACACCAATAAAAGCTTGCTGGTTGGTAGCAGCGGTTACCACATTCTGATTTTTCGATACGGGTTCAGGAGGGAGATGTTCGGGCTGTACGGCAGCCTGATTTCTTGGAAAGTAATTCCTAGAAAAATGTGAAATCGAACATTCATTCGACGTTAAACAAGGAAATACAAAGATAAATCATTTAGCAAATCATTTCATTTTAAAAACGGCGAGGATTGTCACCAATAAATATAATAGACAACATGGAAGATCCGAATGCATCGAAAATTGACTTACTTGCTACGTTCGTGGAGTTCCACGCGCCTCGGGGGAGCTTTCAAATGTACTTCACGACAATGTCTTATGAGTTTCGTCAAAGTGTTGAACGGTCTACATCAACACAGCATCAACAACAAAAAACACCATTTGGCAAAGTTATCACAATTGCTGGTCAAAAATTTACACATAATAAGATGGAAGATGACAATCAAGAAAAATGCAAAAAGAACATACCTCATTCCTCTCTTCACATTTTCACAGCCACGCCATTTACACGGACATGTGCCATCTTCTATAAAAGTACAAACATGTATCCTTGATTGATCCCCATCCATCCCAACTCGTTCCCTTCCTCACAATGCAAACTACAATGACAAACCCCATGTTTAAAAAAATGTAAACAGTTATCCCTATTTATTCCTACCTACCACACCTCATTTACACCTGTTTCATCCAACTCGTTTAAATTGTTTTAGACGTAGACTTTCTGTATAACATGACTTCTATTCTACTACCCCCTAATGTATCCTATTATCCTCGACGATTCTTCACTCACCCAACTTGACTAAATGACCTCCGCTTTCCAGGAGATGTATCATTAGCTCGTTAAGATCTTCATATTGATAATCACATCCTTCCCAGAGACATTCGTACACCATTACGGGATAGATGGACGCGGCAGGTGAAGAAGTAGTGATGGAAGACTGAGATCGAGTTATAGAGTTGTTGATACTACGCGATTCCCATTCTTCTTTCTTCATGGGGCTAAGGTTCTTCCACTTGGATGAAATGTTAAAAATGAAATTCATGGGGCTAAGGTTCTTCCACTTGGATTAAATGTTAAAAATGAAATTCATGGGGCTAAGGTTCTTCCACTTGGATTAAATGTTAAAAATGAAATTCATAGGGCTAAGGTTTTTCCACTTGGATGAAATGTTAAAAATGAAAATCGGTTGTGGCGTGTTTAATGCAAGTTCCAATAAGTTTTTTTCAGTTATCAATAAATTAATGGATTTGTTAAGGTTAGCCGAAGGGTTAGGGGTTTAGCTCGAGTTCATTATGTCCTCAAAATCCAACAATCTTTATAATTATTCGGATTTATATATAATTATACAAAAACTTTATTGGTTTACAGCATTCGGATCAGCTGCTCAAAAAAATGTCTTGTGATACACTATAAAAAATCGGTTTCGGGTTGGTCTTATTGAGGTCATAGTATTTTCTCTCCCCATGTAATCAACTACACAATAGTAGCTTTAAACACAATATCATTATGTACTCTACCTCCGTCTCAACAAGTCTACTGATATCGCTCTCCCCATGTAATCAACTACACAATAGTAGCTTCAACACAATATCATTATGTACCCTACCTCCGTCCTAACAAGTCCACTGATATCGCTCTCCCCATGTAATCAACACATAATAGTAGCTTCAACACAATATCATTATATACCCTACCTCCGTCCCAACAAGTCCACTGATATCTCTCTCCCCATGTAATCAACACATAATAGTAGCTTCAACACAATATCATTATATATCCTACCTCAGTCCCAACAAGTCCACTGATATCTCTCTCCCCATGTAATCAACACATAATAGTAGCTTCAACACAATATCATTATATACCCTACCTCAGTCCCAACAAGTCCACTGATATCTCTCTCTCCATGTAATCAACACACAATAGTAGCTTCAACACAATATCATTATGTACCCTACCTCCGTCCCAACAAGTCTACTGATATCGCTCTCCCAAGTAATCAACACATAATAGTAGCTTCAACACAATATCATTATATACCCTACCTCCGTCCCAATAAGTCTACTGATATCGCTCTCCCCATGTAATCAACACATAATAGTAGCTTCAACACAATATCATTATGTACCCTACCTCCGTCCCAACAAGTCCACTGATATCGTTCTCCCCATGTAATCAACACACAATAGTAGCTTCAACACAATATCATTATGTACCCTACCTCCGTCCCAATAAGTCTACTGATATCGCTCTCCCCATGTAATCAACACATAATAGTAGCTTCAACACAATATCATTATGTACCCTACCTCCGTCCCAACAAGTCTACTGATATCGTTCTCCCCAAGTAATCAACACATAATAGTAGCTTCAACACAATATCATTATGTACCCTACCTCCGTCCCAACAAGTCTACTGATATCGCTCTCCCCAAGTAATCAACACATAATAGTAGCTTCAACACAATATCATTATGTACCCTACCTCCGTCCAAACAAGTCTACTGATATCGTTCTCCCCAAGTAATCAACACATAATAGTAGCTTCAACACAATATCATTGTGTACCCTACCTCCGTCCCAACAAGTCCACTGATATCTCTCTCCCCATGTAATCAACACACAATAGTAGCTTCAACACAATATCATTATGTACCCTACCTCCGTCCCAACAAGTCTACTGATATCGCTCTCCCCAAGTAATCAACACATAATAGTAGCTTCAACACAATATCATTATGTACCCTACCTCCGTCCCAACAAGTCTACTGATATCGTTCTCCCCAAGTAATCAACACATAATAGTAGCTTCAACACAATATCATTATGTACCCTACCTCCGTCCCAACAAGTCCACTGATATCGCTCTCCCCATGTAATCAACACATAATAGTAGCTTCAACACAATATCGTTGTGTACCCTACCTCCGTCCCAACAAGTCCACTGATATCTCTCTCCCCATGTAATCAACACACAATAGTAGCTTCAACACAATATCATTATGTACCCTACCTCCGTCCCAACAAGTCTACTGATATCGCTCTCCCCAAGTAATCAACACATAATAGTAGCTTCAACACAATATCATTATGTACCCTACCTCCGTCCCAACAAGTCTACTGATATCGTTCTCCCCAAGTAATCAACACATAATAGTAGCTTCAACACAATATCATTATGTACCCTACCTCCGTCCCAACAAGTCCACTGATATCGCTCTCCCATGTAATCAACACATAATAGTAGCTTCAACACAATATCGTTGTGTACCCTACCTCCGTCCCAACAAGTCCACTGATATCTCTCTCCCATGTAATCAACACACAATAGTAGCTTCAACACAATATCATTATGTACCCTACCTCCGTCCCAACAAGTCTACTGATATTGCTCTCCCCAAGTAATCAACACATAATAGTAGCTTCAACACAATATCATTATATACCCTACCTCCGTCCCAACAAGTCTACTGATATCGTTCTCCCCAAGTAATCAACACATAATAGTAGCTTCAACACAATATCATTATGTACCCTACCTCCGTCCCAACAAGTCCACTGATATCTCTCTCCCCATGTAATCAACACACAATAGTAGCTTCAACACAATATCATTATGTACCCTACCTCCGTCCCAACAAGTCTACTGATATCGCTCTCCCCATGTAATCAACACACAATAGTAGCTTCAACACAATATCATTATATACCCTACCTCCGTCCCAACAAGTCTACTGATATCGTTCTCCCCAAGTAATCAACACATAATAGTAGCTTCAACACAATATCATTATATACCCTACCTCCGTCCCAAAAAGTCTACTGATATCGCTCTCCCCATGTAATCAACACATAATAATAGTAGCTTCAACGCAATATCATTATATACCCTACCTCTGTTCCAACGAGTCTACTGATATCTCCGAAGCCGTAATCAGGGTATTGCTTTCTTAAGGCTCCACGTCTTTCCGCAGAGTACAAAAGAAATCCAGATTGAGCCCGCGATCGTTTCTTTGCCGACTGAAAGATGTAAAGAAAAACAATTGTTTCTCACAGATTATGTAAAATTGTTTTGTGATTGTTATAACATAGCACGAGACGACACACTCCAATTCTAAATGCCAAAACCATTCGATATCAATAAATGCACAAGTTCTGTAATGATATTTCAAAAAATAAATGTTTGAGAGTCCAAGTGAATGAATAAAAAACGAAAAAGGCTTGCCTACGAGTTCATGTTCATCTAAGTCTTTATCCAAAGAAATCCATACATAATCTTATATTTAGTAAAATTATATTATAATACAGTATTTCTAAATACTGTACGGTACGCTGATTGGCCAAAACCTCATTCGCTAACATAACGCTTTGTAAAATAACAACAATCAAACGCGTGACCTGATTGGTCAATAAGCGAATTTGCATTAGCCTGTGCAAACCGATCTGAGCTCAATCCAATCATCAATACATACAGTTTCACATTATTGTTATTTCTAAAAGGTAAAACATCAAAGTTTCCTCTCGCTCTCGAAGTTTCAAAGTATGGAGAAATTCATTTATCAATATTGTTGAGCCCAATGTTTTTCCGTGCGTACAAAGTTATATAGAACTAGTAATGTGAAAACGACGGATTTTGTAACAAACCTTTCCGCTTTCTGAATCATCAGCAGACAAAGATGGAGAAACAATACGATCTCCACGATTTAAATCACTCAAATTTTTAACAAGTAAGGGCGAAGGTCTCTGATGGAAAATAAATATTTCATTTCATTTACATAAATCATGTAAATAATCACGTGACATACACTTTAAGCACGTGATAGAACGTGAGCAATGGTCACATGACAAACAGACGTAGACCACTTACACTCAAAACAAATAGCACTAAGAAAGTAATCACGTGACTTAAAGCACGCGACTCATGTGTACATGACATAATATGTAAAATTTACCTTATTAGGATTCAAGTGTTCTTCAAAGAAATAGAATTCTTCCTCGTAAACATTTGTTGATAAAGTCGGTCTCTATAAACACAAATTTCCTTCGTGGTGACGTCATTCACGTAAAAATACTTTAGCAAAAACATTGACAGTTTTGTACCACAGGCGCACTAGTTGATACATATCACTCGAAGTACCTTTAGGCCCTTCAATTTCCTATAATGTCCCCCGTCGTCCTCATCATATCTGGACTCGCAAAGAAAAACGTCCTCTTCAGGAACATCAGTTGCTCGATCTTTATGAATGGAAACATACGATCAATGGTCATTTCATCATTTAGAAAGCAAAATGTCATTCGTGCTAAAAGTCGTAAACATTTGCTTTAAAACTTTCTTCCAACGATAGTGTTCATTGAAAGTATTTTTAATGTTTCCATCTGACATATTGTGTAGTACTTACATCTGAAATTTTGTGTAGTACTTACATCTGACATATTGTGTAGTACTTACATCTGACATATTGTGTAGTACTTACATCTGACATTTTGTGTAGTACTTACATCTGACATATTGTGTAGTACTTACATCTGACATTTTGTGTAGTACTTACATCTGACATATTGTGTAGTACTTACATCTGACATATTGTGTAGTACTTACATCTGACATATTGTGTAGTACTTACATCTGACATATTGTGTAGTACTTACATTTGACATATTGTGTAGTACTTACATCTGACATATTGTGTAGTACTTACATTTGACATATTGTGTAGTACTTACATCTGACAAATTGTGTAATACTTACATCTGACATTTTGTGTAGTACTTACATCTGACATTTTGTGTAGTACTTACATCTGACATTTTGTGTAGTACTTACATCTGACATATTGTGTAGTACTTACATCTGACATTTTGTGTAGTACTTACATCTGACATTTTGTGTAGTACTTACATCTGACATTTTGTGTAATACTTACATCTGACATATTCCCTGATTGGCAACACGAAGCATTTTCCCTCAATATCACACATTCTGTGTACTTCTTCCATGGCAATGTGAAACACTTCCTTGTCATAAAACATGTGCGTGGGTAGATGCTGGGTATCATCTGGAGGGATGAACGACGACCCACAGAAATATGTCACTCCCCTAGAAGGTGGTTTTGTCATTATAAGTATGACACTTCTTGCTATATTAACAAATAGAACATCAAACAAAACTGTCATTTGAAAACTTTTAACTTACGTTCTGTCTGTCCAGATTTTGTCTATTCTCGCTATGATGGAATAACCCTCATCACACAGACAGAATACAGTGTCGCCTAAGGATGTAGATGGTTAAAGTGGGTATAAAGTATCACCTAGGGATGTAGATGGTTAAAGTGGGTATAAAGTATCACTTGGGGATATAGATGGTTAAAGTGGGTATAAAGTATCACCTAGGGATGTAGATAGCTAAAGTGGGTATAAAGTATCACCTAGGGATGTAAATGGTTAAAGTGGGTATAAAGTATCACCTAGGGATTTAAATGGTTAAAGTGGGTATAAAGTATTGAAAGATGTTGAACATTTTAAGGCAAATAATACTTATACACAATAATTTAAAAGATCACGATTTTGCACGGGTAACACAAAAGTTGAACATATAACTTTCCACTGACAGTAAGGTGAACTTATATTCTATATAGTGCAAAGTTTATGCATACCAAGTTTGTAGCACCCAGTCTCCGTGATAAATTGCTCAAAATGAACTGCATTTTCGTTGTTGGGTACGTCAACAGGTATATTCTAAATAAAGTAGCAAATTTTCGTTACTTTGTTAGAAATCCAATTATTTTATACAAATAGTACTTTATGTTGCTTGCAGACTTTAGCTTCGTTTGAGTACAAATAAAATGAGTCTTGTACTTGTCTGGAATGACATAAAACATCAAAACTCTATGGCTATGAATGATTTGATATGAATGAAACATAGCGCTTTTCAGGTTCATTCCTTTAGTATTTTGATGTTCATTCCTTAAGTATTTTTGATGTTTGTTCTCTAAAAAATCTATCCCATCATACCTTTTTCTCGTCGACAACTTGCATTAATGACGTAATCAAATCTTCGTCATCGTTCTTCATTACAATACCAGGATCGATTGGATCAACAGGAGCTCGCGTGAGGAGCAACGGTTGATCACGAGGGACATATCTCATTGTATGGCCGTGCCCCCCCGGCCAAGACTTTATCTTCTTGAAGAGATGTAAACTCGAGTTATACGCACACTCACAAACGTAGACGTCGTCATCGTCGAAGTCCTGAATAGAAAGCAAACTATGACGTCATCCGAAAAGAGTAAACTATGACATCATCATAGAATAAGAATCGTAGATTTTTCGAACATTTCCATTTGGACCACTTTACACCAGAAAAACTAGTATTACCACAGAAAACCGGCATTTCCTTATGCTCAAAGGAAGATTAATTTAAATGTATTTCGTACGTGGACAAATTGATGTCATAAATTACAATTATTACATTACTATCACTACATTGCGATTCTTACATGTGGCCGACTTCGCGAATAATTCCTCACATACATCACATGACATTGGCTCAGAATCTTGTCCACTTGCACAGCGGATTTTCTATCACTTCGAAAGACTTCCTAAAATGCAACACAGATATATCTCAGAATACGACAAAAGAAATCCCACGTAGCATTTAGAAAATAACAAGAATCAACTATAAAAAACCCTCCGCCCAGAAAAAAGACAAAATCTTGACTTAAATGCATTGCAAAAAGAAAACAGAGTTAGAGTGACCTTTTCAATAAATTTTCGTCCTTTTTCATACATAGTTTGTTTAGGTCGATAAAACCATGTTCCATAGATCCACTGAAATAAATAAAAATTACACGGTGTTTTGAAATTGTCTACTTCTTACAGCTTTAACTCATCAAGACAAGAATAAAATGTGTAAGTGTCAAGATGTAAATAAGAAATGCTGTTGCTTGATGGACTGGGATACGTGAGGGTTTTCAGGAATGTATTATATAAGGATCCATGTTGATGGACTGGGATAGGTGAGGGTTTTCAAGAATGTATTATATAAGGATCCATGTTGATGGACTGGGATAGGTGAGGGTTTTCAATAATGTATTATATAAGGACCCATGTTGGTGGACTGGGATAGCTGAGGGTTTTGAAGAATGTATTATATAAGGACCCATGTTGGTGGACTGGGATAGCTGAGGGTTTTCAAGAATGTATTATATAAGGATCCATGTTGATGGACTGGGATAGGTGAGGGTTTTCAATAATGTATTATATAAGGACCCATGTTGGTGGACTGGGATAGCTGAGGGTTTTCAAGAATGTATTATATAAGAATCCATGTTGATGGACTGGGATAGGTGAGGGTTTTCAAGAATGTATTATATAAGGATCCATGTTGATGGACTGGGATAGCTGAGGGTTTTCAAGAATGTATTATATAAGGATCCATGTTGATGGACTGGGATAGGTGATGGTTTTCAAGAATGTATTATATAAGGATCCATGTTGATGGACTGGGATAGCTGAGGGTTTTCAAGAATGTATTATATAAGGATCCATGTTGATGGACTGGGATAGGTGAGGATTTTCGGGAATGTATGTATTACAGCAGATGACAATACACTTTTTTCATTTCATTGATCACAAAAGCCATTTACCTGTTGTTCTTGAACGTCTGACCAAATTTTTTCAACAGAAATTATGAAACGATCTCTGTTTACAAAGCAAAATCACGAAAACTTAGTTTTTCTCTTCAAGCATAAAAAGTTCAATCCCTATACTTTAGAATTACCCTGCAGCTTCCACATGAACAAAATCTCCAATTGTCACAACTATATCTTTCACATTCACTTCAGACAACGGCTTACAATCATCCTGTGTATGGAAAACTATGTTTTTAAATCAAAAAACCACAAGGCTTCATGAAAATATTGATGACAATAGAATGTATTGAACAAAATTCCTCTGTCAATGATATCAACGGGATAAATTATGTTGATCTTGCATTTCATTAATAATTTCTTACGTAGATATATTACAATAATCTTTTGTGAGGATTTGTCAAAAATTCTTCCGTGTAGATCAATCATAGCATTCTTCCATGTGGATTAATCATGGTTATCTCATATGTGGATTAATCATGGTTATCACACATGTGGATTAATCATGGTTATCACACATGTGGATTAATTATGGTTATCTCACATGTGGATTAATCATGGTTATCTCACATGTGGGTTAATCATGGTTATCTCACATGTGGATTAATCATGGTTATCTCACATGTGGATTAATCATGGTTATCTCATACGTGGATTAATTACGGTTATCTCACATGTGGATTAATCATGGTTATATCACAAGTGGATTAACTATGATTATCTCATATGTGGATTAATCATGGTTATCTCACATGTGGATTAATCATGGTTATCACACATGTGGATTAATCATGGTTATCTCACATGTGGATTAATCATGGTTATCTCACATGTAGATTAATCATGGTTATCTCACATGTGGATTAATCATGGTTATCTCATATGTGGATTAATCATGGTTATCACACATGTGGATTAATCATGGTTATCTCACATGTAGATTAATCATGGTTATCTCACATGCGGATTAATCATGGTTATCTCACATGTGGATTAATCATGGTTATATCACAAGTGGATTAACTATGATTATCTCATATGTGGATTAATCATGGTTATCTCATATGTGGATTAATCATGATTATCTCACACGTATGTTAAACATGGTGATTTTCCATGTGGATTAACATGCAGTGGCGTATCCATCCCGCAAATTAGGTCGTGCTATGTAAATTTCAGATCATTATCATTATTCATTTCTTTAGAAATCTATTGTTTTTTTACAGTGAGTGAACACAGAAAAATTTACATAGCACGAACAAATTTGCGTGATGGCTACGTCACTTCTAACATGTCATCTCACATGTAAATATATCAATATAATCATACACGTGAATCCATAATGATAATCCCGTATGTAGATGGAATCATAATGATCTCATGATACAGCAAACCTTCATTGTCTTTTCAGCATGTACATTCACTACATTGGATATTTCGCTTCTCATTTTTCGTTTCCTCTCCTCGTCAAGTTCGTGCTGAAGATGTCGTTTTGTTTGTGAGATAGCCGGTGACACGAAACGTTCGCCATCTTTGCATAATCGATCACGTTGTTGTACGTAAAACAACTGAAGTTCAACTGCATCGTCGTAAATCTACAAATGTCCGAGATGAAACATTTCATTTTCGACTTATAATCAAGAAATGATATCTACGGACAAAATAAGTTTTAAATTTATGATCAAATTTATGGCCGCATTGGTCACACTGTAACTTGATGCTGAAAAACTGTTTCAAAACATCACTTGAGAGAAATAAAAGTTAAAACTCAATCTTTAATCCACGTGCAAAATTAATTACATTAGCTAATAAGCTCAATTAAATGTATCTTCACTAAATTCACAAAATGTATCAGTTTGTTTCAAGACAATTTTCCACTTAGATATCACACACATAAACTCGCTAAACCTTTCGCATTTATGGCGCATAATCACAAGCCTTAATATACGCATAACTTGAAAATGATTTAATGTATTTTCACCCCAACCTCATCTCTATCCTCCATCGTCTATTCACACCCCATCCCTATCCTCCATCGTCTATTCACACCCCATCCCCTATCCTCCATCGTCTATTCACACCACATCCCCTATCCTCCATCGTGTATTCACACCCCATCCCCCATCGTGTATTCACTCCCCATCCCCATCGTCTATTCACACCATCCCCATCTTTATTTCATCTCATCCATCGATCATTATTCCACCATCTATCCATTCCATTATTCTTCCATCCCTCCATCTTTATTCATTCATCATTATCCCATCTCATCTTCCATTTTCCATCCCTATTCCATTCCATTTATCCTCCATTCATTCTCCATTCTTTCCACCATCTATCCTCCATCATCCCTATCCTCCATTGTTTCCACCCCATCCCCTATCCTCCATCGTGTATTCACACCCTATCCCCTATCCTCCATCGTCTATTCACACCCATCCCCTATCCTCCATCGTGTATTCACACCCCATCCCCTATCCTCCATTGTTTATTCACACCCCATTCCCTGTCCTTCGTCGTCTATTTTAGACTAGAGAAGGACAAAGATGGCGTAAACGCAACAAGAACGCTCACAGATAAACGATAGGTTCAGTCATTGACATACCTCAGAGTCAAAGCGATGTGTTCGTGCATTTTCAAAAAACGCGAATAAATCATCTTGAAATTTATCCAATCGTTTATAATAACGCTAAATTAATAGAAAAAAATACAAATCTTTTTAAAAATCACGCGAGACAAAGTGTTGTCTGTTGTAATAACTCATACCTTCTGAACAAGCTTTCCTATGGTAGACAGGGATAAAATAGCGCTAAACAGAAAATATTGAATATGACTTTCAGAGACACAAGTTTTGTAGTATGGTTTTAAAAACACTTTATACTTAAATGTTGGAGGTCGATACATGACAGTGAAAACAAGAATTTAAAATAGAATTAAAAATTCTTTTTGTATTCTGCACTTGGCTTCCAAGACAATAAATAACTTTTTTTTATAATTAGTAGTACGTTTTGCAACACTGAATCTTACCGTTTCTCTGGATGATCTTGTCGTTTGACTGTTGCCAACTTTATTAAAGAATCGCTATAGCAACGACCATCGTCATCCTATAGACAAAACAAGCAATGGACTCCTTACAAAGATAGCAAATAAGAATCACGATAGCATCGTCATCCTATACACATAACAATGGAAATCTTACAAAGATAGCAAGCGTGTTGGGAATCCTTAATTCATACCTTGTGATTTATCACAACGTTATAAACTTCTTCCAACATTTTCTGCACTATTTCTGTGACGTCAGGAACATTAAGCTCGTAGTCACCTGACATAACATGACGTATTAGTTGTTACATTCGCTTCAGAACATTTTAACATGAGGTATTCATCAAGTACATCAACAGCACGGAGAGACGTTTCATATAACGATAACAAATTACAGAAATTACAGAAAATAATGTTTTACAATGCAAAAATAATGAAACCCATTACCAACTAATTCAAGTTTTGTTGCAAACAGCTCTCTCAACAACACCAGCGAGTCCTAAAATGTAAAAACTAAAAATCGTAAAAACTCTGAATCTTGTTTGACAGATTGTTTCTTCTGGAGCAGGGAGAGAAAGCTAAAAAACACTGAAGACCTCTCTACATACAGGTTTTATCGCATACACACGTAGAGGTCAAAATTATAATGGGCATTTACAACAACTACATGAGATAGTAATATTTTATGGGCATTTATAAACAGATTTAAGTAAAACTTAACCTCCAAGTCTTCACGTATTTTTATACAGAGGTAATTAAACTATAGTGAACATCATACATTCATTTCTACCATGAATATAGTAGATTTAAGTAAAACTTAACCTCCAAGTCTTTACGTATTTTTATACAGAGGTAATTAAACTATAGTGAACATCATACATTCATTTGCACAATAAATAAAAAAGCTCCAAATACTTACCTATGACGTATTTATTGATTGTGTGGAGTTAAAAAAAGAACTAGAGCAAATGTAGAAACGTAAGCAAACCTTGTAGACTTGAGAATCGGGATCATTGTATTTGCAAGCGTTATCAAACATGAGTACAAAATCTTGGAAACATTCTTCGAGAGTGCCATATTGTTCTGCGTGAACTTTACTGGAGATTTTCATCATGTCTATTGGACGCTTGATCAGCGCGTAATAATCTGGATAATCCTGTCAAAACATCACAATCCAAATTACAGTCGTATTGCGTAATAATCTGGATAATCCTGTCAAAACATCACAATCCAAATTACAGTCGCATTGCGTAATAATCTGGATAATCCTGTCAAAACATCACAATCCAAATTACAGTCGCATTGCGTAATAATCTGGATAATCCTGTCAAAACATCACAATCCAAATTACAGTCGCATTCAAACAACAGTTTTCGTAGAGGTCATTCGCCGTAAACGGTGAAAATGTTACAACAATTTATTTAATCAGACAAACATTCAGAACAAAGACGTCTCATAATACAATAAGAATACAATCATTGGATTAACTTATACAAAAAGTCTTAAGAATTGTTGACCAGGGATATACCGGGCGGAAAGCGAATTTATAATATAAATATCAAAGCCCAGCAAAGTGCTTTAAAAGAGCCATTTAATGCATAAAAAGAAATACTTATTTAGAAGCGTAACTGTCTGATGATGTCTTGAGAGTCTAAATAAATATTTCTTTTTATGCATTAAATGGCTCTTTTAAAAGCACTTTGCTGGGCTTTGATATTTATAAAAAGTCTTAAGTTTGTGAATGGATGAAAGTCCGAACTCCGCAGCAACTTTCCATGTGATGCAATTGGAGATATCAGATGCAAACGATAAAAAAACTGCAATGAAAATATCAAAACAAACGTTTTACCAACCGCTTTTGGAGGAAGTTTTTGAAATATTCCACAAAGATAACGTCCGGTGCTGTCCTGTAGAAACATAAAACCAAGATCATGATTATAAAATTAAAAACGAACCTCACCAAAGTATTAACGACCATTTGAAGAACATGATCTTTGAGGTCGTCGTGTACACGCTGCAGTATGGCAAATTTTAAAACCATCAATGAAATCTTACTGTGTAATCTTTAACAGAATTATAAAGTTCTTTGCAAAGTTCCTTGACATCGGATGATGTAATGGCCTGTGGCACTTTGGGGGAATGGTAACGAGATTTAGTTGGAGTCGATTGTTTGGCAGCGGTACTAGATTGTTTTGCACTTGAGCTGAGTAAAGGTGAACTCTCCACTGAACCTGTAACATTGTAACAGATGGGAATGTTCGTTGTCGTTGATGAGAATGAAAATCTAGACCATGATTATTGACCAGTCACAATCGAGAATGACCATGATTGTTGACCAATCACAATCGAGAATTTATTCAGCCAAGAGGTAAGTAAAAAAATGCAATTCAGCAAACTTACTGAATGCTGGTCGTCCAAGCGATTTTCTTTTCTTTTTCAAAACTTTATCCAACGTTAAAGCATCCTGCAAAAGATAAAAAGATAAAAGTCTCTTATTGTTATACCGAACTTCCCATCATTTCAACGGATGTAATTAAGAAAATCATTTTCTCGAGGTGTTGATGTAAAAGAAAGAAGATGGTGGAGCTAGATTACCTGATGAACTTGCGATTTAACTTCATTGTAATGTTTAGCATTCTCGAACATTATTTCAAAATCCAATAGAAACTGATTTTCTGTTTGATACTAAATAAGCCAAAAATTAGCACTCAAATACACAGGAAATTATTAAAGAAATCACAATGAGTGCAGAGAAAGAAATAGTCAAAAAAAACTCGAGCTTTGCATTTACGTTGCTATTTCACACTATCCATGCAGAGGAAATTATTAAAGAAATCAAAATGAGTGCAGAGAAAGAAATAGTCAAAAAAACTCGAGCTTTGCATTTACGTTGCTATTTCACACTATCCATACACAGGAAATTATTAAAGAAATCACAATGAGTGCAAAGAAAGAAATAGTCAAAAAAAAACTCGAGCTTTGCATTTACGTTGCTATTTCACACTATCCATGCAGAGGAAATTATTAAAGAAATCAAAATGAGTGCAGAGAAAGAAATAGTCAAAAAAAAACTCGAGCTTCGCATTTACGTTGCTATTTCACACTATCCATACACAGGAAATTATTAAAGAAATCACAATGAGTGCAAAGAAAGAAATAGTCAAAAAAAAACTCGAGCTTCGCATTTACGTTGCTATTTCACACTATCCATACACAGGAAATTATTAAAGAAATCACAATGAGTGCAAAGAAAGAAATAGTCAAAAAAAACTCGAGCTTTGCATTTACGTTGCTATTTCACACTATCCATGCAGAGGAAATTATTAAAGAAATCACAATGAGTGCAGAGAAAGAAATAGTCAAAAAAAACTCGAGCTTTGCATTTACGTTGCTATTTCACACTATCCATACACAGGAAATTATTAAAGAAATCACAATGAGTGCAGAGAAAGAAATAGTCAAAAAAAACTCGAGCTTTGCATTTACGTTGCTATTTCACACTATCCATACACAGGAAATTATTAAAGAAATCAAAATGAGTGCAGAGAAAGAAATAGTCAAAAAAAACTCGAGCTTCGCATTTACGTTGCTATTTCACACTATCCTCGACCATCGTAGAGATCTTAATGCGTGATGTTTTGATAAAAAATAGCTGTCAAATTGTTCATATACCACACGGCTGTGAATTGGTAAAACTACAAATTCAAATCGTAACTCGAGACTTTTGTAAAAAGTAATTTAGATGTGGAGCTAGAGAAATGAATGACCAATTCCGACTAAAATTTGTTAACCATTTATGAGCATTGTCATATCATAAGTTTTATTTTCAAACCTACCTTTCCTTCGCGTACGTTTTTATCGATCATATGAAGGCATGTCGGCTCAGAGATTATTTTATAATAGTCAGGATACAACTAAACAAATAAAAGACGAACTACGGTGTAAGGAAAGTCAACATTCTGCTCACATACTGCTCGTTGAACTTACTTCTGCTGAAGGAAGATCTAAAAATAGTTCTGACAAAAATCTTCCAGAATCGTCCTAAGCAATTGAGACAAAAAATAATTTTAACTAATGTAATAATATCATACGGTTTTACTCGTCAGTTTTCAAATAACCCTCACTTCTTTGTCCTTCCCCAGTCCTTTTGCATTACTCGTCCTCGTCCCTTAAGTATAGCTCTAGTTTACCTGCGACCTAACGTAGTTCTCTTTCTCATTTAAACCCCAGTATTAACGCTCGCTCTCACCCGTAAACGCACTTTTCCTCTCCCACATTCCAGTCCCAGTCTCAGCTTTCATTTTTAATCTAGTCCGAAACTTAGTCCTCTTCACATTCCAGTCCCTGTCTCAGCTCTCACTTTTAATCTAGTCCTAACCTTAGTCCTCTTCACATTCTGGTCCGAGTCTTACCATTCTAGTCTCGGTCATACCTCTCTTCATCTCAATCTTCATTGCAGTCTCAATCCTAGACATCACCTTTGCCCTAGCATTGAATATAGTCCTTGCTTGGGTCATACCTCTCTTCCTCTCGACCTTGATTGTAGTCTCAGTCCTGGCCATCACCTTTGCACTAACATTGAATTTAGTCCTTGCTTGGGTCATACCTCTCTTCCTCTCAACCTTCATTGTAGTCTCAGTCCTGGATATCACCTTTGCACTAGCATTGAATCTAGTCCTTGTCTGGGTCATACTTCTCTTCCTCTCAACCTTCATTGTAGTCTCAGTCCTAGACATCACCCTTGCACAAGCATTCAATCTAGTCCTTGTCATTTTTCATCCTATTTTTATTCAAAGTTCATTCAAACCTGGTAATTAACAACCGCGTCATACATTTCCTTCATACGTTTTTTCAATAGATCCATCTCGGATTGTTTTTTACCAAATTTTCGTCCCTTCCCCCCGGGAGTATCCTTGGCAACGATTGCCTCATCGTCTTCGACGTTCATCGGGTCATTTCTCCGGGGAAGTTTTTCCTATAAACGGTCAACAATATACAACACTAAACATAACAATACACAATCATCATAAACACGTAAAAATTTTATGGTTGTTCAAGTAAAGCTTACTTTCATAGGCTTTATAAGAGGAATATCTTTTTCAATACACAATTTCTCAAACTCTGGTTTCTTTTTATTTAAAACATCCTGAAGCAAGACAGCATCCTACAGTATATAAAACAAAAACAGATAAATACAACTGCTTAATTATAATCGACTACTTTTTACAAGAAGATTTACTCGGGAAAAGAGCAAAATAAACCTCGCCAGAATGTCTAAACCACTGTTGAACAATACCAAAACTCCGCTTCACCTCTGCACTAACTATATTAGAAGAAGCCTGTGCACGATTGTAGTTCTTTTGGCGAGGCAGTGTGCAGGCAGACTAGAACAAAACTTTTCATTTCCAGGCGGCAAATTTCAGAGAAAAGACTTGAAAACAAACGTTTCTACATCATATTTCGTGGGTTGACTACTGGTATTGTCAACTTTACAGTATACATATGACAGTGTAATCTGCTTTATGTATTGCTTTCATACGCCAATATTCTAAAAAATCTACTCCATATTATGGAAATGCTATGTACAGTAATTTTGTAGAAAAACTTTCCTGGCAGCAGTGCTACTGGCGATACAGGACATTTTCAATCCTTGTGTACAACCATACCGTGATAACCAAATTCAATCATCTTTTTTGTAGGCATTTTCAATCTTACATCAAGTATAACAGAAAGAGAAGTACGAACTGCTGTCCGAGCACATACCTGATACAACATTGAATCCGTTTCGTTATAAGTCTTGGCATTTTCGAAACATTGTTGTATTTCCAAAACAAGATCGTTCAGGCTTTCATAATAATTGTTCTAGCAACAACGATAAAATATTTAGTTAAAACTCTCCATTATAGTGAACGTGATGACTAAAAGTTACATCACTGGAGGATCAGGCATCTTGTCAGTTGTTGTTCTGTTTACCTTAACGTTGGATCCAATTTTTAGTAACCCAATAGGATTTTTAATTATTTTATAATAATCTGGATATGCTCTAAAAATGAAAAAAGAAACGAGCTTATAGACACGTTGCCCATAGAAATGAAAATTGTAAAATGTTGATGAAGATGAAAGCATTGAACCATTAAAGCGAACCTTTTTGAAGGTAATCTCATGAAAGCTTCACTCAAAACACGGCCAGTGGTGTCAGCGTATGCACGAATGGAATTATAAAGCAAAAGAAACGGACCATCTTGTTCGTCATTGCCTTAAACAAGAAACATTATTTGATGAGTCGACCATGTCAAAGTTTCTGTATCCATAAGGAGGATTTTACTGTCCGTGAGATAAATTCCAAAAATAAAATTGAGCGTGAAAAATTGATTTATCAGTTCCATTGAACTAAAATACATGGAACGCTATCTGTAATAGAAAACCCTAATAATTTTTTGAACCCAAATCTTACACCCAGACACGCGTGTGTAATCAATCTATTTTCACTCCGCGAGAGATTTTCGAAATACTGCATACGCGAGTCTGGGTGTAAGATTGGCTTCAATTATTTGTTTCAGGTAGCGTTTCATGTATTTTAGTTCAATGATCACTCCAGGTAAACTATGACTGTGGACGTTTAGTGAATCAACCAGCAGTAACTTTGTGTAGACACAACGTCGTGTAACTACACATAGCTACACATAACAAACTTGACACAACGTCGTGTAACTACACATAACTACACATAACAAACTTGACACCTCGTGTAACTACACATAACAAACTTGACACAACGTCGTGTAACTACACATAACTACACATAACAAACTTGACACCTCGTGAAACTAAACATTACAAACTTGATACAACGTCGTGTAACTACACATAACTACACATAACAAACTTGACACCTCGTGTAACTAAACATTACAAACTTGATACAACGTCGTGTAACTACACATAACTACACATAACAAACTTGACACCTCGTGTAACTAAACATAACAAACTTTACACAACGTCGTGTAACTACACATAACTACACATAACAAACTTGACACCTCGTGTAACTAAACATAACAAACTTGACACCTCGTGTAACTAAACATAACAAACTTGATACCTCGTGTAACTAAACATAACAAACTTGACACCTCGTGTAACTAAACATAACAAACTTGACACCTCGTGTAACTAAACATAACAAACTTGACACAACGACGTGTAACTACACATAACAAACTTGACACCTCGTGTAACTAAACATTACAAACTTGACACCTTGTGTAACTAAACATAACAAACTTGATACCTCGTGTAATTAAACATTACAAACTTGACACAACGTGGGGTAACTACACATAACAAACTTGACACAAATTGTGAGTTTTATATTAAACTAAAGATTTTTCGTACCATCTTCTTTTTCATCTCCTTCTTCCATTAATTGAGTGGCATCATTTAATAATTCTTCATCCTCATCGTCCGACTCAGAAAGCAAAGCGCTGATGGTCGGACACATTTTCGTCGTCGACCTTTTCGATCTGAGTGAAGAAAAAAGGAAACAGGTCATCTTAAGGGTTTAAAAATACAGATGTGAACAAACCAGCAGAAAGCCAACATAGCAACAAAACATGGGAGGTTCTTTTTGCATGGATTCAGCTTTAATTGATTTAAAATAGGGAGTGTTCAAAAGACGGTGTAATGATTGGGCGGAAGGTGGACTAAAATGATTTTAGTAATCTGTGATTGTTACATTTCCTTTTATCTAAAATATCTGAATGTCATGAAAAAAAATACTTCAAATTATTTGTAAACAAGCAGCCCCTGAAAAACGCTAGTGTGATAGCACTCCCCTTTGATTATTTCTTAATGAAAAACGTGCTTAGCTATAGATAAGAAGAAATACAAACCTTAATCTTTTGCTAGATTTTGCACCAGATAGCATGTGCTCGATTTCCAATCTTTTTACAGCAACAATCTTTTTAATAGCAGTCGCATCCTGAATGATAACATGACCAACATTAAATTATTTCACCTTCACACATCGCCATGGTAATGAACAGCTTGAGCTTGTAAAAAATTATGTTATTAACCAAATAAATTTGTAAATACTTAAGTTATTAGCCTCATAAATAATTAATAAATAATAATTAATAAATAACTAATAATTAATAAGTTAACCTTATACACTTGTTAATAATTAAGTTATTAGCCTCATAAACTTGTTAATAATTAATAAACTAACCTTATAAACTTGTCAATAATTAATAAATTAACCTTATAAACTTGTTAATAATTAAGAAATTAACCTTATAAACTTGTTAATAATTAAGAAATTAACCTTATAAACTTGTTAATAATTAATAAATTAACCTTATAAGCTTGTTAATAATTAATAAATTAACCTTATAAACTTGTGATCCAGGCTCATTAAAAGCATGTGCATTTTTTGCAAGAAGATTCAAATCTTTTTCAAGGTCATCCAACGAGGTGTATCTATTATTCTGGATGAAACAACACCAAATAATTAGCATAAATCACTCATGATGAGACATCAATTCAACTTGCTACCCCTGGTGGATAACAATATCCCTTTACAACTTACTTTTATATTGGAATATATCATTTTAAGATCAATGGGCTCTTTGATAACCTTGAAATACTCTGGATATTGCTACATCAAAGAGATATTTATAAAACATGAATCCAAAGAGAAAGACAATGTAACTATGGGAAGTGAAACCCTACAATCATGGCAGGATAGCACCACAAATATGCAATTATTCCTTACTTGTCTAGGCGGTAGTTTTAGAAACAGTTCACAAATCATGCGACCATTGTTGTCCTTCATTTTAAGTACTACATCAAGCAGTTCCTGAAAAAGATGGCTGTTTGTCTCCTCAGCAACTGAGCCCCTGTCGCTTGCACTGTCATCTCCATCCAGTGACTTCTGAGCTTTTAATTCAGGCTTCTCCGCCTTCTCTTCTGTGTCCATAATGATTTCAGTTTTCTTTGACTGCAACTTTGCCATTTGCAGAAGTTGCTCCGTTGAAACTGAAATCTCGGAATTTTCCTTCGAGTTCTGAAATGATCACACGTAGTTTTATTTTATAAAAAATAAGATTGGGATTTCTTTACCAAGGACTGCAAGACAATCACAATTTTTTGAGCGTCAGTGTCCCTTACAGGAAAGCCATGTAGAAATTTAGCTTTTTGTTTGAACATTGATGGTAATGATATTTTAATTTTGTATCAACTTTTCAAATCAATAAAAAGGCCTTTTGCTATGACATGATGCTATTAAATGGGGAAAAAAACAAAAAATAACCAATATCAAGCAAGCAGTTTATAAGTGGATCATATAATGTAGGTGATAGCATAATTAATATGGAACACCCACAACTTTTAAAAGCTTCCAAAGCCACTACAATACAGGCAAATTAAAACTCTGCTGAATTATTCGGATATCAAATTTAATCTCGTCTGCATTTTTTTTAATAATAAATATCTCAACAGTTTGGTATCATCAAATTAGCAAAGCGACCAGCCACTTCAACTTTATTATTCACCCTCTTTTTTGGACATCAAATTTTGATTTCTCAATGTTTCATTGTGGAAAACAGTCACAAGGTAAAATATCAACAGAAAAATGGCAATCATGACATGAACACATTCTCAAGTAAACCACCAAAACTGACGTCACTCCTCTGACGTCACCCATGTTACATATGTAATTTTTAAATTGTTTTAATAAAAGACTATTAGACTTACATCCTGGCATTCAACAAACTACAAAAAATAAACACAAAATGTAATATTTTCACAAATATTCATATTTTGTAAAGTAAGCGTGATTATATGCATACCGTTTCATCAGTGGAAATATCTGTTTTAGCGTATTTCTCAAAAACAACTGGGTTTGTTGTGTCTTCATCAGCACCGTCGTCTCCTTGAAATGATTGCTCGTTCGTATCCGTTTCACGTCGTCGTTTCGACATTATTTAAAAATAAGTAAGATGCAACACTTCTTTGATAATTCTTTTGTTTAGTGTGGCAAAGACACGTTTATTTACAATGATAAAACGACAACAATTGTTATCAATCTTTGAATTTCGCAGCGTAATCCCGCGCGTAAGTGTACAGTGAATCCCGCACGAGTCCCGCGCGTAAGTATAAAGTACAAAAAACTGTGTACTTCATGTAGACGCATCTCTTACAATATTAAAAAACTAGGCACGCCATTGAATTCTAGAATGAATACAACTTATTAACTCACACACATAGAAAATTTCTAGAAACTCAATTATAAGCAAGTTTTAATCGCCATTAGATAAGATAAATTGTATTTTATCAATTTATTGATAAGTGGTAAAAACTAAGAGACAAGCTTTATGATTCTTGTTCGTTTTTGTGCAAATATTCTCTCCACCAGTGAATGTTTTTAATCAAATGAAAAATTTACGGATGCGATGAAAATTTACAGATTTGTGTAAAGGCACTTAATATCTTCGTAAAGTATCTAGCGTGGTATGAAGCGTGGTAAAGTCTTTAAATATCTTCCTACGAACGCACTATATACCTTTTTTATTTATTGCTTTGATTTAATTTTGCCAAAGCCTTCTACATGGAAACACCCAACGACATCTCATCAGTGGCGTGCGGTCATGCAAGCGTAGGCAAGCGCCGCTTGCCTAAGCATTTTACCGAACAAAAATTTTTTGGATCAATCTCTGAGCAAAATCAGTTTAAATTTTTCTGTTCTAAACAATGTCAATGTAATCTTTTGTCTAAATTGTCTTTACAGTTGAAATGCTTGCTATTTATACGCGATTTACTGTCGTGGTTTTCGGTTTCACTTTGCTACACTTGTAAGATGAGTCAAGTGGATTAAATACACCGAATATTTATTAACCAAGGCAAGCGCGCTTGCCTTCGGAGCTCAATTTGAACATTTGCGCATGCGTTAATCTAGATTTGGAGGCTTCTTATTCGAGGAATATCGAGAAAAGGCAAGCGGCGCTTCTAAGGGCGCCGCTTGATAGCGATTGGTCAACAGTCTTGTACGCTCGCAATTTTAAACACATATCAGCGTACGAATAATATTCGTATATTCAACACATTGGACATCCGAATTATTCACGCCGTTAATGTTATCGTTTATTAAAAGATGACTGAGAGCGAAAGGTAATGTTCTGATTTCTAATTCAAAGTAGTAGGTGCTTTACTGGTTATTTTATTATTTTCTGCGCACAATGTGCGTAAACAAGCAGGGGCCGCAGTCTGCAGAGATATCGAAATGCACGCAAACGTGTGTTGTGGTAAAGTATGACTAGCATTATGACCAAAACACTATGCTCTTGTCAGTCTTGTGTCGTTGAATTCGTAAATTAATGACTAAAAATAAAAGGTACAAGACACTAAGTAATAAATACGACTCTCCGATATTCTGAAACGTACGAGTCAGTGCCAGACACATTTTGAAGAACGGGAGAACACGTTGCCATGACGTCATTATACCAAAATATAAACATTAAACAACGCCATGGCCTCAGTTTGTAACACACCGTGCCAATTTTGTGCGCGAAACTGGCTGTTCTTAATTGTTATAATCACGACTGCTACAATACATTTCGCGCCTATTGTCTTGCAATTTATGTATGTAGAAGATATTATCTGTAGCATGTAATACAAGATTATGATATTGACAAGAGCTTTTTGCGTAGTAGTTTTGATATTTGTATCCGGTAGATATCATGTAACTGATGTAAGGTATAAATAAGATTGATGTTCCTATAAAATATATAGCATAGGAATTTTCATCCTTTTATGTTCTACTTCTACATTCGGTAATTTCACGACACCTGTACAACATGACTGAATGCATTGTGGAATCACTGTCAGCGCTTGCCTATTAAATTCGGTCACCGCACGCCACTGCATCTCATATAGTCAAAACAAATCCTTAACTGGCAAAGAAACGCCGAACGCTTTTGCCAACTACAGTGTAGCATTTTAAGAAATTTTCTGAATGAGCTATCGATTACATCATTGATAGTAGTGATAAAAAAATGCTTTATACAAACATGTTGACGATAATCTCACTCTCACTCGTCTTATTTCTACACAGATGATATGATATGTGAGTGAACTTTTTTATTTATATGATAGAACCACAAAGACATTGTAATTCTATGTAGGATTGTTGAGAAACAACCAAACGTCTTATTATTGAAATAAATAAAAAAAGACGATGAAGACACACAAAGTCAATGATCAATGCAAACATCTATTTTCTACAGGCAAATCATACAACAATGCCAATTTAAAGTACGTCTAGAATCAAATGAATGTTTCTTATTCATCGCTACACATTCCACAGGATCCTTACGGGTTTTTGCCATATTAGCCCCAATGACGACGCTTATGATGGCGACGACGTCTATGATGATGATGGCGACGACGTCTATGATGATGATGGCGACGACGTTTATGATGATGATGGCGACGACGTCGATGCCACCACCAAAAAGGCGTGCGTTTTTCTACACTTGGATCAGCTTTCACATCATTACTACAAAACACAATGTACGTGTAAGGAAAGGGTCACACACCCCAAAAACTTTACTTTTAAATGCAGTCGGTAAAAGTATTATATTAGTCGGCAGAAAAAATATCTTTGACGACTAAACATCAACATTACGGTTGATTTCGATAAAGCGTAAATAAGAAGTAAGAGACTAACATTTTCATATAAATCGAGAATAACATAAGAGCAAGAAATGAACAGTTCGAACAGCGCTACAGTAAACACCGAAGGGACGTCATTTAGTAGACCTTGAAAATTGTCGAGGTTTTGTTCTATAGTGTATTCGGTACTGGTTCGATGGCCAGTCGTTTGAAAGGATTACATCTCCCCCCTGATAAACATTATAAGGACGGCCCTGTTCGTGTTCATCAACTTTCATGGCAGAGACTAAATGTCAAGGCCAACTATAGCATACAAAACGAAGAATTTCGATGTCAGGAACGTAAACGTAGTAGATAAAGTTAACTTACATGCTCTCTGTGAGTTCACGATCATCACTTTGTTCTAAGTCATGTTCGGGGTCAGTTTCATCATCACTTTCTTCTTCTGGATTTTCATCATCAATTTCTTCTTCTGGATTTTCATCATCATTTTCTTCTTCTGGATTTTCATCATCATTTTCTTCTTCTGGATTTTCACCATCATTTTCTTCTTCTGGATTTTCATCATCATTTTCTACAAATTCTTCCTCGACAGTTTCCACTGGGGCGGTTTTTTCATCGGATTCTAAATGAAGAAACCATCATTCTTTCTTTAATCATGTACAAAAGCTGGTCAAGAGAAATGGTTGATGATAGATAAAGTATTTAATATATGAGCTTTGCATCATTACCTTTCATAACCCCATCTTCAAGTTTCGCTTGAGCGTAAGCAAAAGTGCAAAGCAATCCAAGAGCGATGACAAGATAGGTTATCTTCATGATTAACCTTTTTCTTGTTTTCTTCTGGTTCCAACAGCAGGATGATGAATGATGATTGAAGACAGCTTTTCGCCTCTTTTTATAGAGAGCTGCCACGAAAGAATATTACATATGTATTTTGAAAGAAACGTGAAAGAAACGTGAAACGTGTATTTTGAAAGAAAAGTCACAGCTTGAAAACATTTCTAGATAAATCATGCATGCAAACAAAAACCCAATCTCTACCGCTCATTACACATTTCATTGACGACAATTCTATCACGTTTCCAAAACAATAACATCCTTTTGCTTCTGTTAAAAACTTTTTGTTTCCACATATAGCTTTCGTATGCAATATTTCATTTGTTGTACACGTACGTCTACAGGAAGATATCAAAAATAGGGGTTTAATTAGGTTAAATTTCCTAAATTATAATTGAAGAACATCTCCCATATTTTAACCCTGTGCGTTCCAAGCTCTTTAGCTTTGTCATTTTTGTAGGCAAGCAACTGCAACTCCATATTACGATTTTTAACTACATAAAATGGTCAGTAAAGCCATTTACACGGATTAGCTACCATAGAAACTCATGACAAATTCAACTACTGGATCACGAATAAATGATACAATTCAAGACCCACATACTAACGCCATCAATACATGTTAAATGTGATAATCTAGGTCATTGCAACTCTATCATTGAATTTTTTTCCTGCTTTACCAAAATCGTTTTTTCATTATTTCTGCAGAAATCATACACATATATCTTTATTATTGAAATTCTGGCATAAAAGTTATCCACTCAAAGCATTTTCTATAGCCTGCATGTATTCGCTTAGAGGTATATAGCACCATGCCAGCAATTATTGAAAATGCAAATTTGTAAATGAAGTATAAAGTTATTACAAATAGATAATCGAACTTCAACACGCTATTGTGTGTGAACTACTATGTCTATATAACGGTATTCTTTCAGTTTGAAAAAATCAGGCTTGTAATTATCGAATGACATGTTTTCAATATCAAATGGAGACAAAACCAGCAAATACAAGGCTGATAAGCAAAGTTGGTAGGAATTGATGCTATTCACGTCAGACATACTAGCGGGCTGATACAAAAGAATATTCTATCAATGCTGGCGTGGGTAAATTCTATTGTTTAGTAAATCCCAAAAGATTAGTTGCAAAATAAGAATCATATATTTCATTTATTATGCATTAGCTCATGTGGGAATTTCACTGCTAAATAACCTCTGTATTGTAAAAGTGAAAATTTTAATAAAAAGAGCAAAGCAAGATGAGACATGGTCGGGAATAATCGTTTTTTCTTTCGTCATGCACTGTATTTTTAAATGCATTTAATATTGGCGATTGTCTTCAAACTCACTCAAATAATTTTAAGTAGCGAAATAAGTAAACTGGTTAATTAATTCCTGGTCTGTCAAGGAAACCTAATACGATGGTTTCTATTCTATTTCTCAAAATTAATATTTAGTTTTAAGAAAACTCAATTTTCGCTCTACATACCAATTGAAACTAAAGCACAATCAGTGAATATTGCAGAAGAAAACATGAAACCCACAACTATATCCATATTATCGCCATGCTTACATTAAACAACAGCAACTCGCAGCAACTTTCTAGAATCAAGTCATCAATCATTAAATCATACAACAAGTCGACGCAAACCTTTCAACACTTAAATGTCTTTTCACACCTTAATTTTGTCATTCAACTGGCGACGAAGGTTCAGTAGGGTTCACTACAATTACAAATACTTGTGAACGTGTACTATTGTAATTCAGTCATTAAGCATCACCAATGGCAAAAACTGCTGTTACAAAAACTGTGTATCTTGTTTTAACACAAATATTTCTATAACAATTAATCCACTTTCACCATTCTTTCAACGATATCTAACGCACTCTCGACTTCAAATAGTTTGTGTCTAAGTCAACAATATAATGCAATGTTTACATATTTTCAGGTCTGATTCATTCACCGCAGTTTCTAAAAGCCGATTTTAATATGAATCGTCTCCCGCTTTGCGTCTGTTGGTACGATAGCAGATTGACACGTATCGTCCTTAACTCCAACGTAATTACACACAATTAACCTCTTAAGGCTGAAACACACTAGGCAGTCGCTTTACGCAGTAGTAAAAATAACTTTTTCTTTGTACTTTAAATTCTCAAAAGCAAACTAAGCGTGCCCTCAATCGTATTTTTAAGAAAAAATATGATAAAAGTTGTGCTAGTGTCAATGTGATTACTAAAACCATGTCACTTGTAACGATTGCCGTTTATAGAAAACGTTTTACAATGATTCTGTTGAGTGTGTAATGCAGAAATGTTATTTCAAAGGATACGTGACTCATTCATTCATTCATGCATTATTCATATTTGTTAAGTTGATAAGATAAAATAACACAACTTATGTTACTGAAAAGTAAGCTAACATAAAATTACATATCCTAATTCAGCTAATATTTATTATGTTGGTTAAACCTGCACTATATTATAATTATTATGTGCTAAGAGTTATAAGAACACTCCCTTTCCTAATATAGATGCCAATTAATCAGTCTAAAATATGAAAGAGAATGTGATGACTACAAAACATTTAATGTGGCTAGTGTTAAACTTGGGTGAAATTAACAAAACGAAGGAAGATTCTGTAACTTTGTTCACACAAGTTATGTGGAATTAACGATAACAGCATACAATAAGTTTGAAACCACCGTTTGGAATCAAATGTATTCATTACATCTTACTTTTGTTATCACATTTTTGGAATTTAATCTTGCAAAATTTGTAAACAGAATTGATTCAAATGAAGTGCTTTCATTGTAATAAACTCTAAAGCTGTTCATTTTTAAATGAATTGGCCTCATCACCTTGTAACTCGAATGGTAATACAGAATAATATAATTTCATATTCTGCGTCACTACATATCTATTGCTTTGCGCGAGAAAAATTTAGTAGACTGGCACTATACCTTGATTGGTCCAAAAATACCTTATCTGTTATTAGATATCCACCAATACGGAAGCTAATGTCGAGGGTTTATGTAAATGCAAAATCATACAAAAGCATTCTGACTCATTTGAATGTCTTGACTGTGGTGAAGTTTCCTCCTTTAAAAAGTGATACATGACGAAAAACAAACTTTTCAAATAACGATGAAGTTAAGCTCCAAAGACGCAACCAAAGCAAGAATGTTCGATGACCGTACAACTTATTATCCATCAATGAAATCTAGTCGTCTTTTATAAGGCTTCCAAAAACCTGAAATAGTACGATAACATGAAGAGGATTAAAGATCATGATTTGCAAAATAATTTATAGTGATTTATGAAAATAGCCATGAGGTTGAATATACAAAGTCATACTTACACCTTTGAAGGCACCATTTGTTGTTCAAGTTGAACTTCTACATAAGAGATGATTGTACAAAAATACACTTTTAAAATTTCTTCTGATGTCAAGTTTCATATTTCCGCGCTTTCTGTTATGTCGATCTGATCATAATAACACAAAAGTGCGTGAGCTAACACAAATGCACCTTCAATCTTTGCATCTTCGTCTTCATCGTCTTCATCAATTGAGATCTCTTCAGGATTCGCTATTCTTGCCAACGCTTCTAAATTGTCCTCATCAGTTGCTTCGCCCTTAACACAAATTAAATTAACACAAATAAGACTCAGTACAGTTAATTTTAACTAAATCCCCAGGGGATGACAAAATAGTTAAACTACTACTGTGCTACTTACCGGAGTCAAGAAATGTTTCCTTTTCTGTCGCTAATTCAGCATCCGCAAACCACGGAAGCTTGCAGATTGTTTAATAAAAAAATTTTAAAGTGTTTGTGTTAGGAAAATACATAGTTTTGATATTTTCTATACTGGCAATCGGGGTGGTCAAATTAAGGTGAGCGACAAAATTTTTATTTGATAAGCCCGCGTCTTTCCCATTGAGTTCTATAATAACTGGAGCGGCTATCTCAAGCGCGGCCTTAGATATCTGATGATGCCAAAAAAATGGCGGATTTCCTCCGTTACCGCTGAGATTTACCGAAATTAACCGCTTTTCCGAAAATTTCACAATTTCCCACTCCCTCCTGAGGAAAGAGTGAGGAAAATGTATATGTGTATTTGGGATTCGGCAAGCAATTTTTTGATGAAAATCAAGGTAAAACCTTAAATTCATAACAGCGAGTCAACTGTGGTTGTCAGTTATCTGCTCCTACGAGGATGCATTTATAACTATCGACGAAAGAGCTATATGTCGGCTACACATGTATGAATGCAGATGTGCGTCGTTTTCTTACCAGCGTCAAATTTGTTTGATCGATTAAACTCTTTAGTCTATACAAAAAAGTATATCATAGTTCATCTCCACGGTTCACGAGAGAGAAGTCAGCTTATTTGTTATCATTGCTATTTTGCTTCTTTTCATGCAATGGGCAATGGCTTTTTTTGCCACAATTGTAGGATTTTTACTTGTTTCTTTAAAAAAGTACATATTAAATCTCTGGATATTTACGGATTTTCTGCAATTGAGTTTCATATGAAATTTCAAAAAGACTCAAGTCTGCATAGGTTTGGTAAATAAAAACAAACAATATTGAGTAGAAATTACTTTAAGTAACCTTTTTGTGATGTTCTGAAGTGCAACTGCATCAAATACTTGTGAAGTTGTAGCACATTTTGATTTTGTTGTATTGATATATGAATTGGGCAAAATGCAAATAATCATCAAAACACTTATGCTTCCAGTTATTATAGAACTCAATGGTCTTTCCGCTGACTAAGACAACCAAAATCCGCCATGTTTTTGACCACGTGCCGCGCGCTAATAATTTATAGTATATTGGTTGACATGTTCCCTCCAGGTCGAATACAACTCAATGAATACAACTTATTGATTAACTCACAAACATAGAAAATTTCATGAAACTCAATTATAAGCAAGTTTTAATCGCCATTAAATAAGATAAATTGTATTTTATCAATTTATTGATAAGTAGTAAAAACTAAGAAACAAGCTTTATGATTCCTTTTCGTTTTTGTGCAAATATTCTCTCCACGCGTGAATGTTTTTAATCAAATGAAAAATTTACGGATGTGAGGAAAATTTACAGATTTGTGTAAAGGCACTTGTTGTTGTTGTTGTTCGTCCATCGCAAGCGATGATGACCATGACCAGTTAACTCAAGTACTAGAAGATTGGGTACGGTGAGTTCTGAGGTGGCTAATGAGCCCAATCTTGGCACGGAATGCTCTTGAACACGAAGGGCAAACCAGAGATGCATCTGATGTTGAAGCACTGGCTGCTCTTGATTTCCGCAGCTCACGTTTCTGTTTGGCATCCACAGTCCGCCTTTCTTCTGATGCTTGACAGCCCTTAAAGATGAGATCGCGCCAGGTTGATCGGTTCCCTGCAAGTTTATCCCATGTTGCGGTGTTGATGTTAAAGGACTTCAGTGAGGTCTTTAATGTGTCCTTGAACCGCTTCTTCTGGCCTCCGACTGATCTTTTGCCGTTGGAGAGCTCACCATATAGCAGCTGCTTAGGTATCCGCTCATCTGGCATGCGAGCAATGTGGCCCGCCCATCGGATCTGTGCTCTCATCAGCAAGGTGTAGATGGATGGCTGGTTGGATCGAGAGGACATCTGTGTCTGGCACCTTGTCTTGCCACTTGATTCTCAATATCCGACGGAGACAGGTTGTGTGGTAGTGATTCAGCTGTCTCGCATGCCTCTGGTAAACAGTCCAGGATTCACATGCAAAAAAGGAGAGTTGGTAATACTATGGCAGAGTAGACCTTCAGTTTCGTTGCAGCGGTGATCCCTCTACGCTCCCAAACGTTTGTGCGCAACCTGCCAAATGCGGAGCTGGCCTTGGCGATCCGGTTGTTCACCTCAGCATCAATAGTCACGGCTCTGGAAAGAGTGCTCCCTAAATATGTGAATTTGTCAACTGTCTGCAGACGCTGTCGCTGTGAATGTTTTTAATCAAATGAAAAATTTACGGATGTGAGGAAAATTTACAGATTTGTGTAAAGGCACTTAATATCTTTGTAAAGTATCTAGCGTGGTATAAAGCGTGGTAAAGTCTTTAAATATCTTCCTACGAACGCACTATATATCTTTCTTATTTATTGCTTTGATTTAAGTTTTCCAAAGCCTTCTACATGGAAACACCCAACGACATATCATATAGTCAAAACAAATCCTTAACTGGCAAAGAAAACGCCGAACGCTTTTGCCAACTACAGTGTAGCTTTTTTAAGAAATTTTCCTGAATGAGCTATGGATTACATCATTGATAGTAGTGATAAAAAAATGCTTTATACAAACATGTTGACGATAATCTCACTCTTACTCGTCTTATTTCTACAGATGATATGATATGTGAGTGAACATTTTTATTTATATGACAGAACCACAAAGACAATGTAATTCTATGTAGGATTGTTGAGAAACAACCAAACGTCTTATTATTGAAATAAATAAAAAAAGACGATGAAGACACACAAAGTCAATGATCAATGCAAACATCTATTCTCTACAGGCAAATCATACAACAATGCCAATTTAAAGTACGTCTAGAATCAAATGAATGTTTCTTATTCATCGCTACACATTCCACAGGGTCCTTACGGGGTTTTGCCATATTCGGCCCAAAGACGACGACTGCGATTCCAATTACGACGACTGGGACCACTGGGACGACTGCGACGACGGGTACGACGAGTAAGACGAAAGCCCCAAAGAGTCGAGCGTTTTTCCACACTTGGACCAACTTTCATATCATTACTACAAAACACAATGTACGTGTAAGGAAAGGGTCACACACCCCAAAAACTTTATTTTTAAATGTAGTCGGTTAAAGTATTATATTAGTCGGCAGAAAAAATATCTTTGACGACCAAACATCAACATTACGGTTGATTTGGATAAAGCGTAAATAAGAAACTAACATTTTCATATAAATCGAGAATAACATAAGAGCAAGAAATGAACAGTTCGAACAGCGTTACAGTAAACACCTGAGAGGCGTCATTTAGTAGACCTTGAAAATTGTCGAGGTTTTGTTCTATAGTGTATTCGGTACTGGTTCGATAGCCAGTCGTTTGAAAGGATTACATCTCCCCCCTGATAAACGTTATAAGGACGGCCCTGTTCGCGTTCATCAACTTTCATGGCAGAGACTAAATTTCAAGGCCAACTATAGCATACAAAACGAAGCATTTCGATTTCAGGAACGTAAACGTAGTAGATAAAGTTAACTTACTTGTTCTCTGTGAGTTCACGATCATCACTTTGTTCTAAGTCATGTTCGGGGTCAGTTTCATCATCACTTTCTTCTTCTGGATTTTCATCATCATTTTCTTCTTCTGGATTTTCATCATCATTTTCTTCTTCTGGATTTTCATCATCATTTTCTTCTTCTGGATTTTCATCATCATTTTCTTCTTCTAGATTTTCATCATCACTTTCTTCTTCTGGATTTTCATCATCATTTTCTTCTTCTAGATTTTCATCATCATTTTCTACTAATTCTTCCTCGACAGTTTCCACTGGGGCGGTATTTTCATCGGATTCTAAATGAAGAAACCATCATTCTTTAATCATGTACAAAAGATGGTCAAGAGAAATGGTTAATGATAGATAAAGTATTTAATATATGAGCTTTGCATTATTACCTTTCATAACCCCATCTTCAAGTTTCGCTTGAGCGTAAGCAAAAGTGCAAAGCAATCCAAGAGCGATGACAAGATAGGTTATTTTCATGATTAACTTTTTTCTTGTTTTCTTCTGGTTCCAACAGCAGTATGATAAATGATGATTGAAGACAGCTTTTCGCCTCTTTTTATAGAGAGCTGCCACGAAAGAATATTACATATGTATTTTGTAAGATCGTAAGAGCACAATGGTTATAAAACAATTAATATAAACGACGATTTTTTTTAAAGCAAACATGTTTCGGCATACTTTATGCCATCTCCAGTGCGAAGTGAATAAATACAGGACGTTTACATGATAATAAGTTATAGTGATAAAAGGAAAAGTGGCCGGTGGTCTCCCCAATGTATCTGGAATTACATCCAGCACAAGAAAATTCATAAACCACGTTGGATTTTAAAAGAGTGGGAATGGGATCTTTGAAGCTGAAGTGATTTTTAATTTTAAAAGATGAAAAAACTAGTTTGATGTCTAAGTCTGTGCAGTAGCGTTTTATTAAGTTGTGTAATTTCCGTTCCGTGATTTGTGAAATGTAGCCTATGTAGGGTAGTTTGAAGAAGTAAGTCTCGAGTTGTGTGGGTTTATCACTATATCTTATTATCATGTAAACTTCCTATATTTATTCACTTCGCACTGAAGATGGCATAAAGTATGCCGAAACATGTTTGCTTCAAAAAAATTTGTCGTTTATTTTAAATGTCGTATTTTGTAAGAAACGTGAAGCATTTATTTGGGCAACAAAAGTCACAGCTTGAAAACATTTCTAGATAAATCATGCATGCATACATCTTTATTCGTTATTCTATTTACAGTTGCCTTAACGCTGGCAACTTTCATTATCACAAGTTAATTATTTTCAATTAAGTCAATAAACATTGTTAGTCTTTATCGTCTGTTTTATCTGCAGACATGACGTGCTGTAAAAGATTAAGCATCCGGCAATCTGTCTTTTTTATGCAAAACTGCGACTTTATACTCATTAAACATCTCAGGGAAATGTTTTTACCATGTACTAACAAAAGAAAACGTCTAACTTTCCATATACTTTCTGAATCTCTCCTGGTTTCACTTTGGCACAATTGGCTTCGACGTATAAATCTTTTCTGTGCTATTTTCTGCAGCTCTAACGGCGCACTCAAAGACTTTTACAAAAATACCATGTATAGACTGTCGATGGAGTTAAATCCAGGTGAAACCAAAAGATGTCGGAAAACACATAAAACGAAAAAACCCAATCTCTACCGCTCAATACACATTTCATTGACGACAATTCTATCACGTTTCCAAAACAATAACATCCTTTTGCTCCTGTTAAAAACTTTTTGTTTCTACTTATAGCTTTCGTATGCAATATTTCATTTGTTGTACACGTACGTCTACAGGAAGATATCAAAAATAGGGGTTTAATTAGGTCAAATTTCCTAAATCATAATTGAAGAGCATCTGCCATATTTTAACCCTGTGCGTTCCAAGCTCTTTATCTTTGTCATTTTTGTACGCAAGCAACTTCAACTCCATATTACGATTTTTAACTAAATAAAATGGTCAGTAAAGCCATTTACACGGATTAGCTACCATAGAAACTCATGGTAAATTCAAGTACTGGATCACGAATAAATGATACAATTCAATACCCACATACTAATGCCATCAATACATGTTACATGTGATAATCTAGGTCATTGCAACTCTATCAATGAATTTTTTTCCTGCTTTACCAAAATCGTTTTTTTATTATTTCTGGATAAATCATACACATATATCTTTATTATTGAAATTCTGGCATAAAAGTTATCCACTCAAAGCATTTTCTATAGCCTAAAGGTATTCGCTTAAAGGTATATAGCACCATGCCAGCAATTATTGATAATGCAAATTTGTAAATGAAGTATAAAGTTATTACAAATAGATAATAGAACTTCAACACGCTATTGTGTGTGAACTACTATGTCTATATAACGGTATTCTTTCAGTTTGAAAATATCAGGCTTGTAATTATCGAATGACATGTTTTCAATATCAAATGGAGACAAAACAAGCAAATACAAGGCTGATAAACAAAGTTGGTAGGAATTGATATTATTCACGTCAGACATACTGGGGGTCTGATACCAAAGAATATTCTATCAATGCTGGCGTGGGTAAATTCTATTATTTAGTAAATCTCAAAAGATTAGTTGCAAAATAAGAATCATATATCTCATTTATTGTGCATTAGCTGCTGTGGGAATTTCACTATAACCTCTTTATTGCAAAAGTGAAAATTTTAATAAAAAGAGCAAAGCAAGATAAGACATGGTCGGGAATAATCGTTTTTTCTTTCGTCATGCACTGTATTTGTATTTTAATTCCTGGTCTGTCAAGGAAACCTAACACGATGGTTTCTATTCTATTTCTCAAAATTAATATTTAGTTTTAAGAAAACTCAATTTTCGCTCTACATACCAATTAAAACTAAAGCACAATCAGTGAATATTGCAGAAGAAAACATGAAACCCACAACTATATCCATACTATCGCAGCAACTTTCTAGAATCATTAAATCATACAACAAGTCGACGCAAACCTTTCAACACTTAAATGTCTTTTCACACCTTAATTTTGTCATTCAACTGGCGACGAAGGTTCAGTAGGGTTCACTACAATTACAAATACTTGTGAACGTGTACTATTGTAATTCAGTCATTAAACATCACCAATGGCAAAAACTGTTGTTACAAAAACTATGTATCTTGTTTTAACACAAATATTTCTATAACAATTAATCCATTTTCACCATTCTTCCAACGATATCTAACACACTTTCAACTTCAAAGGTTTGTGTGTAAGTCAACAATATAATGCAATGTTTACATATTTTTAGGTCTGATTTATTCACCGCAGTTTGAAAAAGCCGATTTTAATATAAATCGTTTTCAGCTTTGCGTCTGTTGGTACGATAGCAGATTCACACGTGTCGTCATTAACTCCCACGTAATTACACACAATTAACCTCTTAGGGCTGAAACACACTAGGCAGTCGCTTTACGCAGTCGTAAAAATAACTTTTTCTTTGTACTTTAAATTCTCAAAAGCAAACTAAGCGTGCCCTCAATCGTATTTCTAAGCAAAAATATGATAAAAGTTGTGCTAGTGTCAATGTGATTACTAAAACCATGTCACTTGTAACGATTGCCATTTATAGAAAACGTTTTACAATGATCCTGTTGAGTGTGTAATGCAGAAATATTATTTCAAAGGAGACGTGACTCATTCATTCATTCATTTATATTTGTTAAGTTGGTAAGATAAAATAACACAACTTATGTTACTGAAAAGTAAGCTAAGATAAAATTACATATCCTAATTCAGCTAATATTTATTATGTTGGCTAAACCTGCACTATATTATAATTATTATGTGCTAAGAGTTATAAGAACACTCCCTTTCCTAATATAGACGCCAATTAATCAGTCTAAAATATGTAAGAGAATGTGATGACTACAAAACATTTAATGTGGCTAGTGTTAAACTTGGGTGAAATTAACAAAACGAAGGAAGATTCTGTAACTTTGTTCACACAAGTTATGTGGAATTAACATACAATATACAATAAGTTTGAAACTACCGTTTGGAATCCAATGCATTCATTACATCTTACTTTTGTTATCACATTTTTGGGATTTAATCTTGCAAAATTTGTAAACAGAATTGATTCAAATGAAGTGCTTTCATTGTAATAAGCTCTAAAGCTGTTCATTTTTAAATGAATTGGTCTCATCACCTTGTAACTCGAATGGTAATACAGAATAATATAATTTCATATTCTGCGTTACTACATATTTATTGCTTGGCGCGAGAAAAATTTGGTAGACTGGCACTATACCTTGATTGGTCCAAAAGTACCTTATCTGTTATTGGATATCCACCAATACGGAAGCTAATGTCGAGGGTTTATGTAAATGCAAAATCATACAAAAGCATTCTGACTCATTTGAATGTCTTGACTGTGGTGAAGTATCCTCCTTTAAAAAGTGATACATGACGAAAAACAAACTTTTCAAATAACGATGAAGTTAAGCTCCAAAGACGCAACCAAAGCAAGAATGTTCCATGACCGTACAACTTATTATCCATCAATGAAATCTAGTCGTCTTTATAAGGCTTCCAAAACCTGAAATAGTACGATAACATGAAGAGGATTAAAGATCATGATTTGCAAAATAATTTATAGTGATTTATGAAAATAGCTATGAGGTTGAATATACAAAGTCATACTTATACCTTTGAAGGCACCATTTGTTGTTCAAGTTGAACTTCTACATAAGAGATGATTGTACAAAAATACACTTTTAAAATTTCTTCCGATGTCAAGTTTCATATTTCCGCGCTTTCTGTTATGTCGATATGATCATAATAACACAAAAGTGCGTGAGCTGTCACAAATTCACCTTCAATCTTTGCATCTTCGTCTTCATCGTCTTCATCAATTGAGATCTCTTCAGGATTCGCTATTCTTGCCAACGCTTCTAAATTGTCCTCATCAGTTGCTTCGCCTTTAACACAAATTAAATTAACACAAAGAAGACTCAGTACAGTGAATTTTAACTAAATCACCCAGGGGATGTCAATTAAAAGCAGCATAGGTTAATCCATGAGACTGTTGAAATAAAGCCATAATTGTACCTATATACATGTCTGTGTTTCGCAAAAATTATCCATTGGTCACCTCAAATGTTCCTAAATTATCCACATAACTAGATGTCTGTGTTTTATAAAGGCTATCCATTGGTTACCTCAAATGTCCCTAAACTCTCCTCCAAATCAGCATACATTGACCAAACCTTCAGTGATATATGGAGACGTTTTTGAACAGATTCTGTCTAAATTAAACAAAAGAAGAAATGCAGTAACTAGCGTGATCCAAGGCATTTTTTAACATATACGCATACTGGTAATTCAAATACTTCACTGCGCATAATATAGAGTACGCTTGAAGTGAGAATGCTTATTTCATAACAAGTTGATTAATGTTGTTATCAAATTGCTCTACAAACACATAAAATACGTAGCATTTACAAAATTGCAGTTTTGAAAATTACACTGTAGAAAGGTATTTCCGGACCCTCTGTCACGTGACTCAAGCTTCACAGGTCCTTTTGAGGTTTGTGGCCTCGCAGTGTAAAATCCTTAAAAATATCCCTTGGTGTGACATGCTTTAATAAAACAAAAATACATCACCTCAGATTGCCGGATATCCTACAATGTCCCATACATACCTCATCATAAAAGCTAGTTCTGCTGGATGGCATTGCAGTTGCTTGTTTCATTACATCCAAAGCTTTTTTATAGTTTCTATACAAATAAAACGTAAGAAGTAAAGAAAGTCATGATTCGTCCAACATGAATAATGTAATAAGAGGTTTTAGCTACAAATTATTACTTTTTCTCAGAAAAGTTTGACGTTTTGATGCATTTCTTGAGTTGCGCTAATTTTTTTTAAATGCTTTGTTAAAAACTAAAACTGTGCTATGCAATTAAAATTTTTTAGATATTTTATACGCTAGGACTTGAAAAATGGAAACTAAAACAAAAGAAACTTCGAAGTGTATACCAGTTCTAACAAGATAAATGAAAAATGACTTTGAAAGTACATAAAAAGCAATAAATCAAAGCTTATACGTATAATAACTCACTCAAAGTGCGAAGATCATATCTTCAATTAATTTATTGATAAATAGTAAAAACTAAGAGACAAGCTTTATGATTCTTGTTCGTTTTTGTGCAAATATTCTCTCCACGAGTGAATGTTTTTAATGAAATGAAAAATTTACGGATGTGATGAAAATTTACAGATTTATGTAAAGGCACTTGATATCTTTGTAAAGTATCTAGCGTGGTATAAAGCGTGGTAAAGTCTTTAAATATCTTCCTACGAACGCACTATATATCTTTTTTATTTATTGCTTTGATTTAATTTTGCCAAAGCCTTCTACATGGAAACACCCAACGACATATCATATAGTCAAAACAAATCCTTAACTGGCAAAAAAAAACGCCGAACGCTTTTGCCAACTACAGTGTAGCTTTTTTTAAGAAATTTTCTTGAATGAGCAATGGATTACATCTTTGATAGTAGTGATAAAAAAATTCTTTATACAAACATGTTGACGATAATCTCACTTACTCGTCTTATTTCTACACAGATGATATGATATGTGAGTGAACTTTTTTATTTATATGACACAACCACAAAGACATTGTAATTCTATGTAGGATTGTTGAGAAACAACCAAACGTCTTATTATTGAAATAAATAAAAAAAGACGATGAAGAAACACAAAGTCAATAATCAATGCAAACATCTATTTTCTACAGACAAATCATACAACAATGCCAATTTAAAGTACGTCTAGAAGCAAATGAATGTTTCTTATTAATTGCTACACATTCCACAGGATCCTTACGGGTTTTTGCCATATTAGCCCCAAACATGACGACGGCGAGTCAAACTACGACGACGATGCCAAATAATATGACGAAGTCTATAATAATAATGGCGACGCCGCCAAAAATGCGAGCGTTTTTCTACACAGCGATGCCCCAACGACGATGACGGCGACGCCAAATACGACGACGTGGACGCCAAATACGACGACGAGGACGCCAAATACGACGACGCCAAATACGACGACAACGAAAGAGAGTCGAGCGTTTTTCTACACTTGGATCAGCTTTCACATCACTAATACAAAACACAATGTACTTGTAAGGAAAGGGTCACACACCCCAAAAACTTTACTTTTAAATGCAGTCGGTAAAAGTATTATATTAGTCGGCAGAAAAATATCTTTGACGACTAAACATCAACATTGCTGTTGATTTGGATAAAGCGTAAATAAGAGACTAACATTTTCATATAAATCGAGAATAACATAACAGCAAGAAATGAACAGTTCGAACAGCGTTACAGTAAACACCGGAGGGGCGTCATTTAGTAGACCTTGAAAATTGTCGAGGTTTTGTTCTATAGTGTATTCGGTACTGGTACGATGGCCAGTCGTTTGAAAGGATTACATCTTCCCCCTGATAAACGTTATAAGGACGGCCCTGTTCGCGTTCCTCAACTTTCATGGCAGAGACTAAATGTCAAGGTCAACTATAGCATAAAAAACGAAGCACTTCAATGTCAGGAACGTAAACGTAGTAGATGAAGTTAACTTACTTGTTCTCTGTGAGTTCACGATCATCACTTTGTTCTAAGTCATGTTCGGGGTCAGTTTCATCATTACTTTCTTCTTCTGGATTTTCATCATCATTTTCTACAAATTCTTCCTTGACAGTTTCCACTGGGGCGGTTTTTTCATCGTATTCTAAATAAAGAAACCATCATTCTTTCTTTAATCATGTACAAAAGCTGGTCAAGAGAAATGGTTGATGATAGATAAAGTATTTAATATATGAGCTTTGCATCATTACCTTTCATAACCCCATCTTCATGTTTCGCTTGAGCGTAAGCAAAAGTGCAAAGCAATCCAAGAGCAATGACAAGATAGGTTATTTTCATACTTAACTTTTTTCTTGTTTTCTTCTGGTTCCAACAGCAGGATGATGAATGATGATTGAAGACAGCTTTTGGCCTCTTTTTATAGAGAGCTGCCACGAGAGAATATTACATATGTATTTTGAAAGAAACGTGAAGCAGTTATGCGGGCAACAAAAGTCACAGCTTGAAAAATTTCTAGATAAATCATGCATGCAAACAAAAACCCAATTTCTACCGCTCATTACACATTTCATTGACGACAATTCTATCACGTTTCCAAAACAATAACATCCTTTTGCTCCTGTTAAAAACTTTTTGTTTCTACTTATAGCTTTCGTATGCAATATTTCATTTGTTGTACACGTACGTCTACAGGAAGATATCAAAAATAGGGGTTTAATTAGGTCAAATTTCCTAAATCATAATTGAAGAACATCTGCCATATTTTAACCCTGTGCGTTCCAAGCTCTTTAGCTTTGTCATTTTTGTACGCAAGCAACTGCAACTCCATATTACGATTTTTAACTACATAAATTAAATGGTCAGTAAAGCCATTTACACGGATTAACTACCATAGAAACTCATGGTAAATTCAAGTACTGGATCACAAATAAATGATATAATTTAATACCCACATACTAACGCCATCAATACATGTTAAATGTGATAATCTAGGTCATTGCAACTCTATCAATGAATTTTTTTCCTGCTTTACCAAAATCGTTTTTTTATTATTTCTGCATAAATCATACACATATATCTTTATTTTCTAAATTCAGGCATAAAAGTTATCCACTCAAAGCATTTTCTATAGCCTAAAGGTATTCGCTTAAAGGTATATAGCACCATGCCAGCAATTATTCATAATGCAAATTTGTAAATGAAGTATAAAGTTATTACAAATAGATAATCGAACTTCAACACGCTATTGTGTGTGAACTACTATGTCTATATAACGGTATTCTTTCAGTTTGAAAATATCAGGCTTGTAATTATCGAATGGCATGTTTTCAATATCAAATGGAGACAAAACAAGCAAATACAAGGCTGATAAACAAAGTTGGTAGGAATTGATGTTATTCACGTCAGACATACTGGGGGTCTGATACCAAAGAATATTCTATCAATGCTGGCGTGGGTAAATTCTATTATTTAGTAAATCTCAAAGATTAGTTGCAAAATAAGAATCATATATCTCATTTATTGTGCATCAGCTCATGTGGGAATTTCACTATAACCTCTTTATTGCAAAAGTGAAAATTTTAATAAAAAGAGCAAAGCAAGATAAGACATGGTCGGGAATAATCGTTTTTTCTTTTGTCATGCACTGTATTTTTAAATGCATTTAATATTGGCGATTGTCTTCAAACTCAATCAAATAATTTTAAGTAGCGAAATCAGTAAACTGGTTCATTAATTCCTGGTCTGTCAAGGAAACCTAACACGATGCTTTCTATTCTATTTCTCAAAATTAATATTTAGTTTTAAGAAAACTCAATTTTCGCTCTACATACCAATTAAAACTAAAGCACAATCAGTGAATATTGCAGAAGAAAACATGAAACCCACAACTATATCCATGCTATCGTCATGCTTACATTAAACAACAGCAACTCGCAGCAACTTTCTAGAATCAAGTCCTCAATCATTAAATCATACAACAAGTCGACGCAAACCTTTCAACACTTAAATGTCTTTTCACACCTTAATTTTGTCATTCAACTGGCGACGAAGGTTCAGAAGGGTTCACTACAATTACAAATACTTGTGAACGTGTACTATTGTAATTCAGTCACTAAGCATCACCAATGGCAAAAACTGTTGTTACAAAAACTATGTATCTTGTTTTAACACAAATATTTCTATAACAATTAATCCATTTCACCATTCTTCCAACGATATCTAACACACTTTCAACTTCAAAAGTTTGTGTGTAAGTCAACAATATAATGCAATGTTTACATATTTTAGGTCTGATTTATTCACCGCAGTTTGAAAAGCCGATTTTAATATAAATCGTTTTCAGCTTTGCGTCTGTTGGTACGATAGCAGATTCACACTGTCGTCATTAACTCCACGTAATTACACACAATTAACCTCTTAGGGCTGAAACACACTAGGCAGTCGCTTTACGCAGTCGTAAAATAACTTTTCTTTGTACTTTAAATTCTCAAAAGCAAACTAAGCGTGCCCTCAATCGTATTTTAAGCAAAATATGATAAAAGTTGTGCTAGTGTCAATGTGATTACTAAAACCATGTCACTTGTAACGATTGCCATTTATAGAAAACGTTTTACAATGATCCTGTTGAGTGTGTAATGCAGAAATATTATTTCAAAGGAGACGTGACTCATTCATTCATTCATTTATATTTGTTAAGTTGGTAAGATAAAATAACACAACTTATGTTACTGAAAAGTAAGCTAAGATAAAATTACATATCCTAATTCAGCTAATAATTATTATGTTGGCTAAACCTGCACTATATTATAATTTTTATGTGCTAAGAGTTATAAGAACACTCCCTTTCCTAATATAGATGCCAATTAATCAGTCTAAAATATGAAAGAGAATGTGATGACTACAAAACATTTAATGTGGCTAGTGTTAAACTTGGGTGAAATTAACACAACGAAGGAAGATTCTGTAACTTTGCTCACACAAGTTATATGGAATTAACAACATAATCACATACAATAAGTTTGAAACTGCCGTTTGGAATCAAATGTATTCATTACATCTTACTTTTGTTATCACATTTTTGGGATTTAATCTTGCAAAATTTGTAAACAGAATTGATTCAAATGAAGTGCTTTCATTGTAATAAACTCTAAAGCTGTTCATTTTTAAATGAATTGGTCTCATCACCTTGTAACTCGAATGGTAATACAGAATAATATAATTTCATATTCTGCGTCACAACATATTTATTGCTTGGCGCGAGAAAAATTTGGTAGACTGGCACTATACCTTGATTGGTCCAAAAGTACCTTATCTGTTATTGGATATCCACCAATACGGAAGCGAATGTCGAGGGTTTATGTAAATGCAAAATCATACAAAAGCATTCTGACTCATTTGAATGTCTTGACTGTGGTGAAGTTTCCTCCTTCAAAAAGTGATACATGACGAAAAACAAACTTTTCAAATAACGATGAAGTTAAGCTCCAAAGACGCAACCAAAGCAAGAATGTTCCATGACTGTACAACTTATTATCCATCAACGAAATCTAGTCGTCTTTTATAAGGCTTCCAAAAACCTGAAATAGTACGATAACATGAAGAGGATTAAAGATCATGATTTGCACAATAAATTATAGTGATTTATGAAAATAGCTATGAGGTTGAATATACAAAGTCATACTTATACCTTTGAAGGCACCATTTGTTGTTCAAGTTGAACTTCTACATAAGAGATGATTGTACAAAATACACTTTTAAAATTTCTTCTGATGTCAAGTTTCATATTTCCGCGCTTTCTGTTATTTCGATCTGATCATAATGACATAAAGAGCGTGAGCTGTCACAAATTCACCTTCAATCTTTGCATCTTCGTCTTCATCGTCTTCATCAATTGAGATCTCTTCAGGATTCGCTATTCTTGCTTCTAAATTGTCCTCATCAGTTGCTTCGCCTTTAAGACAAATTAAATTAACACAAATAAGACTCAGTACAGTGAATTTTAACTAAATCACCCAGGGGGTGTCAATTAAAAGCAGCATAGGTTAATCCATGAGACAAAAGTACTTGCTAAAGCAATAAGCCGCGATCCATTAATTACTTGACAAAAAGAACATCACGTTTCGGCTTCACTTGATTCTTTTTCGCTTGTTCAGCCATTGCTCGAGCTTGTTTTTCCAAATTCTCCATGTCGTCCGCAGACACACCGGTCGCTGCATCTGTATAAGTAAATAAGTACATCTACATTTGTCAACAAAAAATATTTAGCGGCTGTGGTGAAAAGGGAAAGAAGTGTGATGTGAGTAGATTCAATACACTTAAGTTTTCCTCGCATAGTCGTATAACTCACCAGACATTGCTTGAGATGCAGCAAGCATTTGAGCGGACATGAAGATAACCTACATGTGAAAAAATGAGAAAAATTAGGTGAACGCATATATGCATGTCCGTATAATTATCAAATAAATAGCTTAAAAAAACAAGTGTGTAATTGCACATGCCATTTCATCAACACCTGCGTATTATACATGGCCTGTACGCTCCTTTTAATGCGTAGCATCTCACGAAAAGTGTCTTCGTTACCATGATGAAAGTCGTCTTACCATCACGAAAAGTGTCTTCATTACCTCACGAAAAGTGTCTTCGTTACCTCAAAGTCATGCCAAGTCTTCCAAAGGATGCTGTCGTCTAAAATAAAACCTTATTTCATTTGGCCAAAAGATATTAATAACTGTCTTTATGGTTACTCACCTGTCCATAGTTGACCCAAACTATCTGTAAATCGTCTCAAGCCACCACGAATCAGCAACTTTTAGACTTTTAACCCAAACATTTGAGGAGATTATTATCAGCAAAGTTTATTATACGTATATCAGTATGAAATACTTTTTTGATTAAAGCTACTTGTTGGGATTTTTGGAGATTAGCTGACATAGTTCGTGCCACAACTGAAAATTTATAAGAAACATTTCATTTCCTTTTCATCCTGCTTAAACATCAATGAAATATCTAATATGCAGCCAGATTATAGCTACGTAGGTAACCTAGCAACCTGGATTGCACTGCTCCGTGTAACTTGGCAATGATTCTTCAAACATAGCCAGGTTGCCTGGCCAGCTGACTTCACCATCAGTCAAGGTTTTTTAATAAAAACAGTAAATGACAAACATAACTAAACCTGATGATTTGATTTTCCCTCTTTTGACACAAACTTATCCTGTTTATAAAATATAAAAAAAATTCATTAGATATTCAAGGTATGATCAATTTATCCTGATTGCTCTTACCAAAAGATATCAAATAACTAACCTGATTGACAATAGTTGCCAGTCTTGTAGCTGCCTCGTCCAACCTTCCAACACTTTAGAGATAGTCTAAATAATCTTCAGTGTTGTTGGATTGTAACTAAAATGAAATCTTGGTGAATCAAATTGTATGTGGACAGTGATATGGAAAAGTGATATGAAAGTCTAATTTAACCTTTAGATATCTTCTGTAGACACCGACGGCCGTCTCAGGAATCGGATAAGAACGAACAAACTTCAAGTAAAGGGGTCATATTCTATAATGTTTAGTTTATTGGCAATGCCCTCAAAGCACGATCAAATGTTCTTTTTATAAGAGTGATAAGAGGTTGGTCCATTAAAAACTGGCAATAATCTAACCATATACTTGGCATCTGCATGAAACGAAGAAAGTTGTTTATGCCTCAAATGGAAAAAATATGGTTATCTAATATCTACTTGTCTAAAAGTTCAGCTTCTTTCTTTGAGTAAAAGTTTTTGCGTAATGCATTGTTATTTCTGATCTTGCACACGAACACAAGAGCACGTTCAAAGGTGTTGTTTACATCTTCAAAACAAGTTTCTGTGATTGGTCTGAAAAGTGTAAAAACAATGTGTATCCTTGTCCAATTGCGTATGAATAAGTTTTGCTGCATTCAAAATTTTCTATTACATGCTAACACACACTCAACTCTGTGCATTACTGTAATACTTACTTTCCACATACTTGCTTTCTACACTCTTTCAAGTAATTATATCAAAGTTTGTAGCTATATGGAAAATTAAAAAAAAATGTACAATAGCATTTACAAATCTGTTTGCCATACCAACTTCAATAATAAACATATTATTTTAAAAGGAATGAAATATATGTTTACCTTCCTGCAAGCTCTTTCAAAGCTCATTCATAAACAAGATTCAAGACAGATTTTGGTGCGGACTTCTTGTGCTAAAGATATCGTGACCAACATTTTACAGAATATGGATTTCTCAGAATCTCCTCTTTGTAAGGAAGATCTTCTTCTTCCTATGATTTGAACAAAAATAATAACAAAATTGTTTGAGGGATGTAGAAAAAAAGGGAAATAATACTGTTGGCGAAGAAGTTGCGCCAGAATGTCATGATATGGTTTGCTTTGGTTGGTGCAAAAAGATTATTGATAAATTATAATAAAGGAGAGATTCTTTTAGTCTAGCAGAAACTTCTCACTAAAAACATCTGTCACAACTATAGCAATTGATGGATGTACTTACAATTATAAGATTCTTGCTGATATTGGAAGAAACAGGCATTTTTTCACAATTCTCGATCAAATCCAACAAACCAAATTTGTGTTTCTAATTAGAGCAATGGTAGCCTGGGAACGACTGTGGTGGTAATCGAATAGGCGGGGGGAGGGCTCAGTCATAATGATAGTAAAGTTGGTAAAGTCCTTTTCTTCAAGCACTGAAGGCACTTAATAGTAAACAATTAATAGTAATATTAGTAAAACATGTAACAGAATTTTATGTTTCTGTTATTTTGATCTGATCATAATGATATAAAAGTGTGTAAGCTGTCACAAATTCACATTCAGTCTTTGCATCTTCGTCTTCGGTCATACCTCTCTTCCTCTCAACCTTCATTGCAGTCTAAGTCCTGGACATCACCTTTGCACTAGCATTGAATCTAGTCCTTGCTTTGTTTATACCTCTTTTCCTCTCGACCTTCATTGTAGTCTTGGTCCTGGAGATCTCCTTTGCACTAGCATTGAATCTAGTCCATGCTTGGGTCATACCTCTCTTTCTCTCAATCTTCATAATAGTCTCAGTCCTGGACATCACCTTTGCACTAGCATTGAATCTAGTCCTTGCTTGGGTCATACCTCTCTTCCTTTCTACCTTCATTGCAGTCTCAGTCCTGGACATCACCTTTGCACTAGCATTCAATCTAGTCCTTGCTTGGGTCATACCTCTCTTCCTCTCAACCTTCATTGTAGTCTCAGTCCTGGACATCACCTTTGCACTAGCATTGAATCTAGTCCTTGCTTGGGTCATACCTCTCTTCTTCTCGACCTTAATTGTAGTCTCAGTCCTAGACATGACCTTTGCACTAGCATTTAATCTAGTCCATGCTTGGGTCATACCTCTCTTCCTCTCGACCAGTAACACTAAGTAATACTTTAAAACAGTTTGCATAAATCAACTTTCCAATTTCATTATAATTGTCTACACTATACAGTCAGTCAAATTGAGCAGGCAAGCAGTTTAATAGTTATTTCTATTATACTGAATGCACCATAGTTCCCATTAATTTTGCATGGCACTGCATTCAATTTTAACACAACTCTGTTGTGAACTTTCCCTTCATATTTTCAAAAAAATTATGAACAAATTCAGCTCATTTTTGGGAGATAAACTCAAATCAAATCAGGAGAGTTTTGCTTGATCATGATACAAGATGGATGCAAAACTCGATAAAAATTGGCAGCTTCGCCTCGTCTGGCGAGCGATAAAGTGAACAACAAACAAGACTGGACCAAAATAACTTTAAATTAAAACTTAGTAGTAGAAACACTCTTCATGTATCGTGTTAAAAACAAAATAGTTAAACTACTACTGTGCTACTTACCGGAGTCAAGAAATGTTTCCTTTTCTGTCGCTAATTCAGCATCCGCAAACCACGGAAGCTTGCAGATTGTTCAATAAATAAAATTTTAAAGTGTTTGTGTTAGGAAAATACATAGTTTTGATATTTTCTATACTCGCAATCGTGGTGGTCAAATTAAGGTGGGCGACAAAGTTTTTATTTGATAAGCCCGCGTCTTTCCGCTGACTTTGACAACCAAAATCCGCCATGTTTTTGACCACGGGCCGCGCGCTAATAATTTATAGTAATTTGGTTGACATGTTCCCTCCAGGTCTTATAGAACTCAATGAATACAACTTATTGATTAACTCACAAACATAGAAAATTTCTAGAAAGTCAATTATAAGCAAGTTTTAATCGCCATTAGATAAGATAAATTGTATTTTATCAATTTATTGATATGAAAGAATGTTATATGCAGTGCGGTGTTTGAAATTAATTGAAGATATGATCTTCGCACTTTGCTGGACAATTTAAGCAATTGTCTCATGAACCTGAAAAATTCAGGTGATCCCGTTGAGTCACCGCTTAAATTGTCCAGCAAAGTGCGAAGATCATATCTTCAATTAATTTATTGATAAGTAGTAAAAACTAAGAGACAAGCTTTATGATTCTTGTTCGTTTTTGTGCAAATATTCTCTCCACGAGTGAACGTTTTTAATCAAATGAAAAATTTATAGATATGATGAAAATTTACAGATTTGTGTAAAGGCACTTAATATCTTCGTAAAGTATCTAGCGTGGTATAAAGCGTGGTAAAGTCTTTAAATATCTTCCTACGAACGCACTATATACCTTTTTTATTTATTGCTTTGATTTAATTTTGTCAATAAAACACCCAACGACATCTCATATAGTCAAAACAAATCCTTAACTGGCAAAAAAAACGCCGAACGCTTTTGCCAACTGCAGTGTAGCTTTTTTAAGAAATTTTCCTGAATGAGCTATGGATTACATCATTGATAGTAGTGATAAAAAATACTTTATACAAACATGTTGACGACAATCTCACTCTCACTTGTCTTATTTCTACACAGATGATATGATATGTGAGTGAACATTTTTATTTATATGACAAAAACCACAAAGACAATGTAATTCTATAGGATTGTTGAGAAACAACCAAACGTCTTATTATTGAAATAAATAAAAAAAGACAATGAAGATACACAAAGTCAATGATCAATGCAAACATCTATTTTCTACAGGCAAATCATACAACAATGCCAATTTAAAGTACGTCTAGAATCAAATGAATGTTTCTTATTCATCGCTATACATTCCACAGGATCCTTACGGGTTTTTGCCATATTAGCGCCAAAAAAGACCAAGGTAAATACGACGACGGGTACGACGGGTACGACGGTTACGACGGGTACGACGACGACGACAGGGAGGCGAAATAGGACGACGACGACGAAAGTGAATCAAGCGTTTTTCTACACTTGGATCAGCTTTCACATCATTACTACAAAACACAATGTACGTTAAAGGAAAGGGTCACACACTAAAAAAAATTTACTTTTAAAATACAGTCGGTAAAAGTATTATATTAGTCGACAGAAAAAATATCTTTGACGACTAAACATCAACATTACGGTTGATTTGGATAAAGCGTAAATAAGAAGTAAGAGACTAAAATTTTCATATAAATCGAGAATAACATAAGAGCAAGAAATGAACAGTTCGAACAGCGTTACAGTAAACACCGAAGGGGCTTCATTTAGTAGACCTTGAAAATTGTCGAGGTTTTGTTCTATAGTGTATTCGGTACGGGTACGATGGCCAGTCGTTTGAAAGGATTACATCTCCCCCCTGATAAACATTATAAGGACGGCCCTGTTCGCGTTCATCAACTTTCATGGCAGAGACTAAATGTCAAGGCCAACTATAGCATAAAAAACGAAGCATTTCGATGTCAGGAACGTAAACGTAGTAGATAAAGTTAACTTACTTGTTCTCTGTGAGTTCACGATCATCACTTTGTTCTAAGTCATGTTCGGGGTCAGTTTCATCATCACTTTCTTCTTCTGGATTTTCATCATCATTTTCTTCTTCTGGATTTTCATCATCATTTTCTACTTCTGGATTTTCATCATCATTTTCTACTAATTCTTCCTCGACAGTTTCCACTGGGGCGGTATTTTTATCGGATTCTAAATGAAGAGACCATCATTCTTTAATCATGTACAAAAGATGGTCAAAGAGAAATGGTTGATGATAGATAATGTATTTAATATATGAGCTTTGCATCATTACTTTTCATAACCCCATCTTCAAGTTTCGATTGAGCGTGAGCAAAAGTGCAAAGCAATCCAAGAGCGATGACAAGATAGGTTATTTTCATGATTAACTTTTTTCTTGTTTTCTTCTGGTTCCAACAGCAGGATGATGAATGATGATTGAAGACAGCTTTTCGCCTCTTTTTATAGAGAGCTGCCACGAAAGAATATTACATATGTATTTTGTAAGATCGTAAGAGCACAATGGTTATAAGACAATTAAAATAAACGACAAATTTTTTTAAAGCAAACATGTTTCGGCATACTTTATGCCATCTTCAGTGCGAAGTGAATAAATACAGGAAGTTTACATGATAATAAGTTATAGTGATAAAGCGGAAATATCGACTAGTTATGAATAATTATTTACAGTTGAATGAGGTGTTATAAAATGTTTGTGTTAGGTTTTATTACAAAAAATAAATTACAAAGAAAAAGAAAAATATATGATAAGGTAGGAATAGCTATTTACAGGTCAAAGATAGTGTTAAGATGTTGCATTTGTTTTTTGAGGTTGGGTTTACGCTTCTTGTTATAAAAGGCTTCTTTGAGTTTCAGGGCAAAAGGAGTGTGAGCGGTGTCTAAGATACGGAAGCAGGATTGTGTATAATTGTTTTTGCAGCGTTGTGACGAGAGTAAGTGTCTGAATATGTGTCAGTTTTTGTCCGTGGTTGTGTGTTCTTTAATCCGTGTGGAAAGGTGGCGGGTGGTTTCTATTTAACGGACAAATTTTTGACCAAATCGACGGAGTCGCGATGGGCTCACCATTAGCACCACTTCTTGCCAATCTTTTCATGGAATATCATGACTATGACGGACCTAAAGTATGCAGAAATGACGTGCTGCAATTTAAGGAAATGACGTGCTGCAAAGATTAAGGCATCCGGCAATTTTGCCTTTTATATGCAAAACTGCGACATTATACTCATTAAACATCTCAGGGAAATGTTTTTACCATGTACTAACAAAGAAAACGTCTAACTTTCCATATACTTTCTGAATCTCTCCTGGTTTCACTTTGACACAATTGGCTTCGACTTATAAATCTTTTCGTTGCTGTTTTCTGCAGCTCTGAGGGCGCACTCAAAGACTTTTACAAAAGTACAATGTATAGACTGTCAATGGAGTTAAATCTAAGTGAAACCAAAAGATGTCGGAAAACACATCAAACGAAAAAACCCAATCTCTACCGATCAATACACATATCATTGACGACAATTCTATCACGTTTCCAAAACAATAACATCCTTTTGCTCCTGTTAAAAACTTTTTGTTTGTACTTATAGCTTTCGTATGCAATATTTCATTTGTTGTACACGTACGTCTACAGGAAGATATCCAAAATATGGGTTTAATTAGGTCAAATTTCCTAAATCATAATTGAAGAACATCTGCCATATGTTAATCCTGTGCGTTCCAAGCTCTTTAGCTTTGTCATTTTTGTACGCAAGCAACTGCAACTGCATATTACGATTTTTAACTACATAAAATGGTCAGGAAAGCCATTTACACGATCTAACTACCATAGAAACTCATGACAAATTCAACTACTGGATCACGAATAAATGATACAATTCAAGACCCACATACTAACGCCATCAATACATGTTACATGTGATAATCTAGGTCATTGCAACTCTATCATTGAATTTTTTTCCTGCTTTACCAAAATCGTTCTTTCATTATTTCTGCATAAATCATACACATATATCTTTATTATTGAAATTCTGGCATAAAAGTTATCCACTCAAAGCATTTTCTATAGCCTGCATGTATTCGCTCAAAGGTATATAGCACCATGGCAGCAATAATTGAAAATGCAAAAATACAAAATTTTTATTTGATAAGCTCGCGTCTTTCCGCTGACTTTGACAACCAAAATCCGCCATGTTTTTGACCACGGGTCGCGCGCTAATAATTTATAGTAATTTGGTTGACATGTTCCCTCCAGGTCTTATAGAACTCAATGTATACAACTTATTGATTAACTCACAAACATAGAAAATTTCTAGAAACTCAATTATAAGCAAGTTTTAATCGCCATTAGATAAGATAAATTGTATTTTATCAATTTATTCATAAGTAGTAAAAAGTAAGAGACAAGCTCTATGATTCTTGTTCGTTTTTGTGCAAATATTCTCTCCACCAGTGAATGTTTTTAATCAAATGAAAAATTTACGGATGTGATGAAAATTTACAGATTTGTGTAAAGGCACTTAATATCTTTGTAAAGTATCTAGCGTGGTATAAAGCGTGGTAAAGTCTTTAAATATCTTCCTACGAACGCACTATATATCTTTTAAAATTATTGCTTTGATTTAATTTTGCCAAAGCCTTCTACATGGAAACACCCAACGACATATCATATAGTCAAAACAAATCCTTAACTGGCAAAGAAAACGCCAAACGCCTTTGCCAACTACAGTGTAGCTTTTTAAAGAATTTTCTGAATGAGCTATGGATTACATCATTGATAGTAGTGATAAAAAATGCTTTATACAAACATGTTGACGATAATCTCACTCTTACTCGTCTTATTTCTACACAGATGATATGATATGTGAGTGAACATTTTTATTTACATGACAGAACCACAAAGACAATGTAATTCTATGTAGGATTGTTGAGAAACAACCAAACGTCTTATTATTGAAATAAATAAAAAAAGACTATGAAGACACAAAAAGTCAATGATCAATGCAAACATCTATTTTCTACAGGCAAATCATAATACAATGCCAATTTAAAGTACGTCTAGAATTAAATTTAATGTTTCTTATTTATCGCTACACATTCCACAGGATCCTTACGGGTTTTTGACATATTAGCCCAAAAAACGACGACGGCGAGTCCTACTATGACGACGTCTATTAAAGGAAAAGCTCCAAAAAGGCGAGCGTTTTTCTTCACTTGGATCAGCTTTCGTATCATTACTACAAAACACAATGTACGTGTAAGGAAAGGGTCACACACCCAAAAACTTTATTTTTAAATGTAGTCGGTTAAAGTATTATATTAGTCGGCAGAAAAAATATCTTTAACGACTAAACATCAACATTACGGTTCATTTGGATAAAGCGTAAATAAGAAGAGACTAACATTTTCATATGAATCGAGAATAACATAACAGCAAGAAATGAACAGTTCGAACAGCGTTACAGTAAACACCTGAGAGGCTTCATTTAGTAGACCTTGAAAATTGTCGAGGTTTTGTTCTATAGTGTATTCGGTACTTGTTCGATAGCCAGTCGTTTGAAAGGATTACATCTTCCCCCTGATAAACGTTATAAGGACGGCCCTGTTCGCGTTCATCAACTTTCATGGAAGAGACTAAATGTCAAGGCCAACTATAGCATACAAAACGAAGCATTTCGATGTCAGGAACGTAAACGTAGTAGATAAAGTTAACTTACTTGTTCTCTGTGACTTCACGATCATCACTTTGTTCTAAGTCATGTTCGGGCTCAGTTTCATCATCACTTTCTTCTTTTGGATTTTCATCATCATTTTCTTCTTCTGGATTTTCATCATCATTTTTTTCTTCTGGATTTTCATCATAATTTTTTTCTTCTGGATTTTCATCATCATTTTCTACTAATTCTTCCTCGACAGTTTCCACTGGGGCGGTTTTTTCATCAGATTCTAAATGAAGAAACCATCATTCTTTAATCATGTACAAAAGCTGGTCAAGAGAAATGGTTGATGATAGATAAAGTAATTAATATATGAGCTTTGCACCATTAACTTTCATAACCCCATCTTCAAGTTTCGCTTCAGCGTAAGCAAAAGTGCAAAGCAATCCAAGAGCGATGACAAGATAGGTTATTTTCATGATGAACTTTTTTCTTGTTTTCGTCTGGTTCCAACAGCAGTATGATGGATGATGATTGAAGACAGCTTTTGGCCTCTTTTTATAGAGAGCTGCCATGAAAGAATATTACATATGTACACAATGGTTATAAGACAATTAAAATTAACGACAAATTTTTTTAAAGCAAACATGTTTCGGCATACTTTATGCCATCTCCAGTGCGGTGTGGCTTTATCACTATAACTTATTATCATGTAAACTTCCTATATTTATTCACTTCGCACTGAAGATGGCATAAAGTATGCCGAAACATGTTTGCTTCAAAAAAATTTGTCGTTAATTTTAAATGTCGTATTTTGAAAGAAACGTGAAGCATTTATGCGGGCAACAAAAGTCACAGCTTGAAAACATTTCTAGATAAATCATGCATACATACATCTTTATTCGTTATTCTATTTACAGTTGGTTTCATCTTGTTGCTTTTAATACCGGTAACGTTTCCATTATGACAAGTTAATTATTTTAAATTAAGTCAATAAACATTGTTAGTCGTTATCGTCTGTTTTATCTGCAGACATGACGTGCTGTAAAAGATTAAGCATCCGCCAATCTGTCTTTTTTATGCAAAACTGCGACATTATACTCATTAAACATCTCAGGGAAATGTTTTTACCATGTACTAACAAAGAAAACGTCTAACTTTCCATATACTTTCCGAATCTCTCCTGGTTTCACTTTGGCACAATTGGCTTCGACGTACAAATCTTTTCTGTGCTATTTTCTGCAGCTCTGAGGGCGCACTCAAAGACTTTTATAAAAATATCATGTATAGACTGTCGATGGAGTTAAATCCAGGTGAAACCAAAAGATGTCGGAAAACACATAAAACGAAAAAAGCCAATCTCTACCGCTCAATACACATTTCATTGACGACAATTCTATCACGTTTCCAAAACAATAACATCCTTTTGCTCCTGTTAAAAACTTTTTGTTTCTACTTATAGCTTTCGTATGCAATATTTCATTTGTTGTACACGTACGTCTACAGGAAGATATCAAAAATATGGGTTTAATTAGGTCAAATTTCCTAAATCATAATTGAAGAACATCTGCCATATTTTAACGCTGTGCGTTCCAAGCTCTTTAGCTTTGTCATTTTTGTACGCAAGCAACTGCAACTGCATATTACGATTTTTAACTACATAAAATGGTCAGGAAAGCCATTTACACGGATTAACTACCATAGAAACTCATGACAAATTTAACTACTGGATCACGAATAAATGATACAATTCAAGACCCACATACTAACGCCATCAATACATGTTACATGTGATAATCTACGTCATTGCAACTCTATCATTGAATTTTTTTCCTGCTTTACCAAAATCGTTCTTTCGTTATTTCTGCTTAAATCATTATAAATCATCTTTATTTTTTATCTTTTTATTTTTTATTTTTTTCCTGCTTTACCAAAATCGTTCTTTCATTATTTCTGCATAAATCATTATAAATCATTATCTTTATTTTATATCTTTCTTTTTCAATATCAAATGGAGACAAAACAAGCAATTACAAGGCTGATAAACAAAGTTGGTAAGAATTGATGTTATTCTCGTCAGACATACTGGGGGTCTGATACAAAAGAACATTCTATCAATGCTTTTATGGACTCCAGCTGGCGTGGGTAAATTCTATTGTTTAGTAAATCCCAAAAGATTAGTTGCAAAATAAGAGTCATATATCTCATTTATTGTGCATTAGCTCTTGTGGGAATTTCACTGCTAAATAACCTCTTTATTGTAAAAGTGAAAATTTTAATAAAAAGAGCAAAGCAAGATGAGACATGGTCGGGAATAATCGTTTTTTCTTTCGTCATGCTCTGTATTTTTAAATGCATTTAATATTGGCGATTATCTTCAAACTCAATCAAATAATTTTAAGTAGCGAAATCAGTAAACAATTCTTAGTATTTGTATTTTAATTCCTAGTCTTTCAAAGAAAAACTAACACGATGGTTTCCATTCTATTTCTCAAAATTAATATTTAGTTTTAAGAAAACTCAATTTTCGCTCTACATACCAATTAAAACTAAAGCACAATCAGTGAATATTGCAGAAGAAAACATGAAACCCACATCTATATCCATATTATCGCCATGCTTACATTAAACAACAGCAACTCGCTGCAACTTTCTAGAATCAAACTTTCTAGAATCATACAACAAGTCGACGCAAACCTTTCAACACCTAAATGTCTTTTAACACCCTAATTTTGTCATTCAACTGGCGACGAAGGTTCAGTAGGGTTCACTACAATTACAAATACTTGTGAACGTGTACTATTGTAATTCAGTCATTAAGCCTTACCAATGGCAAAACTGTTGTTACAAAACTATGTATCTTGTTTTAACACAAATATTTCTATAACAATTAATCCCCTTTCACCATTCTTCCAACGATATCTAACGCACTCTCAACTTCAAATAGTTTGTGTGTAAGTCAACAATATAATGCAATGTTTATATATTTTTTGGTTTGATTCATTCACCGCAGTTTGCAAAAGCCGATTTTAATATGAATCGTCTTCCGCTTTGCGTCTGTTGGTACGATAGTAGATTCACACGTGTCGTCATTAACCCACGTAATTACACACAATTAACCTCAGTAACCACGCAAAGCGGTAGTTTTAGACGCGCGACTAAAGCGACTGCCTAGTGTGTTTCAGTCTTTAGGAGTAAAAATAACTTTTTCCTCGTACTTTAAATTCTAAAAAGCAAACTAAGTGTGCCCTCAATCGTATTTTTAAGCAAAAATATGAGAAAAGTTGTGCTAGTGATAATGTGATTACTAAAACCATGTCACATGTAACGATTGCCATTTATAGAAAACGTTTTACAATGATCCTGTTGAGTGTGTAATGCAGAAATGTTATTTCAAAGGAGACGTGACTCATTAATTCATTCATTCATTCATTCATTCATTCATTCATTCATTCATTCATATTTGTTAAGTTGATAAAATAAAATAACACAACTTATGTTACTGAAAAGTAAGCTAAGATAAAATTACATATCCTAATTCAGCTAATACTTATTATGTTGGCTAAACCTGCACTATATTATAATTATTATGTGCTAAGAGTTATAAGAACACTAGCTTTGCTAATATAGATGGCAATTAATCAGTCTAAAATATGAAAGAAAATGTGATGACTACAAAACATTTAATGTGGCTAGTGTTAAACTTGGGTGAAATTAACAAAACGAAGGAAGATTCTGTAACTTTGTTCACACAAGTTATGTGGAATTAACATACAATATACAATAAGTTTGAAACTACCGTTTGAAATCCAATGCATTCATTACATCTTACTTTTGTTATCACATTTTTGGGATTTAATCTTGCAAAATTTGTAAACAGAATTGATTCAAATGAAGTGCTTTCATTGTAATAAGCTCTAAAGCTGTTCATTTTTAAATGAATTGGTCTCATCACCTTGTAACTCGAATGGTAATACAGAATAATATAATTTCATATTCTGCGTTACTACATATTTATTGCTTGGCACGAGAAAAATTTGGTAGACTGGCACTATACCTTGATTGGTCCAAAAGTTCCTTATCTGTTATTGGATATTGACCAATACGGAAAATCATACAAAAGCATTCTGACTCATTTGAATGTCTTGACTGTGGTGAAGTATCCTCCTTTAAAAAGTGTCCAAAGCAATTGAGACAAAAAATAATTTTAACTAATGTAATAATATCATACGGTTTCACTCGTCAGTTTTCAAATAACCCTCACTTCTTTGTCCTTCCCCAGTCCTTTTGCATTACTCGTCTTCGTCCCTTAAGTATAGCTCTAGTTTACCTGCGACCTAACGTAGTTCTCTTTCTCATTTAAACCCCAGTATTAACGCTCGCTCTCACTCCGTAAACGCACTTTTCCTCTCCCACATTCCAGTCCCAGTCTCAACTTTCATTTTTAATCTAGTCCTAACCTTAGTCCTCTTCACATTCTGGTACGAGTTTTACCATTCTAGTCTCGGTCATACCTCTCTTCCTCTCAACCTTCATTGCAGTCTCAGTCCTAGACATCACCTTTGCACTAGCATTGAATCTAGTCCATGCTTGGGTCATACCTCTCTTCCTCTCAACCTTCATTGTAGTCTCAGTCCTGGACATCACCTTTGAACTAGCATTGAATCTAGTCCTTGCTTGGGTCATACTTCTCTTCCTCTCGACCTTCATTGTAGTCTCAGTCCTAGACATCACCTTTGCACTAGCATTGAATCTAGTCCTTGCTTGGGTCATACCTCTCTTCCTCTAAACCTTCATTGTAGTCTCAGTCCTGGACATCACCTTTGCACTAGAATTGAATCTAGTCCTTGTCTGGGTCATACCTCTCTTCCTCTCAACCTTCATTGTAGTCTCAGTCCTAGACATCACCTTTGCACTAGCATTGAATCTAGTCCTTGCTTGGGTCATACCTCTCTTCCTCTCAACCTTCATTGTAGTCTCAGTCCTAGACATCACCTTTGCACTAGCATTGAATCTAGTCCTTGCTTGGGTCATACCTCTCTTCCTCTCAACCTTCATTGTAGTCTCAGTCCTGGACATCACCTTTGCACTAGCATTGAATCTAGTCCTTGTCTGGGTCATACCTCTCTTCCTCTCAACCTTCATTGTAGTCTCAGTCCTAGACATCACCTTTGCACTAGCATTGAATCTAGTCCTTGCTTGGGTCATACCTCTCTTCCTCTCAACCTTCATTGTAGTCTCAGTCCTGGACATCACCTTTGCACTAGCATTGAATCTAGTCCATGCTTCACCTCTGCACTAACTATATTTGAAGAAGCCTGTGTACGATTGTAGTTTTTTCGCGAGGCAGTGTGCAGGCAGACCAGAACAAAACTTTTCATTTCCAGGCGGCAAATTTCAGAAAAAAGAATTGAAAACAAACGTTTCTACATCATATTTCGTGGGTTGCCTATTGGTATTGTTAACTTTACAGAATACATATGACAGTGTAATCTGCTTTATATATTGCTTTCATACGCCAATATTCTAAAAAATCTACTTCATATTATGGAAATGCTATGTACAGTAATTTTGTAGAAAAACTTTCCTGGCAGCAGTGCTACTGGCGCTACAGGACATTTTCAATCCTTGTGTACAACCATACCGTGATAACCAAATTCAATCATCTTTTTTGGTAGGCATTTTCAATCTTACATCAAGTATAACAGAAAGAGAAGTACGAACTGCTGTCCGAGCACATACCTGATACAACATTGAATCCGTTTCGTTATAAGTCTTGGCATTTTCGAAACATTGTTGTATTTCCAAAACAAGCTCGTTCAGGCTTTCATAATAATTGTTCTAGCAACAACGATAAAATATTTAGTTAAAACTCTCGATTATAGTGAACGTGATGACTAAAAGTTACATCACTGGAGGAGGCAGGCATCTTGTCAGTTGTTGTTCTGTTTACCTTAACGTTGGATCCAATTTTTAGTAACCCAATAGGATTTTTAATTATTTTATAATAATCTGGATAGGCTCTAAAAATGAAAAAAGAAACGAGCTTATAGACACGTTGCCCATAGAAATGAAAACTGTGAAATGTTGATGAAGATGAAAGCATTGAACCATTAAAGCGAACCTTTTTGAAGGTAATCTCATGAAAGCTTCACTCAAAACACGGCCAGTGGTGTCAGCGTATGCACGAATGGAATTATAAAGCAAAAGAAACGGACCATCTTGTTCGTCATTGCCTTAAACAAGAAACATTATTTGATGAGTCGACCATGTCAAAGTTTCTGTATCCATAAGGAGAATTGTACTGTCCGTGAGATAAATTCCAAAAATAAAATTGAGCGGGAAAAATTGATTTATCGCTTCCATTGAACTAAAATACATGGAACGCTACCTGTAATACAAAACCCTAATAATTTTTTGAACCCAAATCTTACACCCAGACACGCGTGTGTAATCAATCTATTTTCACTCCGCGAGAGATTTTCGAAATACTGCATACGGGTGTCTGGGTGTAAAATTGGCTTCAATTATTTGTTTCAAGTAGCGTTTCATGTATTTTAGTTCAATGGTCACTCCAGGTAAACTATGACTGTGTTAAATGTTTAGTGAATCAACTAGCAGTAACTTTGTGTAGACACAACGTCGTGTAACTACACACAACTACACATAACAAACTTGACACCTCGTGTAACTACACATAACTACACATAACTACACATAACAAACTTGACACAACGTCGTGTAACTACTCACAACTACACATAACAAACTTGACACAACGTCGTGTAACTAAACATAACAAACTAGACACAACGTCGTGTAACTACACATAACTACACATAACAAACTTGATACCTCGTGTAACTAAACATAACAAACCTGACAGAACGTCGTGTAACTAAACATTACAAACTTGACATCTCGTGTAACTAAACATAACAAACTTGACACAACGTCGTGTAACTACACATAACTACACATAACAAACTTGATACCTCGTGTAACTAAACATAACAAACCTGACAGAACGTCGTGTAACTACACATAACAAACTTGACACCTCGTGTAACTAAACATTACAAACTTGACACAAAGTCGTGTAACTACACATAACTACAAATAACAACCTTGACATCTCGTGTAACTAAACATAACAAACTTGATACAACGTCGTGTAACTAAACATAACAAACTTGACACAACGTCGTGTAACTACACATAACTACACATAACAAACTTGACACAACGTCGTGTAACTACACATAACTAAACATAACAAACTTGACACAACGTCGTGTAACTACACATAACTACACATAACTAACTTGACACAACGTCGTGTAACTAAACATAACAAACTTGACACAAAGTCGTGTAACTACACATAACTACACATAACTAACTTGACACAACGTCGTGTAACTAAACATTACAAACTTGACACAACGTCGTGTAACTACACATAACAAACTTGACACAACGTCGTGTAACTAAACATAACAAACTTGACACAACGTCGTGTAACTACACATAACAAACTTGACACAACGTCGTGTAACCAAACACTGATATAACGTGATGTAACTACACATAACAAAATTGACACAAATTGTGAGTTTTTTACTAAACGAAAGATTTTTCGTACCAGCTTCTTTTTCATCTCCTTCTTCCATTAATTGAGTGGCGTCATTTAATAATTCTTCATCCTCATCGTCCGACTCAGAAAGCAAAGCGCTGATGGTCGGACACATTTTCGTCGTCGACCTTTTCGATCTGAGTGAAGAAAAAAGGAAACAGGTCATCTTAAGGGTTTAAAATACAGATGTGAACAAACCAGCAGAAAGCCAACATAGCAACAAAACATGGGAGGTTCTTTTGCATGGATTCAGCTTTAATTGATTTAAAATAGGAGTGTTCAAAGACGGTGTAATGATTGGGCGGAAGGTGGACTAAAATGATTTTAGTAATCTGTGATTGTTACATTTCCTTTTATCAAAAATATCTGAATGTCATGAAAACAAATACTTCAAATTATTTGTAAACAAGCAGCCCCTGAAAAACGCTAGTGTGCAAGCACTCCCCTTTGATTATTTCTTAATGAAAAACGTGCTTAGCTATAGATAAGAAGAAATACAAACCTTAATCTTTTGCTAGATTTTGCACCAGATAGCATGTGCTCGATTTCCAATCTTTTTACAGCAACAATCTTTTTGATAGCAGTCGCATCCTGAATGATAACATGACCAACAATAAATTATTTCCCTTCACACATCACCATTGTAATGAACAGCTTGAACTTATGTTATTAACCAAATAAATTTGAAAATACTTAAGTTTTTAGCCTCATAAACTTCTTAATAATTAAGAAAATAACCTTATAAACTTGTTAATAATTAAGAGTTTAACCTTATAAACTTGTTAATAATTAAGAAATTGACCTTATAAACTTGTTAATAATTAAGAAAATAACCTTATAAACTTGTGATCCAGGCTCATTAAAAGCATGTGCATTTTTCGCAAGAAGATTCAAATCTTTTTCAAGGTCATCCAACGAGGTGTATCTATTATTCTGGATGAAACAACACCAAATAATTAGCATAAATCACTCATGATGAGACATCAATTCAATTTGCTACCCCTGGTGGATAACAATATCCCTTTACAACTTACTTTTATATTGGAATATATCATTTTAAGATCAATGGGCTCTTTGATAACCTTGAAATACTCTGGATATTGCTACATCAAAGAGATATTTATGAAACATGAATCCAAAAAGAAATACGACGACATAACTATGCACAGTAAAACACCACAGTCATGGCAGGATAGCACCACAAGTATGGAAAGTAAAGCACCATATTCGTGGCAGGATAGCACCACAACTATGGAAAGTAAAGCACCATATTCATGGCAGGATAGCACCACAACTATGAAAAGTAAAGCACCATATTCATGGCAGGATAGCACCACAACTATGGCTAGCACCACAACCAGTGTGCGAATTAGTTTAGGAAAAACAATGTGCAATTTTTTTTGACAAAAGTGTTTCTTTAGAGGCATAATCAAATCGATATTACGTTAATTATTATATAGAGCTAATTGCTAAATTAATATTTTCAAATGTGAACAAATTCATATGATTTACGACAGTGTTTTTCGTTAAAACCACTAATTTTTGCACATCGTTTCAAAAAGTTATGTGCAATTGTTTTCATTTTAGGTAAAATGATGTGCAAATTGCACATTGCACACCATTAATTCGCACACTGACCACAACTAACAATAGCACCACAAATATGGCTAGCACCACAAATATTCCTTACTTGCAATTATTCCTTACTTGAACAGAAAAATGGCAATCATGACATGAACACATTCTCAAGTAAACCACCAAAACTGACGTCACTCCTCTGACGTCACCCATGTTACATATGTCATTTTAAAATTGTTTTAATAAAAGACTATTACACTTACATCCTGGTATTCAACAAACTACAAAAAATAAACACAAAATGTAATATTTTCACAAATATTCATATTTTGTAAAGTAAGCGTGGTTATATGCATACCGTTTCATCAGTGGAAATATCTGTTTTAGCGTATTTCTCAAAAACAACTGGGTTTGTTGTGTCTTCATCAGCACCGTCGTCTCCTTGAAATGATTGCTTGTTCGTATCCGTTTCACGTCGTCGTTTCGACATTATTTAAAAATAAGTAAGATGCAACAATTCTTTGATAATTCTTTTGTTTAGTGTGGCAAAGACACGTTTATTTACAATGATAAAACGACAACAATTGTTATCAATCTTTGAATTTCGCAGCGTAATCCCGCGCGTAAGTGTACAGTGGATCATGCGCGAATCACGCGCGTAAGTGCACAGTGCTAAAAACGGTGTACTTCATGTAGACGCATCTACAATATTAAAAAAAATAGGCACGCCTTTAATTCTAGAATGAATACAACTTATTAACTCACACACATAGAAAATTTCTAGAAACTCAATTATAAGCAAGTTTTAATCGCCATTAAATAAGATAAATTGTATTTTATCAATTTATTGATAAGTGGTAAAAACTACGAGACAAGCTTTATGATTCTTGTTTGTTTTTGTGCAAATATTCTCTCCATAAGTGAATGTTTTTAATCAAATGAAAACTTTACGGATGTGATGAAAATTTACAGATTTGTGTAAAGGCACTTAATATCTTCGTAAAGTATCTAGCGTTGTATAAAGCGTGGTAAAGTCTTTAAATGTCTTCCTATGAACGTACTATATATCTTTTTTATTTATTGCTTTGATTTAATTTTCCAAAGCCTTCTACATGGAAACAACCAACGACATCTCATATAGTCAAAACAAATCCTTAACTGGCAAAGAAAACGCCAAACGCTTTTGCCAACTACAGTGTAGCTTTTTAAGAAATTTTCTGAATGAGCTATGGATTACATCATTGATAGTAGCGATAAAAAAAATGCTTTATACAAACATGTTGACGACAATCTCACTCTTACTCGTCTTATTTCTACACAGATGATATGATATGTGAGAGAACTTTTTTATTTATATGACAGAACCACAAAGACATTGTAATTCTATAGGATTGTTGAGAAACAACGAAACTTCTTATTATTGAAATAAATAAAAAAAGACGATGAAGACACACAAAGTCAATGATCAATGCAAACATCTATTTTCTACAGGCAAATCATACAACAATGCCAATTTAAAGTACGTCTAGAATCAAATGAATGTTTCTTATTCATCGCTACACATTCCACAGGATCCTTACGGTTTTTGCCATATTAGCCCCAACTACGACGACGGCGATGCCAAAAACGACGACGTCTATAATAATAATAGCGACGACGTCTATAATAATAATAGCGACGTCGACGCCAAAAAGGCGAGCGTTTTTCTACACTTGGATCAGCTTTCACATCATTACTACAAAACACAATGTACGTGAAAGGAAAGGGTCACAAACCCCAAAAACTTTACTTTTAAATGCAGTCGGTAAAAGTATTATATTAGTCGGCAGAAAAAATATCTTTGACGACTAAACATCAACATTACGGTTGATTTGGATAAAGCGTAAATAAGAAGTAAGAGACTAACATTTTCATATAAATCGAGAATAACATAACAGCAAGAAATGAACAGTTCGAACAGCGCTACAGTAAACACCGGAGGGGCGTCATTTAGTAGACCTTGAAAATTGTCGAGGTTTTGTTCTATAGTGTATTCGGTACTGGTACGATGGCCAGTCGTTTGAAAGGATTACATCTTCCCCCTGATAAACGTTATAAGGACAGCCCTGTTCGCCTTCATCAACTTTCATGGCAGAGACTAAATGTCAAGGCCAACTATAGCATACAAAACGAAGAATTTCGATGTCAGGAACGTAAACGTAGTAGATAAAGTTAACTTACATGCTCTCTGTGAGTCCACGATCATCACTTTGTTCTAAGTCATGTTCGGGGTCAGTTTCATCATCACTTTCTTCTTCTGGATTTTCATCATAATTTTCTTCTTCTGGATTTTCATCATCATTTTCTTCTTCTGGATTTTCATCATCATTTTCTACAAATTCTTCCTTGACAGTTTCCACTGGGGCGGTTTTTTCATCGTATTCTTAATGAAGAAACCATCATTCTTTCTTTAATCATGTACAAAAGCTGGTCAAGAGAAATGGTTGATGATAGATAAAGTATTTAATATATGAGCTTTGCATCATTACCTTTCATAACCCCATCTTCAAGTTTCGCTTGAGCGTAAGCAAAAGTGCAAAGCAATCCAAGAGCGATGACAAGATAGGTTATTTTCATGATTAACCTTTTTCTTGTTTTCTTCTGGTTCCAACAGCAGGATGATGAATGATGATTGAAGGCAGCTTTTCGCCTCTTTTTATAGTGAGCTGCCACGAAAGAGAATTACATATGTATTTGAAAAGAAACGTGAAGCAGTTATGCGGGCAACAAAAGTCACAGCTTGAAAACATTTCTAGATAAATCATGCATGCAAACAAAAACCCAATCTCTAACGCTCAATACACATTTCATTGACGACAATTCTATCACGTTTCCAAAACAATAACATCCTTTTGCTCCTGTTAAAAACTTTTTGTTTCAACTTATAACTTTCGTATGCAATATTTCATTTGTTGTACACGTACGTCTACAGGAAGATATCAAAAATAGGGGTTTAATTAGGTCAAATTTCCTAAGTCATAATTGAAGAACATCTGCCATATTTTAACCCTGTGCGTTCCAAGCTCCTTAGCTTTGCACTTTTGTACGCAACTGCAACTTCATATTACGATTTTTAACTATATAAAATGGTCAGTAAAGCCATTTACACGGATTAACTACAATAGAAACTCATGACAAATTCAAGTACTGGATCACGAATAAATGATACAATTCAAGACCCACATACTAACGCCATCAATACATGTTAAATGTGATAATCTAGGTCATTGCAACTCTATCATTGAATTTTTTTCCTACTTTACCAAAATCGTTTTTTCATTATTTCTGCATAAATCATACACATATATCTTTATTCTTGAAATTCTGGCATAAAAGTTATCCACTCAAAGCATTTTCTATAGCCTAAAGGTATGTATTCGCTTAAAGGTATATAGCACCATGCCAGCAATTATTGATAATGCAAATTTGTAAATGAAGTATAAAGTTATTACAAATAGATAATCGAACTTCAACACGCTATTGTGTGTAAACTACTATGTCTATATAACGGTATTCTTTCAGTTTGAAAAAATCAGGCTTGTAATTATCGAATGACATGTTTTCAAGATTCTTTCATTATTTCTGCATAAATCATTATAAATCATTATCTTTATTTTTTATCTTTTTTTTGAATATCAAATGGAGACAAAACAAGCAATTACAAGGCTGATAAAAAAGTTGGTAGGAATTGATGTTATTCACGTCAGACATACTGGCGGGCTGATACAAAAGAATATTCTATCAATAATGGCGTGGGTAAATTCTATTGTTTAGTAAATCCCAAAAGATTAGTTGCAAAATAAGAATCATAAATTTCATTTATTGTGCATTAGCTCTTGTGGGAATTTCACTGCTAAATAACCTCTTTATTGTAAAAGTGAAAATTTTAATAAAAAGAGCAAAGCAAGATGAGACATGGTCGGGAATAATCGTTTTTTCCTTCGTCATGCTCTGTATTTTTAAATGCATTTAATATTTGCGATTGTCTTCAAACTCACTCAAAAATTTTAAGTTGGGAAATCAGTAAACATTTCTTAGTATTTGTATTTTAATTCCTGGTCTGTCAAGGAAACCTAACACGATGGTTTCTATTCTATTTCTCAAAATTAATATTTAGTTTTAAGAAAACTCAATTTTCGCTCTACATACCAATTAAAACTAAAGCACAATCAGTGAATATTGCAGAAGAAAACATGAAACCCACAACTATATCCATACTATCACCATGCTTACATTAAACAACAGCAACTCGCAGCAACTTTCTAGAATCATTAAATCATACACCAAGTCGACGCAAACCTTTCAACACCTAAACGTCTTTTCACACCCTAATTTTGTCATTCAGCTGGCGACGAAGGTTCAGTAGGGTTCACTACAAATACAAATACTTGTGAACGTGTACTGTTGTGTTCAGTCATAAAGCATCACCAATGGCAAAAACTGTTGTTACAAAAACTATGTATCTTGTTTTAACACAAATATTTCTATAACAATTAATCCACTTTCACCATTCTTCCAACGATATCTAACACACTCTCAACTTCAAATACTTTGTGTGTAAGTCAACAATATAATGAAATGTTTACATATTTTTAAATCTGACTCAATCACCGCAGTTTGTAAAAGCCGATTTTAATATGAATCGTCTTTCGCTTTGCGTCTGTTGGTACGATAGTAGATTCACACGTGTCGTCATTAACTCCTACGTAATTACACACAATTAACCTCTTAGGAGTAAAAATAACTTTTTCCTCGTACTTTAAATTCTAAAAAGCAAACTAAGCGTGCCCTCAATCGTATTTTCAAGCAAAAATATGATAAAAGTTGTGCTAGTGTCAATGTGATTACTAAAACCATGTCACTTGTAACGATTGCCATTTATAGAAAACGTTTTACAATGATCCTGTTGAGTATGTAATGCAGAAATGTTATTTCAAAGGAGAAGTGACTCAATCATTCATTCATTCATATTTGTTAAGTTGATAAGATAAAATAACACGACTTATGTTACTGAAAAGTAAGCTAAGATAAAATTACATATCCTAATTCAGCTAATATTTATTATGTTTGCTAAACCTGCACTATATTATAATTATTATGTGCTAAGAGTTATAAGAACACTCGCTTTGCTAATATAGATGCCAATTAATCAGTCTAAAATATGAAAGAGAATGTGATGACTACAAAACACTTAATGTGGCTAGTGTTAAACTTGGGTGAAATTAACAAAACGAAGGAAGATTCTGTAACTTTGTTCACACAAGTTATGTGGAATTAACTACATAACAACATACAATAAGTTTGAAACTACCGTTTGGAATCAAATGTATTCATTACATCTTACTTTTGTTTAATCTTGCAAAATTTGTAAACAGAATTGATTCAAATGAAGTGCTTTCATTGTAATAAACTCTAAAGCTGTTCATTTTTAAATAAATTGGTCTCATCACCTTGTAACTCGAATGGTAATACAGAATAATATAATTTCATATTCTGCGTCACTACATATCTATTGCTTGGCGCGAGAAAAATTTGGTAGACTGGCACTATACCTTGATTGGTCCAAAAGTACCTTATCTGTTATTGGATATCCACAAATACGGAAGCTAATGTCGAGGGTTTATGTAAATGCAAAATCATACAAAAGCATTCTGACTCATTTGAATGTCTTGACTGTGGTGAAGTTTCCTCCTTGAAAAAGTGATACATGACGAAAAACAAACTTTTCAAATAACGATGAAGTTAAGCTCCAAAGACGCAACCAAAGCAAGAATGTTCCATGACAACTTATTATCCATCAACGAAATCTAGTCGTCTTTTATAAGGCTTCCAAAAACCTAAAACAGTACGATAACATGAAGAAGATTAAAGATCATGATTTGCAAAATAATTTATAGTGATTTATGAAAATAGCCATGAGGTTGAATATACAAAGTCATACTTATACCTTTGAAGGCACCATTTGTTGTTCAAGTTGAACTTCTACAAAAGAGATGAATGTACAAAAATACACTTTTAAAATTTCTTCTGATGTCAAGTTTCATATTTCCGCGCTTTCTGTTATGTCGATCTGATCATAATAACATAAAAGTGCGTGAGCTGTCACAAATTCACCTTCAATCTTTGCATCTTCGTCTTCAACGTCTTCATCAATTGAGATCTCTTCAGGATTCGTTATTCTTGCTTCTAAATTGTCCTCATCAGTTGCTTCGACTTTAACACAAATTAAATTAACATAAATAAGACTCAGTACAGTTAATTTTAACTAAATCACCCAGGGGATGTCAATTAAAAGCAGCATAGGTTAATCCATGAGACTGTAGAAATAAAGCCATAATTGTACCTATATACATGTCTGTGTTTCGCAAAAATTATCCATTGGTCACCTCAAATGTTCCTAAATTATCCACATAACTAGATGTCTGTGTTTTATAAAGGCTATCCATTGGTTGCCTCAAATGTCCCTAAACTCTCCTCCAAATCAGCATACATTGACCAAACCTTCAGTGATATATGGAGACGTTTTTGAACAGATTCTGTCTAAATTAAACAAAAGAAGAAATGCAGTAACTAGCGTGATCCAAGGCATTTTTTAACATATACGCATACTGGTAATTCAAATACTTCACTGCGCATAATATAGAGTACGCTTGAAGTGAGAATGCTTATTTCATAACAAGTTGATTAATGTTGTTATCAAATTGCTCTACAAACACATAAAATACGTAGCATTTACAAACTTGCAGTTTTGAAAATTACACTGTAGAAAGGTATTTCCGGACCCTCTGTCACGTGACTCAAGCTTCACAGGTCCTTTTGAGGTTTGTGGCCTCGCAGTGTAAAATCCTTAAAAATATCCCTTGGTGTGACATGCTTTAATAAAACAAAAATACATCACCTCAGATTGCCGGATATCCTACAATGTCCCATACATACCTCATCATAAAAGCTAGTTCTGCTGGATGGCATTGCAGTTGCTTGTTTCATTACATCCAAAGCTTTTTTATAGTTTCTATAATACAAATAAAATGTAAGAAATAAAGAAAGTCATGATTCGTCCAACATGAATAATGTAATAAGAGGTTTTAGCTACAAATTATTACTTTTTCTCAGAAAAGTTTGACGTTTTGATGCATTTCTTGAGTTGCGCTAATTTTTTTTAAATGCTTTGTTAGAACTAAAACTGTGCTATGCAATTAAAAACTTTTAGATATTTTATACGCTAGGACTTGAAAAATTGAAACTAAAGCAAAAGAAACTTCGAAGTGTACACCAGTTCTAAGATAAATGAAAAATGACTTTGAAAGTACATAAAAAGCAATAAATCAAAGCTTATACGTATAATAACTCAAGGCCGATTTATGCTGCGCGCGACAAGCGTTGCGCGACGTGTCGCACAGTAGATCTTACGTCATTGCGACTAAAACGGAAGTATATCTTGATGGCGCGTTTGCTTGATGTCGCGTCGCGTGCATTCAAAAATTTTGTAACGTCGAAGACAAGTTGTCGCGTTGTCGCGCGTTGTGATTGGCTGAAAGGCTTCTTTCGGGGGGAAGTTCTTGAGTTGTTTGTCAATACTGAATAATGAATATCCAATTACTAACACAAGATGGCAGCAGCAATGGAAGGGTTCGAAGAAAAATTAGCAGAAGAAGTCCGAAAATATGGTCATCTTTACGATTCTTCGAGACGAGATTATAAAGATACTCAGAAAACCAATAATTCTTGGAATGAAATAGCGAGAAACCTTAACACAAATGAACAAATTTGTCGACAGAAATGGAAAAATTTGAGAAATCGTTACACCAAAGCAAAGAAACGAATGAAGTCTAGAAGTGGAGATGCTGGTGGCAAATCTATCCCACCGATATTCCTCAGTCTGTCTTGTCTGATCATATAAAGCATAGGGACACAGAAACTAATTTTCGGGAGGTAGTTATAATCGCTATTAAAAAAATTTGATGCAGTATGGGACAGGCTGACTGATTGAGTAGATTATTATGTTACATCTGTTGTAGCTGTGATTGTAGGAGAACACTGAAGAACCTATAACAACATCAGAATCCCTTCCACTAGGAGAAATTTTGTGACGATAAATATGGAGGAGTTTGACCTAACCGCATGGTCTCCCTCAACAAGTAGAAGCGATTCAAATGTCAGTGAAAATTCGTGTACAACACCTACATTACCTACCAAACCTACCACACCAGTAAGTAGTGACCCATCTGCCCCTTCCACAATTGCTTTGAGTAGAGCTGTGGTAAACCCGACCAAGGGTTATAGAAAGAGATCAGCACATTTAGAGACATTAGTTTGTGAAAGACTTGATTCTTTGAAAAAGATTAGAGAAGAAAGAGAAACAAAACATATGAAAATTGATGAAGAAAGTCGCTTTTCAGATACAGTGGCTGACACTCTCAAAAGCTTCCAGGCAAGTTGAAATCTGAAGCTAAATTTTCCATTCATAAAATATTGTTTGAAATGGTAATTTTCAATTACCCTTCTAGCTCTGGAATGGCGGTAGTTATAAATTTTCTTGGGATTGTCAAGGTTATTACCTTAAGAGTAAATAGAACAAAATGGCATTAAGATCAACTGTTTTAGCAATTTACTGAGTCTTGGGAAACTCTGCCAACAAGCAGCCAGGAAATTTTTGATCGCAATTCTTGTGGGGAATGAAAAACATTTTGAATGAGTCTTACACAGACATAAATTGAATAAATTTATTTCATTTTGAAGTCACAAACAGTTAATATAAATTTTCAAAATATATGAAATAATTATGTTTTGATTAAACATAAGAAAATTATTTTCATTGAAAACGGAAAATATATATAAAAGTGCATGGAGTTAACAAAAGAAAATGTACCTGGGTAAGGTCTCATCATATTAACATGAAGAGGAAAAGCAGCATCGCCAACAAATACATAAGGTAATGTAAGTTTACTAACAGGTAGATCCTCTGGCAAGGGCAAACCAAGTTGTCCATTTAATAGCTGCTCCCCAAATTTGCTTTCTTGGAAATCCCCCCATCACTTTGCCTTCCATATGCACCTACATCTACCATTAGAAAGCGATAGCAAGCATCACATACAGCCATTAGTACAACAGAATGAGTTCCTTTATAATTAAAGAAATCACTTCCAGAAAGAGGAGGTGCTTTGAGTTGCACATGCTTTCCATCTATAGAGCCCAGACAATTTGGAAAGTTCCAAAGCCTCCAAAACTCACGCGAAATTTCTGCCCATTGTGAACCAGAAGGAAAGGCAACAAACTCTTCATTCAATGCCAACCAGATAGCTACACACACCTCCAACAAAATTAGGGAAACTGTAGTTGATCCTAATCGGTAACTTGAAGCCACAGTTTGTTGTGAGGCGCCAGACGATAGAATTCTTAACGTAACTGCTAGCCTTTCTTTTACACTAACAGGACTTAAATGCGTAGATGCATGCTTTACATGAGGCATAATTCGATGTGCCAAGTCGTCGAAACGGGCAGAAGACATACGAAAATACTTAAAATGCATTTCTTCGTCTATGCCTCTCATTTGTTGAACAAGAACGTATTCACCCTCACTTTTTCTAGAAGCGTGAAGTGGTCGAACTGACCATCTTCTTCATTTTCGTTTTTTCTGTTGTAGCAACAAAAGTAAATAGCACAACATTTCCTCCTCCTCCAGATCGAGAAGGTCATCCATTTCTCCTCGAACTCGAGTTGCCATGTTTGATCGTGAGAATACCGCATTACTTCATGTTATCCGATTTTGTTGAATACGCGTCGGTAAGCGCGTTAACTATAAACACAGCTTAGCACGCGCGCACCTGTCTTGCGCAAATCGAAAGTACGCGCGACGCTTGTCGCGCGCAGCATAAATCGGCCTTCACTCATTTCGAATCTCCATTTCTGCGTATTCACACCAAACACTTGCAAGATCATCGACACGACGATACGTCACTTTTGCCGCGTTTTCAAATATAACTCTTGCCTCAGCGATCTGTTAATGCTTTTCGTAAAACTTAGCGAACTCAACCCAAAGTGTATGAGGCTTCCCTGTGGCTTGCTTCGGCTGGACGGTTTGCACAGCTTCAGTATACGTGTTAATGACATCTTTTGGCTTGCCTTCAAACAGCTTCACTCGTTTATGCCATTCGTGAACATTATGAGGATTTTGACGAAGAACACTGGTGATTTGAAAATATGATATTGTGATCAGAAATGTAATGATGACAATTTCATTGAAGAATTTCAATGAAATATTATACCTTTTATTACCATATTATAGCTGTCAATACTATATAATATCTGTCAATACCACATCATAGCAATAACCAGGAGAAGCAGATAATTTTAAGTAAAACAAAATAAAACAAATTCCGAAAACAGACATCTCGTTTCATCTTGTATCACTTGTATCATCTTGAATATCAAGAAAACGAGATGTCTGTTTTAGGAATTTGTTTTATTTTGTTTTACCACATTATAGCTGTCAGTAGTATATAACGTACATCTGTCAATTAATACAACATTATACTTTTCATTACAATATTATACCTGTCAATACTACATTATAGCTGCTCAAGAGTAAAGGTCTACGATCCATCAAATTCTCGAATCTTGCGAGACGCAGTTCAAGATCAATCTCTTCTAAATATTCAAATCAAAAACCACATTATTTTACTTCAATCATGAAAGCATGTACATTTTATCCATACCTGCTCTTTGTGTTTCTTAAAGATACACAAACATCTGTGCATAAAATATAAAAAAAAATTCATTAGATATTCAAGGTATGATCAATTTATGCTGATTGCTGTTACCAAAAGATATCAAATACCTAACCTGATTGACAATAGTTGCCAGTCTTGTAGCTGCCTCGTCCAACCTTCCAACACTTTTGAGATAGTCTAAATAATCTTCAGTGTTGTTGGATTGTAACTAAAATGAAATCTTGGTGAATCAAATTGTATGTGGACAGTGATATGGAAAAGTGATATGAAAGTCTAATTTAACCTTTAGATATCTTCTGTAGACACGGACGGCCGTCTCAGGAATCGGATAAGAACGAACAAACTTCAAGTAAAGGAGTCATATTCTATAATGTTGAGTTATTGACAATGCCCTCAAAGCACGATCAAATGTTCTTTTTATAAGAGCGATAAGAGGTTGGTCCATTAAAAACTGGCAATAATCTAACCATATACTTGGCATCTGCATGAAACGAAGAAAGTTGTTTATGCCTCAAATGGAAAAAACATGGTTATCTAATATCTACTTGTCTAGAAGTTCGGCTTCTTTCTTTGAGTAAACGTTTTTTGCGTAATGTATTGTTATTTCTGATCTTGCCCACGAACACAAGAGCACGTTCAAAGGTGTTGTTTACATCTTCAAAACAAGTTTCTGTGATTGGTCTGAAAAGTATAAAAACAATGTGTATCCTTATTCAATTGCTAATGAATAAGTTTTGCTGCATTCAAAATTTTTCTATTACATGCTAACACACACTCAACTCTGTGCATTACTGTAATACTTACTCTCCCCGTACTTGCTTTCTACACTTTTTCAAGTAATTATACCAAAGTTTGTAGCTATATGGAAAATTTAAAAAAAATGTACAATAGCATTTAAAAATCTGTTTGCCATACAAACTTCAATAATAAACATATTATTTTGAAAGGAATGAAATATATGTTTACCTTCCTGCAAGCTCTTTCAAAGCTCGTTCATAAACAAGATTCAAGACGGATTTCGGTGCGGACCTCTTGTGCTAAAGATATCGAGATCAACATTTTACAGAATATGGATTTCTCAGAATCTCCTCTTCGTAAGGAAGATCTTCTTCTTCCTATGATTTGAACAAAAATAATAACAAAATTGTTTGAGGGATGTAGAAAAAAAAAGGGAAATAATACTGCTGGCGAAGAAGTTGCGCCAGAATTTAATGATATGGTTTGCTTTGGTTGGTGCAAAAAGATTATTGATAAATTATAATAAAGGCGAGATTCTTTTAGTCTAGCAGACAATTCTCACCAAAAACATCTGTCACAACTATAGCAATTGATGGATGTACTTACAATTATAAGATTCCTGATGATATTCGAAGAAACAGGCATTTTTTCACAATTCTCGACTAAATCCAACAAACCAAATTTGTGTTTCTAATTAGAGCCATGGCAGCCTGGGAACGACTGTGGTGGTAATCGAATAAGTGGAGGGAGGGCTCAGTGATAATGATAGTAAAGTTGGTAAAGTCCTTTTCTTCAAGCACTGAAGGCACTTAATAGTAAATAATTAATAGTAATATTTGTAAAACTTGTCATAGAATTTTATGTTTCTGTTATTTCGATCTGATCATAATGACATAAAAGTGTGTGAGCTGTCACAAATTCACCTTCAATCTTTGCATCTTCATCTTCGGTCATACCTCTCTTCCTCTCAACCTTCATTGCAGTCTCAGTCCTGGACACCACCTTTGCACTAGCATTGAATCTAGTCCTTTTTTGGGTCATACCTCTCTTCCTCTCAACTTTCATTGCAATCTCAGTCCTGGACATCACCTTTGCACTAGCATTGAATCTAGTTCTTGCTTGGGTCATACCTCTCTTCCTCTCGACCTTCATTGCAGTCTCAGTCCTGGACATCACCTTTGCACTAGTATTTAATCTAGTCCTTGCTTGGGTCATACCTCTCTTCCTCTCGACCTTCATTGCAGTCTCAGTCCTGGACATCACCTTTGCACTAGTATTTAATCTAGTCCTTGCTTGGGTCATACCTCTCTTCCTCTCAACCTTCATTGTAGTCTCAGTCCTGGACATTACCTTTGCACTAGTATTTAATGTAGTCCTTGCTTGGGTCATACCTCTCTTCCTCTCGACCTTCATTGTAGTCTAAGTCCTGGACATCACCTTTGCACTAGCATTGAATCTAGTCCATGCTTGGGTCATACCTCTCTTCCTCTCAACCTTCATTGCAGTCTCAGTCCTGGACATCACCTTTGCACTAGCATTGAATTTAGTCCATGCTTGGGTCATACCTCTCTTCCTCTCAACCTTCATTGCAGTCTCAGTCCTGGACATCACCTTTGCACTAGCATTGAATCTAGTCCTTGCTTGGGTCATACCTCTCTTCCTCTCAACCTTCATTGTAGTCTCAGTCCTGGACATCACCTTTGCACTAGCATTGAATCTAGTCCTTGTTTGGGTCATACCTCTCTTCCTTTCAACCTTCATTGCAGTCTCAGTCCTGGACATCACCTTTGCACTGGCATTGAATCTAGTCCTTGTTTGGGTCATACCTCTCTTCCTTTCAACCTTCATTGCAGTCTCAGTCCTGGACATCACCTTTGCACTAGTATTTAATCTAGTCCTTGCTTGGGTCATACCTCTCTTCCTTTCAACCTTCATTGCAGTCTCAGTCCTGGACATCACCTTTGCACTAGCATTCAATCTAGTCCTTGCTTGGGTCATACCTCTTCCTCTCAACCTTCATTGCAGTCTCAGTCCTGGACATCACCTTTGCACTAGCATTCAATCTAGTCCTTGCTTGGGTCATACCTCTCTTCCTCTCGACCTTCATTGTAGTCTAAGTCCTGGACATCACCTTTGCACTAGCATTGAATCTAGTCCATGCTTGGGTCATACCTCTCTTCCTCTTGACCTTCATAATAGTCTCATTCCTGGACATCACCTTTGCACTAGCATTGAATCTAGTCCTTGCTTGGGTCATACCTCTCTTCCTCTCGACCTTCATTGTAGTCTAAGTCCTGGACATCACCTTTGCACTAGCATTGAATCTAGTCCATGCTTGGGTCATACCTCTCTTCCTCTCGACCTTCATAATAGTCTCATTCCTGGACATCACCTTTGCACTAGCATTGAATCTAGTCCTTGCTTGGGTCATACCTTTCTTCCTCTCAACCTTCATTGTAGTCTCAGTCCTGGACATCACCTTTGCACTAGCATTGAATCTAGTCCTTGCTTGGGACATACCTCTCTTCCTCTCAACTTCATTGTAGTCTCAGTCCTGGACATCACCTTTGCACTAGTATTGAATCTAGTCCTTGTCTGGGTCATACCTCTCTTCCTCTCGACCTTCATTGTAGTCTTGGTCCCGGACATCACCTTTGCACTAGCATTGAATCTAGCCTTGTCTGGGTCATACCTCTCTTCCTCTCGACCTTCATTGTAGTCTCGGTCCTGGACATCACCTTTGCACTTGCATTGAATCTAGTCCTTGCTTGGTTTATACCTCTCTTCCTCTCGACCACTAGTAATACCAGAAACACTAAGTAATACTTTAAAACTGTTTGCATAAATCCAACTTTCCAATCTCATTATAATTGCCTACACTATACAGTCAGTCAAATTGAGCAGGCAAGCAGTTTAATAGTTATTTCTATTATACGGCATGTACCATAGTTCTCATTAATTTTGCATGGCACTGCATTCAATTTCAACACAACTCTGTTGT